TGAAAACCATTCCCCTGGAGAATAAAATCTGCACTGGTTTCCAGCTTCTCCCAGTCTGCTGCTAGCCTACTTTGCAATTTCATCTCCCTTCCCCTTCTCTGCACACACCCAGGGCTCCCGTGAAGCTCCAGTTCTCACCTCTGTAAGCAGGCCAGCGGCTCACACCTCTATATCTTCCTCAGTCCAGAATGTCATCTGCTGAACAACTTCCTGTCTTAGCCTCCCTGAAGCCCCTCTCGGCCCTGTGAGCTGCTGTTGAGTCACTCTCTGCTCCAGGTCCCTGACAGCTTGCTCACACTCTTCTGTGCCTGCTCTTATCACCTGCATCTATACTGCCTGTCCGTCATCTCCACGTCACAGGAGCCTTAGTCACTTGTACCTCTAGAAACAGCTGTGGAGTAAGGGAGCAAAAGTGTGATTGAGGAGTTAGAGCAGGTAAGAGGAGTCAGTGGTACCCAAACCGAGTGCATCGTACCATGAGCCATCTGTGCTTGCTTCTCTGTGTTAAGTCTGGAGCCCTAGGCCATGAGGGGACTTTACTTGTTGGCCAAAGTTCTCAGATGTTCATCCAAAGGCATTTTCAGCTGGAGTTCTTTTAGGAGCTAGCAGTCTGGGGACGTGCCGCTGCACAAGCACATCCATCTGTACTCACCAGGCATCTAAGACTCTGGAAAACACTCTTGGGTGGCACATGCACCCCTTCTAGGGTCAAACAAGATGCAATACACTTTTGCCCAATTAGTCACAAAGTGTTAGGGTAGATTCAGGTAGAAATTGGTCAATGGCTGGAACTTATTCCTCTTCTTCCTAGGGATTCCAGTTTTCTTCAGATCCCACAAAGGAGGCCTGATTTGGCCCCAGTGACACCAGACCTAGCTGTCATAACTGTTTAGAGGTGAGGCTGGAGATGTAGCTCAGTTAGTAGAGTGCTCGCCTATTGTGCACAGAGCCCTGAATTCCATTGCCAGCACAGCATACGGGAGGCACATGCTTGTCATTCCAGCATGTGGGAGGAAGGGACAGGAGGATCAGATGCTCATGGTTATCCCAAGAGTGAGTTTGAAACCAGACTAGGGTCCATGAGACTCTTCCTTAAAAGAAAACAAAAACGGGCTGGAGAGATGGCTCAGCAGTTAAGAGTATTTGCTGTTCTTCCAGAGAACGTTGAGTTCAGTTCCCAGCATCCATGCCAGGCCACTTTTGACTGGTAACTTTAGCTTCATAGCATTTGATGCCTTCTTCTGGCCTCTGAGGGCACTAAATTCATGTGCACAAACACATATTAACATGTAATTAAAAATTTTAAATATAAAAAAATAACAAAAGAGCCGGGCGTTGGTGGTGCACGCCTTTAATCCCAGCACTCGGGAGGCAGAGGCAGGCAGATCTCTGTGAGTTCGAGGCCAGCCTGGTCTACAGAGCGAGTTCCAGGACAGCCTCCAAAGCCACAGAGAAACCTTGTTTCGAAAAAAACCAATAAATAAATAAATAAATAACAAAAGAACTGTCTGCAGGTGGTACTTCTTGGAAACAGTAGCTGCCTGTACTGAGGCTACAGACTCTGAGTGGCATCACATCTCTGTGAGCCTCAGTGTCCTCTGTAGCCCAGCACAGTACTACGTACCTTAGAGTAGGCAGTATGCAACGAACAGCGTCTTATGGTGGAGGTCCCAGCCCCCTACCTGGTCTCTTTGATGGAGAATAATAAACTCTCCCAGCTGCTCCTTCAAAGTGAAGGAGCCAGGCCCTGTCAATCGTCAAGCATGCTGCTTCCTACGTACGGTGTCTACCTCCCCCTCGCACGCTTCTACCCAGTTTGGAGACCTTGGATCTCACCTCCTCCACAAAACTCTGTTCCTGGAACTCTCCACCCATGCCACCTACCATACTTATGGACAGGCCTAATGAATATGCAATGAGTGGTTTGTAAGCAAGGCTGCCATATTTACACAAAATGGGCTCTGCCCAAGGGAAGGAAACACTATTCCACAGACTGTACCGGGATGGCAAGTGAGGGGGGGGGGTGTCCCACCGAATTACATAACCAAGAAGCACTGCTTCCAAGTCATGTGGCCAAGTTTGTGTCCTCGCTCAACCACTTGGATAAGCAAGGTATGTGACATCCTATGCCTCAGTTTTCTTTTCTTTTCTTTTCTTTTTTTTTTTTTTTTTGGTTTTTCGAGACAGGGTTTCTCTGTGGCTTTGGAGGCTGTCCTGGAACTCGCTTGGTAGTCCAGGCTGACCTTGAACTTACAGAGATCCTCCTGCCTCTGCCTCCCGAGTGCTGGGATTAAAGGCGTGCACCACCAACGCCCGGCGCCTCAGTTTTCTTATCTGTGAAGAATGGGATGTTGCTGGTACCCTACAGTATGCTCAAACAAGGTGAAAACAGCAGCTGGTATCTGGCTGATATTTACCTAGTGCTTAATGTCATTATTATTGTTAGAGTTACTGTCTTTGTTTCATGTGGGGGTGTTTGTTTGTTTGCTTTGCTCTCTGAGAAGATATGAGCAGCCTGGAGATAATGAGTCATTGCTTGCTCCTGCACCTAGTAGCAGGCCGAGAGCCTGACGTCATTCCCTCAGGCCTTCCTCCATCTTTCTGTTTGTCCAAATGCACTCTAACTAGTCGGACCTTTTTTTCTTTACAGATGACAAAACTTCAAGACAGCCTAGTGTAGACTAACCGAAGCCTTTGTAGGCTGACATAACTAGTATCTGTGTAGGGGGGGACGCGTGACTCCAGGTGTCGCTGCAGCCAGGACTGTCTGCTTTTCCACCTCCTGTGCTGTCGCTCAGCTGGCCTCGTTCTCAGGGGATGATGCTATCCTCAAATTTGATATCCGGCCAAGGATGACCCTGATCTCCTGATTTTGCTACCTCCACCCCCAGAATGCTGGGATTACAAGGCTGTACCATCAATATCAACTCCAATTGTTCTGTTTTTGTGACAAGGTCTCAAGTAAGTCAGGCTGTCCTTGAACTCCTGACTTTATTGCCTCTACTAACCATGCCAGACCCCATAGAGCAATTTTAAGGAAGGCCTGAGTGACCCAGGTTGAGTCACATGGTGTTCTTTGTTTTTTTTTTTTTTGTTTTTTTTTTTTGAACTAGTCTTTTGTTTTGGTTTTTTGTTTTTCGAGACAGGGTTTCTCTGTGTAACAGTTATGGCAATCTTGAAACTCACTTTGTAGACCAGGCTGGTCTCGAACTCACAGAGATCTGCCTGCCTCTACCTCCCAAGTGCTGGGATTAAAGGCGTGCGCCACCTTTGTTTTTGTTTGTTTGTTTGTTTCTCGAGACAAGGTTTCTTTGTAGCTTTGGAGGCTGTCCTAGAACTAGCTCTTGTAGACCAGGTTGGTCTCAAAGCTACCTTTGTTTTTTTTGTTTTGTTTTTTGAGGCAGGGTTTCTCTGTGTGGCTTTGGAGCCTATCCTGGCACTTGCTCTGTAGACCAGGCTTGCCTTGAACTCACAGAGATCTGCCTGCCTCTGCCTCCCGAGTGCTGTGTGTGCCACCAACGCCTGGCTGCATGTTTTTTTTTAATTATTATTATTTTTTTGCTACTTTTGTTTTTTAAAGACAGGGCCTTACTAAGCCCAGGCAAGCCTTGAACCTGCAGCCCTCCTACCTCAGCCTTCTAAGTGCTGGGATTACAGGTTCTTGCCACTACAAACAGTTCATCTCTCTTTGTGGCTCAGTTCATAGGTTGTTTCCTCAGGAAACTGTCTCCTCTCCTTCCCCTAGCTCTACACCTAGCTCAGGGAGAATGCACAAGGAGAGCAAACTGCACTTCTCAGGTAGGCTCCCAGCCCAGGCTATGGTGCAATGTTGGTGGCCCACCCTGTGCTTGCCTTGTTACCTGCCCAGAGCCTGATGGGTTCAGCCTCACTGTGGGTGGGACTTTGTGGGGCTGCATGGTTGGAGCTCTGAGTAGGCCAGGCATCACCATGATTCAGGCCTGTGATCCCAGCAGATGAGGCAGAAGCAAGAGGATTGCTACAAGTTTAGAGGCAGCCAAGAAATCTGTCTCCAAACAAAAGAAAAATCTAAAGCAGTAGGGCAGTGGTTCTCATCTTTCCTAACACTGCCACCCTTCAAGCAGAAGTTTCTCAACCTTCCTAATGCTGTGGCCCCTTAATACAGTTCATGTTGTAAGCCGGGCGTTGGTGGCGCACGCCTTTAATCCCAGCACTCGGGAGGCAGAGGCAGGCGGATCTCTGTGAGTTCGAGGCCAGCCTGGTCTACAAAGTGAGTTCCAGGACAGCCTCCAAAGCTACAGAGAAACCCTGTCTCGAAAAACCAAAAAAAACAAAACAAAAATACAGTTCATGTTGTTATGACCCCCAATCAAAACTTTTCTCATTGCTACTTCATAATTTAATTTTGCTACTATTATCAATCATAATGTAGATATCAGTGTTTTCCAATGGTCTTTGGTGACCTCTGTGAAGGGGTTGTTCGACCCCCAAAGGGATCAAAACCCATAGGTTGAGAACAACCTCAGTAGTTACCTTAACCCTAGAGAATGTGTCAGAAATGGGTATGAGAGCTCCGTTTGGGCTTAGATAAGGCATAGGGACATCTGGGAAGGCTTGCTACTTTTGGGGGAGGCCATGGCCAGCAGGCTTTAGGTTCTCTTCAGTAATAGACACAAATGAACCATTTGGCTGCTTCTGCCTGACACCTACACTGAGATTAGACACCTCAGTGATAGCTGGCACTGGAAACGCCCGAAGCAACAGGTCCTTGGTGGGCCTGTGTTGTAGCTCTGAAGGCAGTCCTGCCCTGTGAGTCCCAGCACCATCACAAAAAAGTGCTCAAAAATAAATGTCATGGGTGAGTGGCCACAAGCCCATGGCAACTTCCCCCAAATGTCATCGGCTAAACCGATGGAAGTTCCCACAAGTGTCACCAAGCATGCCTTCCTGAATGCTTTTCATCTATCCAAGCCTTCCCAACACCACAAATAGATATTCAAAAATTATAGGTGTTTCTGTAATTTTTTAAAAAAAACACAGCAGTCACTTTATTCATAAGTTTGTACTTTACAAAACCACAAGGAAGAAGTCCTTAAGGGAAAGGTGTCGAGGAGATTGTAGGATGGCCTTGCCTGCTGGCTGTCCAAAGCTCAGCTGAGTGGCCTGAGACTGTTGTCATTTGATGGGCAGCCCCCAGCCAAGGTTTCAAAGGAAGTAGGCTTCTGATGGGCCAGGGAGGGGGCCAGCAGCAGGTGACGCTACCCGTCCAGGAGCTTCAGGATGCTCTCCCGCTCTTTCAGGGTCTTCCAGGCCTGGTCCTTTTCCTTCTTTGTAGGGGTGCGCTTCTTCTGCCGGGCAGCCATGATCTTGCGAAAGGCATCCATGACCTCATTGTCTGCCATGCGGACCCGCTGCCTCAGCTCCTGCCGGCTCACCTCCTCCTTTGCCAACCTACGGGGGCCAAGTATCACGGTTATCCGATCTCCAGTTTGTTCGCCCCCTCTTCTAGCCTGAGCCTCCTCACAATCCCAGCTCTCATTCCCCTTTGCTTGTTAGAATTACAGATGTGCACTGCCGCACTGAGCTTCAACCCTGTGTGGATCTGACTCAGTCCCACTGATGGTGGAGCTCAAGGTGTCTAGGAAATCTAGTCCTTGCTGCTTGGGCCGGAAGTGCCTTGCCCACATTCCTGCAGCTGGAGCACAGCAGAGCCCAGGACTGAGTCCCAGCACCAAACCATTTCCACAGCACACCATACCTCTGGAACTACACCATTGCTGTTTTCCTTGTTTGGTCCTACAGGGTTTCTCTGTGTAGCAGTGCTGGCTATCCTGGAACTCACTGTAAACCAGGCTGGCCTCAGATTCAGAGATCCGGCCTACCTGTGCATCCCAAGTACTGGGATTAAAGGTGTGTGCCACCACCGCCTGGCTTGGTTGTCTTTAGATGAAAGAAGGTGCACAAGACCCTGGCACACAGTGGGCACTAAGCACCGTTGGGTTTTTTTATCCTCAGATCTGTGTAAAGCTCAGCAGCAACTACCCCTCCCCTCTGAATGATGCGTCTCCTCCAAACACCTAAGAGAACAGGAGTCTTCTGCCTTCTTCCTGGCCCAGCACCAGGTCAGACACTGTGAGAGCTCTGGAGGAACAAGAAGTCTTGCTTGAGTGCTAACAGAAGGGTAGCTCCTACCAACACCCTTCACATGTCATCTATACCCTTGTCATCAGTGCAAGGAAGGTTGGATGGGAGTTAATATAAAATGAACCGCACTATGACTGATTCTCTAAGACACTAGTAAGTGTGGGGTGACCAGCCAATCAAAACCACAGACAGCCAAGAGAACATTAGCAACTCGCATGTCTGCGTAGAAAGCATACTGGTATTCATTATTTCCTCTATGATTTTTTTTTTTTTTTGGTTTTTTTGAGACAGGGTTTCTCTGTATTGTTTTGGAGGCTGTCCTGAAACTCGCTCTGTAGACCAGGCTTGCTTCGAACTCACAGAGATCTGCCTACCTCTGCCTCCTTCTGCTGGGATTAAAGGCGTGCCAATGCCTGGCTCTATGATGTTTTTGTATGTTATATGTGTACATGTTCATGTTGCACATGTGTGTGTGCATGCATGTGGAGGCCAGAGGTTGATGCTGGATCTCTCTTTACCATGTTTCACCTTATTTCTTCTTACTGTAACTTAGGTATTTATGTAATCACTAGAGGGCTATATGCCATGGTGTGCATGTGGAGGCCAGAGGACAACTTGCAGGAGTTGGTTTTCTTTCTCTATCATCTGTGGGTTTAGGGATTGAAATCAAGTGGCCAGGCTTGGTGGAAGTGCCTTTACCCACTGAGCCATCTTGCTGGCCCTCGGCCTTCTTTTTTGAGACAGGATCACTTAGTGGGATCTTAGACAGGCCTATTCGGCTAAGCTTGCCTCTCTGCCCATCCGAGCACTGGGGTTACAGATGTATTCTGCTGAGGCCAGCTTTCATATGGGTGCTGAAGACTGAATGCAAGAAGTCAGGCTTGCTTGGTGGCAAGCATTTTCCCACTGAGTATCTTCCCAGTGCCTCTGTGGTATTTTGATTAAATAATACCATAAACCAAAAGAAAACACAGCCAGGTGGTAGTGGTAGTGGTACATCCCAGCACTTGGGCAGCAAAGGCAGGTGAATCTCAATGAGTCGAGGCCAGCTTAATCTACAGAGTTCCAGAACAGTCAAGGCTACACAGAGAAACCCTATCTTACATTAAAAAAAGTCAACATAACACTGTAAATATTACCAAACTATACTTATCAGTGGAGCCAGGGCTGAAGAGATGACTCAGTGGTTAAGTGTATACTACTCTTGCAGAGGACTGGGTTTCAGTTCCCAGCATCTACACTGGGCATCTCTAGCAAACACCAGCAACTTCAGCTGCAGGGCAGCTGACACCACAGACACCTTCACTCATATTCGCAAACCCACACACATATGATTAAAATGAAAAAAATCTAAAAACAGAATCAGACCCATCCATATGTAAGTTGTGGGTGCTAGAGCCCTGCCCCTGGCCTTAGCATCAATCTGAGGTACAATTGGGGGAGCAGGGCTAGTCCCTGGCACAGTGCTCACTCACCTCAGCAGGTCATGCTTCTTGGTGCGGTTGTGTGCACTGAGTGCCTTCAGCTCAGCCTGCCGTTTGCGCAGCTCAGCGAGGACCTCATCCTCTGAGTCCTCTGCAGGCCGGTCTTCCGACTCCAGGAGGCCCTGTGCAATCAGCTCCTCCTTGATGCGGCTCTCCAGGGACTTGGTGTGGGGCACACTGTAGGCAAGGCCAGCACCTGAGCTCTGAGGGCCAGCTGGGAGGCCCCCTCAGAGGATCCTGGTACCTCTTCACCTTGTGAACCCACTATAGTCACATATGTTTCAGGCCTTGTTATATGTGAGTTGCAATCTTTTATGATATATATTTCCAAGATTTTTTTTAACTATATATAATTTTTTTTTGTTTTTTTTGTTTTTTGAGACAGGATTTCTCTGTATTGTTTTGGAGGCTATCCTGGAACTCACTCTGTAGACCAGGCTGGCCTCAAACTCACAGAGATCTGCCTGCTTCTGCTGGGATTAAAGGCGTGTGACAAAGCCCGGCTATATGTAACTCTTAAATATAGTTTATGTACAAATAGGATCACTCCTTTGCCCCCATTTTGTACTCTTGTTTTAATTCTTTCATGTCAAGTGTATTTCTGTAATGATGAACAAGCAGTTCTGAGTTATTTCTTATGTAGTTTTGGCACTCAGCTAGCCATTCCCTTCAGCTGGTCACTTGGGTTATCTCCAGGAAAGGCAAAGGTATGGTGATCAAGCCTGTACTAAGCCTGTCCAGAAACGAGGCCAGCACTTCCATGTGAGACATCTGTGTGTGGTCAAATGACCTCAGCTTATAGAAGACAGAGAGAAGCTGACAGTCACCCCCAGAGTACAGATGGGATGTCACTCACCTGAAGGGTTTGTTCTGATTTCGGGGAGAGGTGCTTGCTCCATCAGCCCCTGATTCTTTCCCAGACATATCAGGAATAGGCGAGTCCTCCATAGGGGAAATAATATTTTCCTGAAGACCAGAGATAGGTTAGAAAGAGGATGCAATAGAATCCCCATTTTTCTTCTCTCTGACATAGTCTTTACAGGCTAGATAGAAATAGTCTGCCATCTTTTTCATCCCACTTATGTTAAAAAGCTTCCTCCAACCCAGCACTAGGGAGGCAGAGGTTGGCAGATCTCTGAATTCCTGGTCTACAGAACAAGTTCCAGGACAGGCTCCAAAACTATAGAGAAACCCTGTCTCAAAAAACAAAAACAAAAAGCTTCCTCCAAAGCTTTGATCATTCTAGAAATTCTTTTTTTGAGGGGAGGGGAACATGGATAGCAAAAGAAGGGGACACAAGATTAATAGTGACAGGGAAATATCCAACACTGCTCTTTCCTCCACAGCAGCTGAGCTACACTACATTTCCCAGGCTCCCCTGCAGTCAGATGGACTCATGGGACAAATTCTCCATTGGAAAGTGATCTAAAAAGGTATGAGTCCCAGTCATACCCAGAATGCTTCACACACTCCTCCTTTCTCAATTTCTAAGGGCCTGGTGTGGTAACCACACCCAAAGTGACCAACCGAGGTCAGGATGAAAAGCCACAATAAACTGGAGTCTGCTGGACTAGGCCAGACTCCCCTTCCTATTACCTCAGTCTACCTGGAAGGCGTGTCCCAGACCATTCCCTGAGAGAAAAACTATTGTTAGAGCCAAAAGAGGAAACTGAGACTCAAGGACATAAAAGGGCGTTTCCAAGGCCAGACAGGGGCGTAAAGAGGGAAACTTCAAGTGCGGACTTAAATCCTACCTTTACTCATTAGCTGGTGGTCTTAAGAAAAGTTCCCTTTTCTTTTTCTTTTTTGTTTTTTTGAGACAGGGGTTTTCTTTTCTTTTCTTTTTTTCTTTTTTTTGGTTTTACGAGACAGGGTTTCTCTGTATTGTTTTGGAGGCTGTTGGTCCAGCCTGGCTTGGAACTCACAGAGATCCGCCTGCCTCTTCCTCCTGAGTGCTGGGATTAAAGGTGTGCACCACCAACGCCCGGCAGTGGTGCATGTGTGTGTGTTGGTTTTCTGAGACAGTTAGATGTAATACTTGAGCTCAAGAGCCTGCCTTTGTCCCCAAGTATTGCAGGGATCACAAGCATATGCTACCACACCTAGCTTGTAGTTCCCAGTCTGAGGGCTCACCTCCACCAGGGCCTGCAGCAAGCGCTGTGTCAGGGCACCAAAGGGACACCCATCTTCTGGCTGCTCGTGCTGGGCCTCAGACTTCTTCAGCAGAGCGTCTACATCTACAGTGGACAGGGAGAAGACAGCAGGAGGCCTGAAGCTCTGGGAGCTCAGATCCCGGCCTGAGGTGGACAGGGAGCTAGAGATTTACCTTTGGTGTCCAGTTCAGTCAGTGGTCCCATGAGGCCTTTCTTCTTGTCAGCCACAGCTGCTGCCCGAGCCCCATCCTTCTGTTCCTCTAGCAGGTCCTCCTGGGCCCAGCGCTGGGAGTAGTGCTTTCCCAGAGGGGGAATCTGCAGCAAAGAGGCCATTCAGTTCTAAGAGGTAAACCCTGGCCACCTGAGCTGAGAGTGTGGGAAACTCTCCTGATATGGGACACTGTCAGTAAGCTCTCCATTCATTCTGTTTCTTTCTTCACGTATTTGTTGCCCAAGCCCCAGGCCCAAGGGTGATGCCACAAAAGACAAAGAAGATAAAACTCTAACAGGAGAAAAAGGTATGTACAGAGTGCAAGCAGCTGGCATGGCGGCATACCTGTTGCCCCAGCACTCAGGAGGCTGAAGTAGGATGGTCATGAGTCTGAGCCCAGGCTGAGACCCTATCTTGTCTCAAACAAAACAATAATCAAAATGCAGTTCAAGGCCAGGCTGGACCGACAGCCTCCAAAACAATACAGAGAAACCCTGTCTCATAAATACCAAAAAAAAAAAAAAAAAACCCCAAAAAATCAAAATGCACCTAGAAGCTGATATGCAATATTAAGATAATAAAGTATAAGCCCAGCAAAGTGGTGAACACCCTTCATCTCAGCACTCAGGAGGCAGAGGCAGGCAGGTCTGAGTCCAAAGACCAGCTTGGTCTACAGAGTGAGTTCCAGGACATCCAGAACTGTTACATAGAAAAAACAACAAAAAGATATAAAGTATACAAAACAATATAGAGAAACCCTGTCTCGAAAACAAAAACAGATATAAAGTAAAAAATGTTGTGTCTATGGATCCTCTTTGTCACAGGTAATTCTTCTAAAAAGAACTAGGGCCCAAGGCAGCAAGGAGAAGGGTTTTGTGTGTGTGTATGTGTGTGTGTGTGTGTGTGTGTGATGCTTAAACTTACGACTGCTGAGTGGATTGCCTTTTCCCTTCCTTTCATCCTTTCTTTCTTTGAGACAAGAAACTCAGTGAGATTAAGGTTGCTGTAGTTCTTTAGATCATGATTGAATCTGGGGCCTTGTCCATGCTAAACACTTGCTCTACCACTGACCTCTATGGTTAACTGGCCTCAGATAAATGTTTTATTTGTTTTTTAAATTCAGGTAAGTGTAATTAAAGCAGCCAAGAGACCAATGGAGTCACCAAGTGAGACCATTTCTCTTACTCTTCTTGGAGAAAGGACCTCACACTTCTAAGTCCAAGGCTAGCCTCAAACTTGCCTCAGCCTCCCAAGTGCAACAGGTGTAAGCCCCTGGGCCCAGCTTCCTTTTTTGCTGGGGAGTCTGGAAAGGCATCTTTGGTGGCAGTAGCATGACTCAGGCCTGGAAGACGCAGTCTGTCAAGCTGAGAAGAGCTTGGGCACGGACCCTGGTGAGACCAGTGGGAGATGTGTCTGATGCAACTGGGAAAGAGGGGTGTGGCCAAGGGAGCTGGGGTGTCACCAAGCCCTGAGACGCTCGGCCTCCATCCTGTGGCTGACAGGAGTAGGGCAGGTCTAGTCTAGACTCGGCACACCTGAGGTGGCAGTCGCCCTGTGGTAAAGCCCCTCCTCACACATCTGTTCAGTTTCTTTTATGGAACGTTTTATTTATTTATTTAAAAATTTTTTTTGGTTTTTTGAGACAGGGTTTCTCTGTGACTTTAGAGGCTGTCCTGGAACTAACTCTTGTAGACCAGGCTGGTCTTGAACTCACAGAGATCCGCCTGCCTCTGCCTCCCAAGTGCTGGGATTAAAGGTGTGTACCACCACCGCCTGGCCAAGGAACATGCTTTATTTTCATGATAAATAAAACTAACTTGCTGGGGATGTATCTCTGTTGGTAGAGAGCTTGCCTGGAATACACAAAGCCCTGGGTTCTGTCTCAGGACAGTAAAACTGGGCATGGTGGTACAAAGCTGTAATCCCAGCATCAGGGAGTCAGAGGAAGGAAGATCAGGGTCATCATTAGTTACACAAAGTTCAAGGCTAGTCTGGGATATATGAAATCCAGTTTCAAAAAAACCAAAAACCTTTAATCCAGGTGTAGTGATGTTATGTTTTTGGTCCCAGACACCTGGGGACCTGAGAGAGGGAGATGTTGAGTCCAAGGGTTTAAGGTCAGCCTAGGGCACCATAGCAAGTGTGTTAGAAATGAAACAGGAACTTAACTTTTATATATTAAGTAAAGAAAGAAACTGGTTGCTGGAGTCTAAAAGCAGGGAGCGTGTTCAGAGGCTCTTAGGATAAAGGCAAGTGGACAGGATGAACTTCACTGACAGACAGATGCACCACTTGGCTGAGGGGGGAGTAGCAAGGGAAAGCTGGGCCTCAGTGTCTGCAGGAGCAATGGCAGCAGGCAGGAGGCTGGGAAGAAGTAGATGGTGTGGGCTCTGCTGCCTAGGATTCTGAGGCACCTCAGAGCCCTCCTGTTCTCTGACTGTAAGCCAAGATTTCTACCTTATAATGTTCGGCTTCATCTTCAGGAGGCTTCAGGAGCTCCTCCAGTGTTCGTACCTCCTCACTGGTGATATCCGCACAGTAGGGTTCCACAGAGGCCCAGAACCTGCAGGGAGAAGCAGACCCTGAGTGGACACCTCTGGGCTCCTTTAGCCTTAGCCCTGGGCCCTTAAGACCACACCACCAGACCCTAGGTCCCCTCTAGCTCTGTTCTATGTGCTCAGGCTCAGAACCTGTTGGGAGCATCGTTCTTGGGGATCCGAGGCACGTCGATTGGGTCATCAGTGAATTCATATTCCTGGATCTTTGGCTGAACATTTTTGGATTTGGGTCGTCCTGGGCCAGGGCCTGGTCCATGCCCTGCCTTCCCTTCCAGTTTCTGTTTCTTGGGCTTCCCATGTTTGGGGGGAGCACCAAGCTCATGGTCTCGACCCAGCTTCAGGAATCGTCTGTCACCTTTCTTATCCTGCCAGTCAGTAAGGATCTGAAACACAAAGGCAGTCACTAAGGAGAGAAGAGACAAGCTCCTCTTTTCTAGTTGGATAACTTGAGATCTCCAATTTGAGGCTATTAAGTAAACTACTTATCTTTCAAAGCCCAGTTCTTTCTCTGTGACTTTCTCACATGAGTTTAACCAGAGGTCTACATTTTCATTCCCCTCTGTCACCCAAGCTAGTCACAGACTGTTTGGTAGAAAGGTTAAAAAATAAGCTGGGCAGTGGTGGTGCACACCTTTAATCCCAGCACTCAGAAGGCCGAGGCAGGCAGATCACTATGAGTTCAAGGCCAGTCTGGTCTACAAAGACGTTCCAGGACAGGCTCCAAAGCTACACAGAGAAACCCTGTCTTGAAAAACAAAATAAAAGGCGTTGGTGGTGCACGCCTTTAATCCCAGCACTCGGGAGGCAGAGGCAGGCGGATCTCTGTGAGTTCGAGGCCAGCCTGGTCTACAGAGTGAGTTCCAGGACAGCCTCCAAAGCCACAGAGAAACCTTGTCTCAAAACACCAAAAAAAAAAACCAAAAACAAAAAACAAAATTTAAAAAGGTTATGCCCCAGAGCATAGCAGTCCTAGGGAAATATGCTGCTGGTAGTGGGTTTTTTGGAAATGGTCAACAAGACTCCCAGCTAACCTTCATTTGAATCATCAACCCTCCTGGGAGCCCTGTCTACACAAACAACTGACTGTGTCATAGCATGTCTCAGAAAGCTCCCAGGGAATTCCAGGGACTACAAGGGGACAGAGTTCATCTTCTGAGGTCCAGTAGGATGGCATCCCTGGCCTTGGAACCTAACTCTGCTGTCACAATTCCCATTTGGGTCTCTCTTCCCATTCATATCCTCAACAAACAGATAGCCTCAATGTTAGGTCACTAACCTAATGGCCCATCGCATAACTTGACACAATCTGTCCCTAGTGATGTCCCCTCTGTTGGAGAATCACCTGGGTTTCAGCTTCCAGTACACGCAGTCGCCGGCTTGCCGAGGACAGCAAGGTCTCAAGCTCCAGCTGCAGAGTGTCCAGCTCCTCAATACCAATGCCATCGTCCTCGGAGCGGGCCAGCACTGCCGTGTACCGGGGACAGACCTTCAGGTGGTCCACAGACTTGAAATCATGGAATTGCAATGGGCAGTCCTTCAGCTCACTCATGGCCCAGGAGATGGGATCCTGTAAAACTAGAGAGGTCATTGGGTAGAGAGACAAAGTAGCATGGGAGAGAGGCCCAACAAAGAAACCAGTTTTCAATACCCTTGTAGATAGGATGGGGGCAAAGCTCCTGTTTGTAGAGCCCTGATTGTGCAAAGGAGGGCTTACTTCACTGAATTATACACACAGCCTTGGGGATGGGCTTTAGTCATGCTTTCCTTTCTTTTCTTTCACAAAAAAGGAAAGCGACTCTGAAAGGGCAGGCCTCAACTCCTAAGTGCAATTCATTGTCTTTTTGTTTTGGTAGCATTTAAGACTAAACCCTGAGTCTCACACATGATGTTTTTTTGCTTTTTGTTTGTTTGCTTGTTTTTAGACAGTCTCACTATGTGGTCTTGGCTGATCTGGTACTCATTATACCTGTCTCTACCTCCCAGAGTGCCGAGATAAAGACACATACCACCACACCTGACTTCCAGTTCTTTTTATTTATTTGCTTTTTTTTTTTTTGAACAACCCAGCCTGGTCTCAAGCTAGCTAAGTACCAAAGATTTGTTTTCACCTCCCAAGTGATGGATTCCAGGCATGTAACCACACCTGGCTTATTCAGTGCATGTAGGCAGAGTCTCCAAACTGAGTTACATTCAGCCCTCTCTCATGAACTTCTGAAACAGGCTCTCACTCAGTTGTCCAGACAGGCCTTGAACTTATGACCCACCTACTTTAGCCTCCCAAGTAGCTAGGTTTACAAACCTGCATGATTAATTCGGACCCAAGTAGTCTCACTTGCACTACAAGAGAGATAGATGCCAGTGTGTCCTGTGTTCCTATGTCCTCTGTTGGGCTCTTTCAAGCATTCTATCTTACAGTGTTCACCCAGACTCTCCTTGTCTCCCTCATTCCACTTTTGAACCTGTGTCCCTAGCTAGTTTGGAACGCGAGCTGGTCAAGCAAACAGAACTAAGTTCCAGCCCACTATGTGCCCCTTTAAACATGTTATCTAACCTGAATCTTAGTTTCTTTTTTTTTTTTTTTTTTCCAGGACAAGAGATGATGCCTCGGTCCGTTTCCCCATTAAAACGTGTAAATCTGTAAAATGGGGACATCAAGAGTACCTACCTCCCTGGAATGTTCTGAGGAATAAGAGGTGATGCTCCTCAAGTGGCCAGTTCAGTGCCTGGCACAGAAGTGGGACTCTTAATGGCTGGCTCCACCTGTGTGTCGCCCCAAGATCCCGCCTCCACGGAGCCCCTAACACAGCCCCCGCCTCTCCTACCTCCTCTCTGCGGCTTCCTACAGGCCCCGGGCCGCAGGAGGGGGCGGGGAGTTTAGTGCTCTCAGAGCTACCGCCCCGGAACTGGCTATGGGCGGGCCCGGCCCCCTGCAGTTGACGCGAGGGCGGGGACACAGCCAGCCCACAGTGGCCTGCGGGGGTGGGGGTCTAAGGCCACCTACGAACCTCCGACAGGTGGAATGCTAGGCCTGAGGTGTCCCCTAGGAAGCAGCCCGGGGCTAGGGCGGGGCTCAGAGCCGAGATCTCCAGGGACCCACTTCCCGGTCGAGCCCCAGGGCTCCTGGTAGGAGGAGCCCGGACGGAGAGGATAGGGGACCACCACCGGAAGAAACGTCGGGCTTCTCCGGCTCTGCCTGTCCTAATTTGGTGCCCAACCTGAGGTCGGGCTGTACTATTGTTACGTGGGGGGAAGTTACAACAAAGGCGACAAGAACCAAAGGCGCTGGGAAGAGATGTATGGAGACCCAAGAGGCTTCGAATGCTACTGTGTCAGTCCAGGCCTTCTACAAGTCCCTGCGGTCCTAGTGTGAAATCGTCCCGAAAATCCGAACGTCGCTCGGCTCTTCCTCCCCAGTCCTGCTCAAAATGGTCCCCCCCGGAAGTGCTGGCGGAGACTGCGGCTGCGCCTCTCTCCAAAGGGCAGGCGTCGCGGGGCCGGGCACTTCCGCACTTCCGCTTTCCGGCCCAGACAGCACCCGCAATGGTGAGAGACCCCGGGCTGGGGGACTCCCTGTGTCTTGCTTGGAGAGACTGTGGGTCTGGGGGAGATGCAGTTTGCGGCCAGGGCTTACGGCCGGAGGTTGCCCTAGGATGAGGGGGCACGAGAGGATGGGGAGGCAGAGGGTGGGGCGAGGGCCGAGGCGAGGAGGAAGGGGCGAGCTGGAGCTGAGCTGGGCACGAGCAGGCCCAGAGGCTTCCAAGTTGGGCATCCCCGGAAGGAATGTCCTCTCGCCAAAGTTCGGAGGAGGCGGGAAGTGGGGCTACTAGGCCTGTGGTGGCGTCTGCGAGGTAGGATCGCTGAGAGATGAAGCAGGGCCTCCTCTTTATCCACGATAGAGATTCGCTAAGTACACTCCCTTGTCCCTGCCTGTCTTCTTGATCTCACGGTACCGGGAGGCAAGTGTCCACTTCTCCTTATTACTCTCTCGATCCCTCCAACCCCCTGCTTCCAGGCCTCAATGAAGGTTCTGTGGTGTTGCCTCCATTCAGGTTCCTTCTAGTAGTGCGGTACGGTGTAGACCTTAATGTGTGTAACCGCTGATGACGGCTGGCCCTTCCTTTCCAGGGGATGCTCGGGTTTGGTATCTGGGTGTTCCGTACTGTTGCATCTCTCTTCCTACTGCTGGCTTTGATGACCTCAGTTCTAAAGACTGGACTGCTTGCCATGCTCCAGTGATTGTCTGGGGAGACACCTTGAAATTACACCCTTTTGTTCAAAAGTCACCTTTTTTTCTAAACTTTTTCATTCTCTTGTGTTCCGTGCCCTAACTGATTTCATTCCTCTGCCTGAAAGCCGTTTCCCTTTGACTGAGTATATAACTTTTCATTTTTAAACATTTAAGTTTTTTGTACTTGAAATCGTCTATTCACTAAAGGGCAAACATTACAAGACTAGCTACCTAGAATTCACTTTTAGTTTTCTTTCTTTGACTATTGACAAAATAATCAGATAACCAGTCCTACAATGAAGGTAGAGAACATTCTATCACTCTTCCAACGGAACACACTAACCCAGACAACTACTAATTTCACCCTTCCGGTTTTGCCTTTTCTTGGTTGACATGTAAATAAAATTCTCTAGTATGTAGACAAAACATAATGCTGAGCTGTGTGCTGAGTTGGTTGTGTTTTTAGCCTTTTCCCCCTCTGCCTGATGCCTGGCTGTCCTGTGATGCTGTGCTTGTCTCCACTACTCCAGTCTGTACTAAGTGCCCCTTCTCTGGGTCTCACTTCCCTCCATTCCATTCTCCAGAGAGCCTCTGCTGCAGTCACGTAACTTCCTCCTCAGAAAGTCCCAATGCTTCCTGCCACATTGAAAGACTAACTCAGGGAACTGGCGTTCTAGGTTATCTAGGGTTTTTATCCCAGCCTGCCATTGCAGCCTGATTTATGCAGTTTAAAATGCTTCTCCCAGTTCATTTGTTTACAGAAGATTTGTAGCACACTATGTATAGGAGCTAGTTGCAACCAGCATAACTGAATAAAGTTAATGTCGTTGACCATGAGAATTACAAACTAGTGAAGGAAAACCCATCTAACAAAATGCATGAAGAATGTCTTGTTGTGAATTAAGATTAAGTGTACGTATCATAAACTCCTGTAAATGCATTGAGGAGGAAGTCAAGAAGACCACTTTGGGGAAGGAAGAGGCCTTTCAGTGAGCTGAGCTCTGCCGGACAGACCTAAGCAATGAGGAGGAAGGAATGCAGGTGATGGGTCAGCACGTGATAAGCCCTGAGGGGAGAGAACTTGACTGAGATGTAGTGTAGCTGATCGGTATAGCTGACCTTGTTCACTCTACTGAGAATGTCTCGGCCTACTTTTTCTCATTGCAAAACCTTCCTGATCTTGTGGCTAGTCAAAACTAATTTCCTTGGTATGGATTATTTATAAACCTAGTTACTTTACATTTTGCCTTCCATTAGCCCTTGTGATCCCCATCCAGTTGAGTTATTTGAGAGCAGAAGTTATCTGACTGAATTCCCAGTGTGCTCAGGGCATGGATCAATACATTTGTCCGTGTACGAAGCAGGTGGAAGACGTGGACCCCACTAGATCAATATTACCCAGCCTCATCACTGGTGGCTTTGGGGCTGGGTAATTCTATTGTGCATCCCAGATGTTGGGCAGCATGGCTTGCCTATGTCCACTTATGTCCATCGTCCTTGCCCCGCCCCAAGTCACAACAGTCAGTTTTTTTCTCCACATTTTGCTAAATGCCAAGTAGAATTGTTTGCTGCTGGGAACCCCTGCTGCAGACTCCTGACTGGGCTGTATCTTGAAGGTTGGGTGTATTCTGTTCTGTGTGATGACCATGCCTGAAGCCTTCAGTACTGTGTGTTCCATGGGAGCTACGGGGGGGGGGGGGGCCGGCGGGCGGCGCAGGGGGCCAGGAGGGTGCTGGCTTTGGTGAGGCAGACTCTGGTCCTTCCTAATCTTGGGTTTATTCCTGCAGACTGCCACTCTCCGCCCCTACCTTAGTGCCGTGCGGGCCACACTGCAGGCTGCCCTCTGTCTGGAGAACTTCTCCTCCCAGGTCGTGGAACGACACAACAAGCCAGAGGTGGAAGTCAGGTAGGGAAGAAGGTCAGAGTGGGGGGGCCGAGAGGAGCAACTCACAAGAGTAGACCCTGTCTAAGAGGGCCGTGTGACAGACCAAAATCCACGGGGGACCTGCTCCAAAGTGTGGCTGGCCCCTGGAGCAGCGCTGTGGAGAAGTGTCTCCAGTCAGTGTTACCCAGCCCACTGGCAGCTCCAGAAGAAGGCACAGGATTTAGTTCACAGAGTTGACAACTCTGTATTAATGACTTAAGGGTCAGGATTGTTTTACTTTTTATCATTAATACTGCCAGACAGTTTAGACCCTCCAACACCCAAATATTACATGTTTTGAATGCGATTTTCTCTTGTCTGATTTTCATTTCATAAGTAAATATTCTTCTTTGAAATTGACAAGGATATGACATAGACTGCTAATTCTAGCACATGGAGGCTGAGGCAATAACAATAGAACCATAATAGGGTCAGGGCTAGCCTCAGCTGCAGAACAGGTCTTTTTCTCAAGAAACCAAAAAGAAGCAAAATTCTGGGGTGAACATAGTTGAAATAAGTTGTGTTATCAAATAGGTGATGAAGGTATTTTTGTTGCTGGGGATTGAACCCAGGCCCTTGGACATGTTAGGCACACAGTCTACAGCTGAAACATATCCCCAAAATGATTGCTATGACTCAAACAATTCTAATTTTAGGATGGACTGTGTTGTTACTTGATATACATGGTTTTCACTTGGCATTTTCTTTTTTTTTTTTTTTTTTGGTTTTTGGAGACAGGGTTTCTCTGTGGCTTTGGAGGCTGTCCTGGAACTCGCTCTGTAGACCAGGCTGGCCTCGAACTCACAGAGATCCGCCTGCCTCTGCCTCCCGAGTGCTGGGATTAAAGGCGTGCGCCACCAACGCCCGGCTTCACTTGGCATTTTCAAATGGTGACAGTTCATAGACTACAGGCACCTCTACAAATACCTAGAGAGTCAATGACAACAGCTTGGTCCTCTGATTTTGTGTTTTTAGGAGTAGCAAAGAACTCCTGTTGCAACCTGTTACCATCAGCAGGAATGAAAAGGAAAAGGTTCTGATTGAGGGCTCCATCAATTCTGTCCGGGTCAGCATTGCTGTGAAACAGGTGAGTCACCATGGAGTGAGCAGTTAGGAGTGCTTTTCACAGCCAGGGTTCCCATCGAAAGGTCAGTGAGCTAGATTCAGAGCCTGCTTTGAGGAATTTACTTGGCATGATTGGCCAGAGCAGGTATGGTAGCACATGCTGTAATCCTAGCACTTGGAAGTCTGAGACTGAAGATGGAAAACCCAAGGCCAGCCTGAGCTACTTGGTGAGTCCCTATCTGTAAAAAACAAACAAAACAAAAAGTGAGTCAGTAGAATAAAACGACAGCAACCCTATCCCATAGGCCTTGCTCTGGATTACAAACAAGGAAATGTGGCAGGCAAGGACACGGGTGATGGTTGTGTGCACTTAGAGCACTACCAACCAGCACTAGTTTGATAGCCGTAGTTTCTGAAACTGCCATTTCATTTAAAAGCAGATGGTACAACACATATGCACATACAGAATTCTCAACAATAGCAAAAAAAGGAGCAGACCTTCCCATTTTAACTTGTCTTTCAGAAACAGCTGTGTAGGCCAGCAGTGGGCGGGATGATACATGAGGAAAGAAAAATGCCAACAAGAACACTGGCAAAGCTATCGGAACTGAAGATCTGTTAACAGTAATTGCCCAGACAAATGTCATGGTGTTTTCTTGACAAATGTCATGGCGTTTTTTTTGTGCATGTTCTCTAGTAGTTTTATAGTTGAAGGACCTACTTCTAGTCTTTTATCCATCTTCAGTTAATTTTTGTATATGGTATAAGATATGGGTCTAGTTACATTCTTCCACATATGAATGACCAGTTGTCAGCACAACTTGTTGAAGAAATTCCTGCCATTGTGTGACCTTGGTGCTTTTGTTGGAAATCAGTTGACTATAAATATTTCAGTTTCTTTGTGAGCTTTCTGTTCTCTTCCAGTTCATATATGTATGAAATAGAATTTCCATTTCTTGCATGTTTCCTTAGGCTATGTTTGACAAATGTCTGCCATGTAGGTCTGGGCCTTGCTGTCTCAGCATCTCTTGAATTGTTATTTAATCTTTGTTTTAAATTTGACCTAGATTCCTTTTTTGTTTGTTTTTGTTTTTCAAGATAGGGTTTATCTGTGTAACAGCTCTGGCTGTCCTGGTACTCACTTTTTAGACCAGGCTGGCCTCTAACTCACAGAAATCACCTGCCTCTTCCTCCTGAGTGCTGGGATTACAGGCCTGCGCCTGCTCTGCCAGATTTTTGACCTAGATTCTAGTTCTCCTTTAAAAAGAAACTTTGTATCCTAAGTAGGAAAACAGTATCATTTGCCCTTTCCCCAGCAGACAACTTTAAAAGTAACAATTAAAACAAAACAATGTTACAAATCTTAACTTTTTGAAAGCTTTCGGGGTTATAAGGAAGCACTGGCAGACTGGGTGGCTGTACTGGTGTCCAGATGCAGAAGTAACTGGAAGAGTTGAAAAAGGAGACTTTAAGATTGTTGGATTTTAGTAATGTTAAGGCAGACACTCCTTGAGGAAGTCTCTGATAGCCAGGTGGTGGGTCCCACCAATGCTGAAAAAGGCCACACTAGTGACATGAGGAAGGGCAGGCAGCTCCAGATACAGTGTGGACTCCATTACAGCTGATGAAAGACTAGTTTGCCAGAGTTCCCTCACCGGCCTGAGATGAGATCTCAGTAACGCCTGTTAAGGCAGAGTGGCCCTGGCTGGGTCCTCCCTTCAGTTAGCAGCTGGTGCTGCAATTCAGAGATCAGCAGTCTTTTGTTCCCACTAAACCTCTCTGCAGTGGGAGGTACTGGGCCAGTGAACCAGGCTCAGGGTGGCTTTGCATGCCTGCTGGAGAGTCGTCGTCATCTTTCTGTCACCAGGCTGATGAGATCGAGAAGATTTTGTGCCATAAGTTCATGCGCTTCATGATGATGCGAGCGGAGAACTTCTTTATCCTGCGAAGGAAGCCTGTGGAGGTGAGACCTATCTTCTGGTGCTTGAAATTCCCAGGGTTCTGTCTCTCGGGTTTTTGCAGTATGGGGGATGGAACCCAAGGCCTTGCACTGCTGGGCAAGTTATTAGGCTATTCCCTTGGTCTGTGGGATTGAAGGCCAAGGGCTGCTGATTTTCTAGCTGTAGGGTATTACTGTTTGGACTGAGTCAGCCCGCCCATACATGGTAGCAGAAAGGCAGAACCCCAGAAAGAAGCAGGTCTGTGCAGTGCCTCCTTCAAAAAATCTTGGGCCTAGTCACAGACAAAACAGTGATTTCAAAATTTCGTGAGCTGGGTGTGGTGGGCATGCTTATACTCCCAGTATGCGGGAGACTAAGGTGGAAGAATCATGCATTTGAGACAAGAGAAAGGAAGAAAAAGACAAGAAAAATGAAACAAAAACAATCGTAAGCTCTCCCAGCTGAAATCCAGCCTCTCAGAGCCCCAGTAAACAGCGTTGCCTGCCTTTGTGTTTAAAAGCACTTGATACTACTCCATAGGCTCCTGCCAAGTCTCCCTGGTGACCTAGCAGCCAACATGTGTTGGTCAGTTTCTCACCTTGAGCCACCCTCTCTCTGTCCTCACTCCAACCTCTGGGGCCACTAGAGTAAATGAGCTCCTCTTCCTCACACATCCTGTAGCAAACAGCTCCAGTTCCATCCTCCTCCATGTCAGGTCTCCTGTGTTTTTTACTATTGAGTTGAATTCTTTGAAATAAGGTTTGTGATCCCTTTATTCCCTTAACTCATTTCGAATACAGTTTGTGCCACAGTCTTTCAGGGACATCTGACCTAGCACACAATTTTGAGCTGGGTTCAGTTGCTTGGGTCCAGGAGACACGCAAAACACACACGCACTCACACATGCCCCTCCCCCCAAGCAAGTGCTTTGCTGACTAAAGGACAAATGTATAGCTCAGGAGAAGATGGTAGCCAGTTGGAAGCCTGTGTGTCAGTGTAGAGAAGATACGACAACCAAGTGTCCCTGGGGTCTAATTTTGCCTTGTCTCTTCTTTCCCTGCTGGCTTCCCTCCCTAGGGGTATGACATCAGCTTTCTTATCACCAACTTCCACACGGAGCAGATGTACAAACACAAATTAGTGGACTTTGTAATCCACTTCATGGAGGAGATTGACAAGGAGATCAGTGAAATGAAGCTGTCTGTCAATGCCCGGGCCCGCATTGTGGCTGAGGAGTTCCTCAAGAATGTGAGTAGGGCCTCCCCACTCTGTGCCAGAGGAAGAAACCATTGTTGCTGGGAATGTGGCACCTACGAGATAGTTCTGAGACCAAAGATTTCATCCTTGAGAGCCCTAGGGTTTTTTTTGTTGTTGTTGTTTTGTTTCTTTTATTATTTCTGCAAGTCTGGGAGGCAGGTCTCTGGTGGACATGTAGGCATGAATTCTGTATTTTTCCAGTTCTACATAGTGTCTACCTGTCCTAATTCAAACCTCATAGTGAGAAAGATAAAGTGCCTTGTGACTCCTCTGAGGCCAAGGACAGTTAATTGTGTGTAAGTCCACTTCTCCAACAGACGTAAATATTTGTCTTCAGTGTCTGTTTCTCAGGCTTACCACTATGGTTTCTTCAGCATGTTTCCCATTCCTCATGACTTGTGGCCCTCAAACTGAGGGACTGTAGTGCTCTGAAGAGGGGAGGTTGTTTACATGAGGAGCTGGCAGCATTGCTTTGTCTCGAGACTCAGGACATGCCACTGCCTTCCAAACAATCTATGGTTTGTTGATACATCCCACTCAGAACTCTCTGATCCCTCCTTGGTAGAGTTCATGTTTGTTCTTACTGGTGCATACAGACCAGCCCAGGGGAGTTCAGAATCCTAAAAATGGAAATGATACCCACTTCCCCTGGGGCTTAATTATACTGTGGTGGCCAGTGCACAAGACACTGTTGTTTATACTTACAAATCAGACCAAGTGTGGGCCTGGCTCCCACGCCTCTGCCTCCCCCAGGCACATCCCGGGAACTGCTCACCTAAGCTGTTTTTCCCTCTGCTGTGATGAAGGTGCTACCTTTCAGGGAGGTTGAACATTAAGTACGGTCACATGAGAATGCTGTGTGTGTGTGAGAGACAGGGAAAGAGGAGAGGAGAGAGAGATTGAGATTATGCCCACAGATTCTACAACAGGGTATGCAACCACCTGGAGCTGAAGCTGTAGGAGCTGAAGGTATGGGTGCTGGGAACAGACCTTGGCAGGCCTGGAACTCACTAATGTAGATCAAGCTGGACTCAAAGAGATCCACCTGCCTCTGCCTTCTGAGTGCTGGGGTTAAAGGGGTACGTCACCACAATCAACTGCTCTTAAACTTTTAAACAGCATATTGTCAATTCTCATAACACTCAAAATGAGAGTCTAACACCCCCAAACCTGGAGCATGTAATGAATGTGTGGGGTTCTTGTTTGTTTCATTGTCCTTATGTTTGTGTGCTTCCCCTTTAAGTTGGGAGTTTGGTTTCTGACCAGTCAGACATACAAGGACATGTTAAATAAACGAGTAAGAACTTCCCAGTTGTATTTCCAAGCTCACAGGTGGGAAGACTAAAGGCCAGGATAGGGGCTGTACTGGGACAGTCTCTTACAGCTGAAGCCAAAGTGAAATGGGAGCAGTAACCAGCTCTGTTCTCCTGGCCAATTGGGGCTCAGAACTTGGGACAACAAACCAGTCTGTATCCAGTCTGTATATCCCCTGCCAGATCACCTGTGAGGGTGTGGACAAAGACAAAATACCTGAAACTGATGAAGGAGCTAAGGGCAGGGCCAGGTGCTGGGCTTACAGGACCTGAGGCTCTGTGTGTGTGTGTGTGTGTGTGTGTGTGTCTGTGTCTGTGTGTGTCTGTGTCTGTGTGTGTGTGTGTGTGTGAGAGAGAGACAGACAGACAGACAGAGAGAGACAGACAGAGAGAGAAGAGAAGGGACTAGGAACAAATGATACCTTTCCAGACTATCCTGTACCTTTAATGAACTTGCTGTATCCCAGCCTATGGAGTAGAGCATAAATATAGAATAAATACAAGACCAGTGAGAAACAAAATGATGAAAAGCAAACCCTGACCCCAGAACGTGTAATGAAATTGTTTATTTTTTTTAGTGTGTGTGTATACACATATGTATGTACGTACACACACGTGAGTGCAGGTGCCCAAGGAGGCCAGGTGACTGAGTTAGATACCCAGGAACTAGAGTTATAGGCAGTTGCAAGCCACCCAATGTTAAGTACTGAGAATTGAACTCAGGTCCTCTGGAAGAGCTGCAAGTCCTCATCAGTCAGTACATTTTAGTTTTAAAAATGTATGTGTAGCTGGGTCTTGGTGGTGCACGCCTTTAATCCCAGCACTAGGGAGGCAGAGGCAGGCGGATCTCTGTGAGTTCAAGGCCAGCCTGGTCTACAGAGTGAGTTCCAGGACAGCCTCCAAAGCAATACAGAGAAACCCTGTCTTGAAAAAAAAAATCGTGCATGCACACGTAGTATATACATGGTGTACATGTCTGCAGGCGGCACCCAGACATCAGCGTTGGACTTGGATGTCCTCTCTATTGCCTTCCACCTTATTTTTGGTCTTTGGTTGAACTTAGAGCCTGTCATTTCAGTGAGACTGGCTGGCCAGTGAGTCCCCAGGTTCTGCTTGTCCCATCCGATACCTCCCCCCCCCCAGCACTGGATTATAGGCACACATGTGGGTTGTGCTGGAGTGTCAAACTCAGGTTCTCATGCTTACCCAGAAAGCCCTCTAGTCCATGTCATCTCCCCCAGTTCCTCACATTGTCTCTGTTTGTTTGAGTTTTGTTTTTGTACCTTTTTTCTTATATTTTTAAAAAAGAAAAACTTAAAAACAGTAAGGTTCTTTCTCAGTGCCGGTGTGGTGACGTGAACCATCTGTAACTTCAGTTTCATGGGATCTAAAATCCTCTTCTGGTCACTGGACATCAGGAACACAAACAGTGCACAGACGTACCTGCAGGAGAGATGCTCATACACATAAAATAAAAACCTTTGAGATGTGTTAGCATCTTGCTGAGAGTAAGCTGAGGTTCTCGAAATAACATTGCCTGCCCAGTGGCTGTCTAGTAACCAGGCGGATGTAGAGGGAGATTTCTGATTTGAGTGATAAGGCCATAGCATCTGGCATACTGCAGTCACTCAAGCAGGTGGTGCATGTGGCTGAGGTGAGCTGTGAGGGACATGATAGCACTTGTCTCTTGAAAGGGATGCCGCCAAGCAGCTGCAGCCTCTGACTGCCTCGTTGTCCCTCCTTTTCTTCTGGAGCTTGGAGTTTAACCAGACCAAGGGCTTTGCTCGTGCTGCTCAAGCCCCGCAGCTGGCCTCTGTCCCCAGCCCACTTTTTCCTTTCAGTGCCAGGAGTCCTCAGATTTGCAGGCATCCCACCTCAGCCTTTATAGTAGCCGGGTAACAGGCTTATACAGCCAGACCGCAACAAATTGTTAAATGAATCCCCACATTTGAATTTGTTAGTGGCATCTGTTGTCTTCAAAGTTGGCAACTGATTCATAGCTTTTGAACATCATGTGGCCCAGCAGTCTCTGGTTTATAAGTGTCCAGGACTGTTCTTGGCACCGTGGCATATCTGAGGACAAAAATCATCTTCTTCCTGTCCCGCCCCTTCCCTTCCTTCTCTTCTCCCCTCCCATCTTTCTCTTGGTCTTTCTGGGAGGAAGGCAGGGGATGTAGCCCAGGCTGCTTCGAACTCACTTTATGCCTGAGGACGGCCTTGACCTCCTGATCCTTGTGCCCCTGCTTTCCTAAATGGTAGGATTGTGAATGTGCTACCACAGAGAGCAGGAAGCCCCTCTCAGGCCTGTTGTGGTTGGACAATCACTCAAAGGTTAACAAAGTATCAGACCTTGTCCCTCTCTCCTTGGTTCCCTGAGTCCCCCAGCCCTTCACATGTGGGTCTCCATATCTAAAGCCACTTCAGTTACCCAGCAGGCTGTGGGGCAGCCCTCAGCACTTAGTTCATTCTGTTTTGTCCAGTTCTGTGTTTCAGGCCAGTGTCTTCAGACCACTGTTGAAGTCTGGCCGGATTAAGAGCGTGCTCATGGGGCTGTAGGGGCGACTTGGTGGTTAAGAGCACTTGCTGCTCTTTCTGAGGAGCGGGTTTGGTTCCTAGTGACCACCTGGAGGTTCACAAGAAAGAATGCTCAGAAGTGCCAAAAGCTGATCCTGGACTCAGACCTGAACAGCAGCAGCTCAGCCTGCTTACCCGGAACAGGCTCATCAGGCAGGATATAGAAACCCCATTCATTGCCTGTCATTCTCTTTGACAGTTTTAAACCATCTGGCTGGATCTCGCGGCCTTCCCCCTTGGCCTTCCCTGTGTCTCTGCGTGTCTGCGAAGGTGTCCTGGAGTCACTCCCCGGAGCAGCGGTGCAGCAGCAGCAGCAGCAGCAGGAAGCTGGGTTGGGTGGGCATTGGATGCGGGAGGCGGGTGTGGTGTGCTTGCTAGCTGTGCAAAAAGGCAGCAGTGGACCTGCCCCAAGGCCACACGTGTCTGGTCAGGCTAGCTTCCGATGTTCAGTCCCCTGGGTTGGGACAGACTTTTTTTTAAACGTCCCGAAACCTAAACTCTGTGCTTGTAGAAGACTGTAACCTTTTGTCTTTTTTTTTTTTTTTTTTACAACCTGCACCTCCAGTGGCTGTGACTGGCCCCAGTGATTGTACCTTATTGGTCGCTGTGGTCTGGGCGGGCCTGGAGCCAGAAGGCGACTTTTTTTCCTGTGCCACCCCAGGTGGGGAGAGAGGGAAGTTTCAGACTCCAGTTTCTCTTTTCTGCTGTCTTACTCAAAGCCTCCTTGGCCCGGTAGAGGTGGTAAGGACTCTCTACTGGCTTCCTGAGTTCTGCCTGAAGATGGCTACCGCACTGGTTGGGAACAAGGGCTGAATCCATGATTGCCAGGCAGACCTAGGAGCTGGGGTCCAAAAGCCAGGCAACTTCTGGCTGCAGAGGCCACCAGGAGTCATCCTCCCCCAACGCCTCCCCAGCTGAGAGGCCCCAAGGCTTGCCTGTCTGGGTACAGTGCCTGTGCTGGAGGTGCAGAGGTGAGTCTTTGCGTGCCCACCTGGGCCTCACCTACTCCGGCTCCTCTGCTGCCGCTCGCTGTCTCTGATTCTGATGAATCCTCCCTTCCCCTGATTAAAGTCTCTTCCTGCCCCTTTGGGGCTGCATGAGGTCTGTGCTCTGTGTCTGTGTGGAAGGACAGGTATTTTTATTCCTTGGAGCCATGAATGGCTGGCACTTGGGTCTGGAGCAGTCCACAAGACAGTTTTGTCATTGATCCCTGCCAAGGGCACCAACCCAGGGAACTTCACTGCAGTCAGGCACCATTATTCTGAAGGTGGTCCCTGCCTAGACAGAGAGAGATAGCAATGGTTTCCACATCATACTTCTATTCCATCTTCAGGGATCCTCAGAAACCAGGTGCCACATCCAAAATCATTGATCCCTGCCAAGGGCAGCAACCCAGGGAACTTCACTGCAGTCAGGCACCATTATTCTGAAGGTGGTCCCTGCCTAGACAGAGAGAGATAGCAATGGTTTCCACATCATACTTCTATTCCATCTTCAGGGATCCTCAGAAACCAGGTGCCACATCCAAAATAGCTTGCTCCAAGTCTCCCATATCCTGTGAACTAGAAAGAGCCTTCTGCCTGTGCTGGCAGGAATCACTCTCCACACTATCTCAAAGTCTTAGTTCACTTGGTGACTGGACAGCTAAAGGTATCTCAGTACTGAAAGTGCTCAGGGAGTTTCATCAGATAGTGCCTGTGACTTCCTGCTGGCTCCTGAAGTAAGCAGTCCTTTCTCTCACTGTCTCTTACTATGTAGAGACAATGGGAGCTGTATAGCACTGCCCCTGCCAAACAGATGCTGGGTGAACAGCAGTTGATCCTTCTACTTCTCTGTGTGCTGGGCACCAACATTGACACCCAGTCATACTTTGGTGAAACGCAAGTCCAGGGAAAGTGGTCTGCAAATAGGCGTATACGTGGTGTTCTTGGTCGGAAGTGGGAGCGGGTAACGTGTGCTCACAGGAGAAGGCATCAGGGAAAATTCAGGAACAGTTGGCCTTGAGCCAGGTCTGTTGGCTCACACGTTAGTCTAGCACCTAGAAATTAGAAACTCTATGAGTTCTAGACCATCCTTAAACTACAGAAAGATATTTTCTCAAATAAAATAAAAAGTTGTGTATGTGAGAGCACTGAGCTTTCTAGATGGCCAAAGGAGTGTTTGCTGAGGGTTGGTGGGAATTGTTTCTCAGGGCCTTGAGCACAATATGCAAGCCTATCTCCAGGCGACATCACCAGCCCCCAAAGGGGCCTTTTGAAGAGAACAAGTGTTAAAGAAAGGATGGGTGTGGGGACAGCTTGATTGGCTACCATCCCTTTGTGACACTACCTCTGTGACCTCCTTATTGAATTAGTTGAACCCTGTGTGGTGCATGGTTTCTTTCTAGCTTTGCAGTGAAGCTGGATGATCAGAAGGGAATGGCAGCTGGCCACTCAACCCTCAAAGAACATCCTTGCTCCGGTGAGCCAGCCAAAACACTCTGATGCTGTAGATTATCTCCCAAGCTCCGAAGATTGCTGCCAACCAGCCAATCCTCCTCTTCCGGGAAGTCCGATTTCCAGCCACTTGTGGGGTGGGAGGGGTAATCTCTGGTTGGGTTTGGCTAGACTAGTAGCTGGGGGACCTACACTGCAAAAGCAGACTTGCCTGGTGACGACACGACAGCTGGATTCTTGGACTGCTTGAGTAGACACTGCTAGTGTTGGCCTCTAACTGCATTTGGTGCTTCTCACTCCCACTGGAAGCCCAAGTGGCTGGGCATGTAGCTCAGTCTCTATACGGCTTTGTCCAGCATGCATGAAGCCAGAGTTCCATTCCAGCACCAGGTGTGAGGGCAGTCCAGCTGTTGAAAGTCTGCCTGGGGTATGTGAGACCCTGTCTCGAAAAGGGTGTTGGAATCAGACCTTACTAGAATTGGTGTGTGATTTTGAGAAAAGTTGTGTACTGTTTTGGAGTCTGTCTGACTTATTTTCTCTGAGTTCTGAAGATAATGCCTTACTTACAGATTTGGCCAGAATGACGTACTACTGCTTCTTTCCATCTCTTGAGTTGATAAAAATGATTGTACTTTTTGAGTTCGTGGAAGAGGCAGTGTGTGCTCTGAACCTTTTATTGTCACCCCATACACAGCCTTGACTTTCTTACTCCCAAAGACCTCCAGCCAAATCCACCCAGGCCCCACAGGACTGATTCAACCCCACCAGCTGCCTTTAAACCCCCCCCCCCTTCCCCAGGTTCCCAGCCTGAACAGCACAGTTACCAAGGCTTCCCACTGCTAGAATGTGATTTCATCTTTTCCCATGCTCCCTGGCTCCTATGCATGTACACCTTTAGCTTAACTGGTTCCTGAGAGGGGACATGCCTAACTGCCTTACCTTCAGGAAGTCCCTTCCCGGTTTTAGCTCACTTCCTTTTCCCTGCCCTTAAACCTGCACCTTTTTGTTTCTTTTGCTAATTTTTGGTTTTCCACACACTGTAAACTCCATGATGTCGGAGATTTGACAGCCCTTATCCCAGGGCCTTAGTGTGGCGGCCAAGGCACAAAAAATGGTCGCCCCAGGGCTCGGTTCTTCCATCCTCAGTGTCTGGCTCATCAAGGGTGTGTGGCAAGTGAGGCCCAGAACCGAAACCACCATGAAAAAAATCCTAACTCCACTTCCCACAGCAGTTCTCAGGCCTTCCGTACCTGAGTCTGATTGTGCCTGGGTAACGGTCTCCTAGGAGACGGGAAACAGAGGGCGGGGCCCGAGAGGGCTCCTAGGCGGAGGCGCGCACCGGGGCGCTGGGAGCGATCCTGGCGAGAGGCGCATGCAGGGCCTCAGCGCAGCGCTTCTCCTGAGCGCGGGGCAGCTGGTGCCTGCAGCCGCCTGGTACCGCCAGGAGCGCGGCTCGGAGTGCAGCTGGCACCGGAGGCCGCAGCCGCCCGAGCTCCGCACCAATTTCCCTCCCCAGTGGCCCTGGGCAAGCAGCTCCGAGTTTGACCCGCCAGGGAACCAGCAATGGGCCGGGCCCGCCTCCGCCAGGCCCGAGGGGGCGCGCTGCGGTGGCAGCCTTGGGGATTGCAACTCATTGCCTGCGCGCCACTTAAGCAGCGCCCACGAGTTCATGCCGGGTGCCCAGGACACCGCGAACCCCTACCCTGTCTGCTCCCTGCTCCCCCCGACCCTGGCTGAGCCCCTGCCTGATGCCCCGCCGCCGCCTGATGGTGAGGTGCAGCGAGGGCGGCCAGCCCTAACACCCTAGCAGCTACAGAGAGAGGTGGGGAGGGTGGAAGGAATGGGGAATCTGAAGAGCTCGGGAGATTGGGCGTCCGGATATAGGGTAGGGGCACCCGGAGTCAGAGAGGTCCTTGGACCAAGCCCCCCCAGCTTTCTGTGTTCCTGCTCTGCTTCTCTCTACAGATTCCCTTATCCTCTGGCGAGGATTCTCCAAAGGACCTCACCACATGGGCCGACTCAGAAACGCCAAAATCCACGTAGAGAGAGCCGTCAAGGTCGGAGGGGATGGGGTAGTGGTGGCTACACTTACTAGTTTCTCATATCCTTAAAAATAAATCCATAAATGTCAAAGACTTAATACACACACACACACACCTATAAGTGTCCCCCCCCCCCCCCACCTCCATGCTCAGTCCCTCTTCAGGCCCATAGTCTTGACTGAATTCCCTCTTCCAAGGGATGCTTTCTTCAGCTCAGTCCCTGATTCCCAGCCCTTCTATCCCATTCCCATTAGAAATTATTCTCATCTAGTGCCCTGGTATCCAGAAAGGAGCCACATCCTGCAGCCTTCCTTCTGCTGGGGCGCTGTGTGTCACAAAGGAGTCCTACACTCCACCCTGGGCTGAATGGCTGGCTGGCTGGCTTGCTCCACACTCCTAGTTTCCCTTACTGCCTCTGAAGATTCCCCAGATGTTTGATACCTTGGGTCCTTCTCTGTGCACATCTTTCCTTGAGCTTGGGAGACCAGAATCACATCGTGCCCTGCACTACCCTGCGCCTCAACCCTGGAGATCCAGCCCTCTGTTGGATGTCTCCACTCAAAGAGCTCACCAGCACCTCTCACTTGCATCCCAAACCTTACTCCTGTTCAATGGTCCAAACCTGTCATCCTCCCTGGTATCCAGTTTTCCCCATTTATTTCAGAACCAGAAATCCATTCTTCCAGGTCCTTTCATCCATCGCAAACTCAGGCACACCTCCAAGATGAGTCTCAGGCTAGCTCCTTCCCCGTTTCCACGCTACCACCCTCATTACTATTGCAGTTGTTTAGACCATGGCATCCACCGCGGTCTGCCTCTGTGCCTGCCCCTCCCCCATTGGCTCTTCATGCAGCTGCGTGCAAACTTACAGAGCCAGCCGCCTTTAGTTCCTTACCCTCTTGATTCAGTCCTCTCGCTTTAAAGCATAAGGCTAAATTTAAGGTCCACTGGGCTCCCCACAATCCAGTCACTCTCTGCGTATTCTTGGGAGCTCTCATTGTTCAGATTTCACTCTCCCTGACCTCTCAGTTCCTTCTGACTTCTGGCTAGGCTCTGAACCTTTGCACACGCTACCTACTCTGCTTGTTCGGCTCTGCATTCATGGCACCTTCCCAGTTTGCCATGACCACGTATTACTCTTGAGACTGGGAATACCAGTGATAGAATGTGTGCTTAGCATATAGGAAGCCCTGAGCTCAATCCCCAGCACCAGACAGAAAGGAAGAAATCCTTGCTCTGTCCCTTAACTACCGTGTAATATTGGAGAAACTGTTTAGCCTCTATATGCCTTTCGTATGTAATTCAAATGCAAATTGTTTTTAGTGGTGCACATAAGTGCTTACCACACAGCAGGGACATAGTAACTAGCCGCTGTCTTTGTTTATTTTTCTCCTTGTTTATAAGCTGCCTCCTACTGAGATATAAAATTTCCCTGAAGACAGAGATCCTGTCTGGTTCACCATTGCCTCCTATATGTCCGATGCTGAAGAAAGTCCCTGCCTCTCACCTTACAGCAGAAGAAGATCTTTATGATTCATGGCCGATACCCAGTGATCCGGTGTCTATTGCGCCAGAGGGGCTGGGTAGAAAAGAAGATGGTCCAGCCCCAAGGCACCATCCTGCCGGCACCCCAGAAGGATCTAGATAGTTCAGTGATGGGTGATAGTGATGCCACGGAGGATGGTGAGTAGGTCCCTCCTTGTGCACAAGATGTCCCTCCTGAGTCCTTTTCTGTTGCTTCCTGGTTCAGGGTTAAGACCTTAAAGGGCTGTGGGACATAGACACATTCCCATGGAGTCATCTTCCACACCCACAGAGGATGAAGAAGAGAGTGAGGAGTTTCCGCAGCCACAGCTGTTGGACTTCGATAGTTTTCTGGAATTTGATGACCTGGATGGAGTACATGCTTTGATGGTGAGGACTCTGGGGGTCAGTACAAAACAGGGACTGGCAGGAGGCTTCTATTCAGTTGGATGTCCTTCCGTCTCTGGACCCCAACTTGCAGTCTGGGAAACCAGATTGCTTCTCTAAAGATTGGCTAGATCTGCTGGGTGCTGGTGGACTTGGTAGGCCTGATATGGTGACCACATCCTCTGCTCATGCTGCCTCCGATGGCCTCCCTGCCACAATGCTTCGCCCAGCTCTTCCCTTTGCCCTTGGTAAATGAAGGCTGTAAGAAATGGCTTTAAAAGTCAGACAAGCAAAGGTGATTCGTCCTTCAATAAAGTGAGGGGCCGAGTTCAGTCTCCAGAATCCAGGTGTATTAGCTTGACAGTGGTGGCGCACGCCTTTAATCCCAGCACTTGGGAGGCAGAGGCAGCAGATCTCTGTGAGTTCAAGGCCTGTCTGGTCTGCAGAGTAAGTTTCAGGGCTACACAGAGAAACCCTGTCTCAAAAAAAAAAAAAAAAAAAAGCCAGGTGTGGTGAAGGAAAGCTTGTAGCCTCCCAGGGAAGCAGAAACTAGTGCACCCTAAGGCTTGCTGGTCAGCCAACAGAGCGTACTATACAAACTCCAGTCCAGTGAGAGACCCTATGGCAAAAACAAGTTTTGGGGACTGGAAAATGACTCAGTGGTAGAGTGCTGGCTGTTCTTCCAGAGGTTTAATTCCCAGCACCACCTGATGGCTCTTAAGAGTCTGTAACTCCAGTTCCAAGGGATCTGACACCCTCTCCTGGCCTCCCTGGGTACTGCATGAATTTGGTACACAGACATACTTGCAGGTAAAATACCCATATGCATGAAATAAAAACAAATACATCCTTTAGAAAAAACAAGATGGATGGCTCCTGATGGGACCCAAGATTGTACTCTGGTCTCCACACGCACACGCACACACACACACACACACACACACACACACACACACACACAAAGACATATCCCTACACACAGAAGCATGTACACCAAAACTTGAGAGATGCTGATATGCTGGTGTGGTGAAGAGAAAACACGAGTTCAGAGCTTGACCCCACCCAGACTAAGTGAACTATATGAAATTTCCATTTCTTTTTCTTTTCTTTATTTTAACCCCCCCCATCCCATTTCTCTCTGTGTGTGATATGCATGCATGTGGGTATGGGCCTGCACATGCCACATACACATGTGCAAATCAGACAACTATCTGAACTCGATTCTCTCATTCCATCATGTGTTCCCGGGATCGGCTCAAGTATTGGGTCTTGGCATCAGGCACCATTGTGTGCTGAGTCATCTGGCTGGCTTCAATAATTTCATTTCTGTTTCTATAATAAAATACCCTGGCAGAAAGCTACTTGTCATGGAAAGTTTAACTCCTAGTTCCAGGTTACAGTCAGTCATAGCAGAGAAGTCAAGGTGAAGACCTTCAAACAGCTGGTCACATGGCATCCACAGTCGAGCAGAGAAATGGATGGGTGCTTTGCTCTCCACTCAGCTCGCCTCCTCCCCTTGCATGCAGTCCAGGACCCAAGCCCAGGGGGTAGCACCACCCATCCGGATCTGGGTCTTCCCACATTAGTTAGTGTTATGAAGACAGCGCCCCCCAGACCAACCTGATCTAAACAGTCCCTCCTTCAGATTCTCTTCCTACCAGGTGGTGGCGCTCACCTTTAATCCCAGCACTCAGGAGGCAGAGCCAGGTGCATCTCTGAGTTCAAGGCCAGTCTGGTCTACAGAGTGAGTTCCAGGACAACTAAGGCTCCACAGAGGGGAGAAAAGGAAAACAAAGTTCTACTGTGCAGATGACTTCTGGCTGACCTTGAACTCAAGTTCCTCAGCCTCCAGAGTGCTAGAGTTACAGGCAAACACTATTCGGGGCAGTGATGGCACACTCCTTTAATCCCAGAACTCAGAAAGCAGAGGCAGCTGAACTACAGAGAGAGTTCCAGGATAGCCAGGGCTCCACAGAGAAGCCCTGTCTAGAAAAAACAAAACAAAACAAAAAACAGATGCTGGGCGTTGGTGGCGCACGCCTTTAATCCCAGCACTCGGGAGGCAGAGGCAGGCGGATCTCTGTGAGTTCGAGGTCAGCCTGGTCACAAATCGAGTTCCAGTACAGCCTCCAACAATACAGAGAAACCCTGTCTCGAAAAACCAAAAAAACAAACAAACAAGCAAACAAACAAACAAACAAAAAAACAGGTAAGCACCAGCACACGCATTCTGACCCTTTTTCTAAGTGTCTTCCGTGTCAGTTCATTTGGTTCTTACTCAAGCACTCTAAGGTAGGGTTAGTGCATTCCACGGGTGAGAAAAACAGAGTGACAGACCCCCACAAACATGGCCACAGAGACTTTAACTCACTAAAAAACAACATGAAATTGCAGCATGAAGTCTTTTCTCTTTTCCCCTCCAAGACAGGGTTTCCCCGTGTAACCCTAACTGTACTAGAACTCCCTATGTATACGAGGCTGGCCTTGAACTCAGAGATCCACCAACCTCTGCCTCAGGAGTGATGGGTGTGGCTACCATGCCTGACTCAATACACAGAGGTGGCAGTTTCAAGCTTGGCAGAGTGGTACACATCTGCAATCCAGTGCTTGGGAGGCTGAAGCAGAGAGACCATGAGTTAAAAGGTAGCCTGGGCTACCTAGTGAGATTGAGGCTTTTGTGTACTACATAGCAGGAGTCTGTCTCTAAAAACAAAGAATAGAGCCTATTAGAGCATTGTTAGCTAATAATATCTGTGTCCCAGAGCTGTAGGGAGAATGCAAAGGTTGGGTCCATGGGGAGCCTCTGTCCATGCTGTGTGTTCACTGATTGGAGTCACTGTCTTTCCACTGGGGCAATCACTGATGGTCACAGAGCAAGGTGTGGCATTGTGGTGTGCAGCTTAGTCACTGCCAAGTGGAGGCTGGAAATTCCACCTGCTGTCTGTTCACCCAGCATGCCCTCTAAAACAAATGTCTTCTCATGCCTTATTCAGAAACGGGGGTGTGCAGCAGGGCAGGGAGAAGCTGTCCCCACTGGCCTTCCTGTCTCCATCTCCTCCCCTTTTCTCCAGTCCCGCATGGTTCGGAATGAGACCCCCTACCTCATCTGGACCACTCGGCGAGATGTGCTGGATTGTCGCTTCCTCTCCAAGGATCAGATGATAAACCATTATGCCCGCGCAGGCTCCTTCACTACAAAGGTAGGCATCTCAGGGGGATCCAACCCCAGCCTTTGGGCTGGCAGCCCTGCTTCCTGCTGTACTTGTCAGTTAGAGAAGAATCTACAAAGAACACAGATATTCTTAGGTTCACATCTAGTCCCCAAACTATATGTGACATATGTTGACATGACAATTGTGGGCTCAGTTCCCATGAAGTCCATATGAAGTCTAAAAACAGAGAAGCATCAAAGCAATGATGGAGAACAAAGGGGCCCTTGCCTGAACAGAGCATGTCTGTCTACTGGGTTTCTTAGCAAGCGGCTCCCCCTCTCCAACCCGCCACTTCCTCATCTTGAGATGAGGATACCAGGTTGTCTAAGGTTGTGTAAAGGGTAAAAGGTTTACCAGCAAAAAAAGAAAAAAAAAGGTTTACCAGCATCTACTATGCCAGTGGTTCTCAGCCTGTGGGGCACCACCCCTCTGGGGTCACCTATCAGATATCCTGCGTATCAGATATTCATATTACAATTCATAACAGTAGCAAAATTACTGTTAGGAAGTAGCAACAAAATAAAGGATTGCATCATCAGGAAGGTCGAGAACCACAGTACTATGCCGTCACTCACACTGTGGTGTGAACTATAAAGGCTCCCTGGATAGAATAAGCTTTTGTGGATGGGAAATGGTGGGTAGAGGGACATGGGGCATTCTCAGCTGGCAAACCTGGAGATGGATATCAAATCAGGCCTTGCAAGTGGGCTGGAGGTTCCAGGCAGGCTTTTCCTGGGTGTCTGGACATACACGCTACATTTGGGGGAGCCCCTTGACGCTCTCTGGGTCCTAGCCAGCCCCTTCAGCAGCTGTCCCCGTAGGTGGGCCTGTGTCTCAACCTCCGAAATCTTCCATGGTTTGACGAGGCTGATGCTGACTCCTTCTTCCCACGATGCTATCGCCTGGGGGCAGAAGATGACAAGAAAGCCTTCATAGGTAAGGGGACTCCAGCCCTGTGCCTGGCCCCCTCATGCTGTCTTCCCCACAATGGAAAACAACAGGCCTCCCCTCTTGCCCTCACTTACTCAGTAGACTTCACTCTAACCCCCATCCTTTCCTCCCCCCTAGTGGGTCTTCCATTCCTGAGCCTCCTAGAATGGCCAACCCTGGCCCAGAAAAGCCCAGAGAGCCTGACTGAACTCTAGAGCAGCAGGTTCTAGAGGTTAGTGGGCTGGCTCCATTTGGAATCCAGATAAGTTGCAGGCTGGACCAGGTTCCATAAAAGGCTGTGGGTTCCCATTCCAATATGGGTTCTGAGTTCAGAATTTGGATCTGGGGCAGATGGCAGCTTTTAAATTATGTTCTAAACCTGCGATAGACTTTACAGCACAGTGTGACTCTCAGGTTAGAGTAAGTACCAAAATGGACAAGGAGGACCATGGGTGGTGGGTCACACCTATAATCCCCACACTGGGGAAGCAGAGGCAGGATGGCCACAAATTTGAGACCACCCTTGTCTACATAGTGGGTTCCAAGGTAGTCAGCTTGAAACTGCAAGGACCTGTCCAAAAAAAAAAAAGAAAGAAAGGAAAGACAGGAAGAAGGAAGGAAGGGAGGAAAGGAGGGAGAGAGGGAGGGAAAGGGTACAGGTCACTATCTAGAGACAGTCTGTGCCACATCCGGTCACACTGTGGGTATGATACTCTATAGCTGGGGTAGTAGCCAGGTGCTAGAGTGAGACAGGTAAATGAGGTTCTGGATCCAAAATGGGGCAAGCCATGGTGAGGTTCCAGAACCAGGAGAGGCCTGGAGCCTGGGGGCTGAGCAGGATATCCCTGCCTGGGAGCAGAGGACTTCTGGCTGACAGCTGCCCGCAACGTTCTCAAGCTGGTGGTGAAGTCAGAAGGGAAGCCACACTTCATCTCCGTCAAGGCAAGAGAGGAAAAGGTCCTAGGTGAGTGCTGTGGTTAATTCCACTCCCACTATTATGTGCCTGTTCATCCCCATTCATTTACATGTTTAAGTCATATGACCAGACTGCAGCCTTTGCCACCAACCTTTGTGTCCAGCTTCCTATCTACGGATATTGTTCAATCCTGTTCACCCAGCCATCCACCCATCTACCTAGCCACCATCCATTCATTTTCTCCACCATCCCCCAACCTGGCCACCTCTTACCAATCACTGCAGTCACCTGTCACTGCCATCTTTTCCATGTTATATCCATCTGTCCACTCCCTTCCTTCCCCGCCCTTGCACAATCCATCTTCGTGTCTTCCCATCCACCTGCCCATCCTCTGCTTACCACCTGTCACCCTGAGATCTACCCCTTGCATCTACCCTGCGCCTGTCTACCTGACAATCTGTTAATTGTCCAGCCCTTGAACAGGCCTAATTGACCACTTTAGAGAGGTAGGCTGAGACCACATGGCCCATCCCTGCCTGTGATAACCACTTCAAATTCTCTGGGAAGACACAGAGCTATATCCAAGAAGCCCTGTGCCTGCACATAAGGAACATCTGGGAAGGGAGGGGACATAGAAACCCTCTGCATGCTGGCCCAACATAGTGCTTCCCTCCCTACTCTGCAATACTGGGGTTCTATGGCTAAGGGACTCTGGGAATGAATGGGCAGCTTTACTAGAAGGAGAAAAGTCCCTAGCCCTTCAAGAGGGACCCCTACACACACACCTTCGATTGCTGTCATTTGACCTAGGTGGATCAGGTTCCAAAAAGACTGTTATGTGCCAGGATCTGGGCCATAGGGGGACCCCCTATGACCAGAGACCCTGCATTTAAACTTCTGTTTACTGAGCTCAAGTATGGGTCAGGTTCCAGGTACATTGTAGGATCAAGTTGAATCGGGCCCAGAGGTAAGAGCTGCTGGTGGGTGCTAGGGTAGGCATGCTCTAGAGACCTTTGGGACATTTAGGCTGGAGGCTTAGTTAAGTAAGGGATGCAGGGACAATGGTGGCCAGGGACAAAATGCTAGGGTTGCAGGTGAATTTGGAGCAGTTTCAGGTGAGTGAGTGGCATGTCCCAGGGTGATTGGGGATCAAGTTCATGCTGGGACTCAGGTGTCTTTAGGGCGAGGTCTCAGGTAAGTGATAGGTTTCAGGTCAGCAAAGGACAATGGCATTTGTAACATTACCTGCTTCAAAATGGGCTATTTACAGGTCCCTTCCATCCCTACAGAAGGCACACAGCCCAAGAAACAGGAAAAAAAAGCAGTGACTGTGTCCCCAGAGTTTGTGGATGATGCTCTGAGTGCATGCGAGGAGCATCTTAGCAGCATGGCCCACAAGGACATAGACAAGGACCCGGATGTGCCACTGTACTTCAGCCCTGAGGGCTGGTCCGCCTTCCTGCAGCGCTACTACCAAATAGTCCAGTAAGTGCAGGGCAGGGCTGTGGGCGTATGGGCAGGGGCTGCAGTCAGACCTTCTCCATCTAGCACAGCCCAGTCCCCCATCTTCTTTTATCCTGGATACTCCTGTGGAACCCTCAAAGGCTCCTGTCAAAAGAAGCCTTTTCTTTGAGAGGAGCCCTTCCGCCAGCCTGGTTCTAGAGCCGCATCAGTCCCAAATAAACACACAGGAGGTTATATTCATTATGAAGCTGTTGGCCTTGCTTGTCTCTTACTGGCTAGCTCTGCTTTAAGTAATTACCCCATAATTGTTAATCTAAGTATGTCTCTTACCAGAGAATAGTTCCGGGCTCCTACCCCATGGAGGTTACATGTTGACTCTTCTGTGTTTCTCCTTCCCAGAATCCTCCTGAACTCCTAGTCCCACCTATCTAGATTCCTATTGGCTCAACAGTGCTTTATTGACAAAAGACTTCCCCAACAGGCTCCCACTGGCTCCATGAGAGAGTCCAATCCACTGATTTCCCACCTTAACATAGCATGGGCCCAAGGTGGTAGCTTGGGTTGTCAGTAGACTTAAATTCCAGTCATTTCTTCCCATCTCCTAAACTCTGTGACCCTGGGGATATCACTGAACTTTCTGAACAACTTCTTCTTCTTTTTTTTTTTTTTTTTTTGGTTTTACGAGACAGGGTTTCTCTGTATTGTTTTGGAGGCTGTCAAACCAGCCCGGCCTCGAACTCACAGAGATCCAACTTCTTCTTAAGTGCAAAATAAATTTAAAAATAGCATCCACCTTGCAGAATGGTATGCCACAGGATAATTTGTATTGTGGGGTCGGCACGGGCTTGAGGTGTCCACTCTTGTAGACCCCCCCCCCGACAGGGTTTCTCTGTGTAGCTTTGGAGGCTGTCCTGGAACTAGCTCTTGTAGGCCAGGTTGGTCTCAAATTCACAGAGATCCGCTGGCCTCTGCCTCCCAAGTGCTGGGATTAAAGGTGTGCACCACAACTGCCCGGCTAGGCTCAGCCTTCTTAAACTAAGAATTATCAAGGATCCTTTTGTTTGTTTGTTTTTGTGTTTTTGCTTTTTGGGGGGATAAGGTTTTCTCTGTGTAGCCCTGGCTACCCTGCCCTGGGACTTGCTCTGTAGACCAGGCCAGCCTTGAACTCAGTGATTCACCTGCCTCTGCCTCCCAAGTGCTAGGATTAATGGCATGTACCACAACCACCTTGCTAGAAATATCCTTTTTTATGTCCAATGTGGAGGCTGTTGAGAACCCACCAAAAGTAAGAATCACATAAACCCTTCAGAAAACAGATATGGGCAGGAGGCTGAGGCAGGAGGATCACTATAAATTCAAGGCCAGCTTAGGCTAATAGCAACACCTTATCTCAAAAAATGACCTCCCACACACACACATAAAAAACAATCTCCACATATATATAAGTGGTGAGTGACTCACTTTATCACTGCCTTATGACTTTCTCCACTGTTTTTAAACAAGCCCACATAAAACCAGGTAGTGGGGGTGATGCCTTTAATCCCAGTAACTCAGGGGGCAGAGGCAGGCAGATTTCTGTGATCTTGGCTAGCCTGGTCTACAGAGCAAGTTGTAGGGCAGTCAGGACTATGCAGAGAAACCCTGTCTTAAAACAATGTCAGGCATTGGTGGCACATGCCTTTAATCCCAGCACTTGGGAAACAGAGGCAGGCAGATCTCTGTGAGTTCTGAGACCAGCCTGGTCTACAAGAGCTAGTTCCAGGACAGCCTCCAAAGCAACAGAGAAATCCTGCCTCGAAACCCCCCCAAAAACTAAAACAAAACAAGAACAAACAAACAAAAAACATTACTTGGGAGGCAGAGACAGGAGAATCTCTGTGAGTTCAAGGCCAGCTTGGTCTACTGAGTGAGTTTTAGGATAGCCAGGGATACACAGAGAAACCCTGACTTGAAAAACCAAAAGAAAACAAAAGAAAAAAGAGAAACATAACAAGCCCATGCGAGGTCTCAGTGGTTAAGAGCACCAACTGTTTCAGAGGTTCTTATTTGGTTCTAGCACCCATGTCAGGCAGTTCACAACCACCTATTACTCCCTTAAAGGGACCTATTGCTTCTGTAGTCCTCAAGTACCTGCGTGCACACACACACACACACACACACACACACACACACACACACACACACACATTTTAAAAATAATAAAAATTTTAAAAAGACTATGTCCCATTAGCCTTACTTTTATAAAAGTTAACTTCCATCAAAGCAGGTTTTATAAAAATCATACTGAATAGACATTTTCAAATTCCCTGTACCCTTGCCACTCCCAGGTAACATTTCCCTTGGCCTCACTCCAGATTTACTAGGCAGATACTGACACAGACCACAGGAAAGCTCATTAGGAGCCAGTGGGACTGATCCTTGGAGCCCTTTGAGCTCCTCTGTCTGGTCACCCTTGTTCTTTTTTTTTTTTCCTGTCTTTTATTTATTTTTCAGTTTAAATTTAGATAAGTCACTCTTGTTCTTAATGCTGCTCATAAAAACAAAACTGTCTATGGTAGGAAGTCAAACTGTTAAAGTGAGGCCAGCACCCTGGGGAGTCTTTGTTGTCCAGGAGTAAATGGAGCAGCCATCTGGGACAGTGTATGATTAGTTGAGGACACTGTCTATCCTGTAGGGAACAGGGTCCCCCCTTTCCTATGAAGCCGTCTGTCTGGGCCAACTCCTACCCAAGCATGCACACAGCCAACCACTCAGTCAGCAGACTTGGAGAGTGCCTACTAGATGGCAGGGGTTGTGTTAGAGTGTGAGATAAGCAGAGAGGGAACCTCACAGAAGACAGCCCTGCAGGTTCGACCCGCAGCTCCGAGGAGACTGTGTGCTCAGCCTAGTTGGCCCAGGGTTCAACCCTCTGTACCACACACCAGAAAGGCCCTAGGAGAGGGCGGACAGCAACTTTATAAGTGGATTTGTGGCAGTGGGAGCGTGTGCAATGGGAGAGACAAGCCTTAGGCTGAGAAAGTACGACTGTCACGCAGTTAAGTCAGATGAGGTGGGGGGACTCGGAAAGCCTCTCCGGGTGAAGCAGTGGGGCTTTTGTACCCTGACACAGTCACTCCACCTGGTCCCCTAACTCTCCCAGCTTCAATTTGCATTTCCCTAAAATTGGCTGAGTAATACTTCCCTAGAGGGTTGCTGAGAGGATGGGGGGGCAGTCTGTCAGAGTGCCTGGCTTAGTGAGTACCCCATCCTCAGGATCCTAGGGAAGAAGCTGCCAGAAGGAATTGAGAAGGGCTGTAGTCTGGATAGGTTAAAGGCTGTTGGTGATCTGGGAGTGGGAAGCAGGGAGACCTATCTAGGTGTCTCAGGGGCAGGTGTGGCCAAAGCAGGTTGGAGGTGGGAGGTCCTATCCTCTCATCTGGCCCAGGCCCCACCCTCCCCAAGTCCCGCTGTCTCCACACAGTGAAGGGGCGGAACTGAAACACCTGGAGGCCCAGGTCCAGCGCTGTGAAGACATCCTACAGCAGCTTCAGGATGTGGTACCCCAGATCGACATGGAGGGGGATCGAAACATCTGGATTGTGAAGCCAGGAGCCAAGTCCCGTGGCCGAGGTGGGAAGACAAATTCTTCTTCCAGTTTTAGTACCTTTATCTACCACTAGAAGCCAAGGAGGCTAATAGTTCAGACTGCCCCACTGCCAGGTTTAGATCTCAGCTGTTACTAATAGTGACCTTGACCAGCCAATTCACCTCTCTGAACCTCAGTTTTCTCCACTGTAAAATGGGGATGGTGCTGGGTCCACCTGCCAGGTGAAAGCTGAATGCAGCACACACCCACCTCTCACACGGTGCTTGAGGCTTCGCCTCTCACTGCCCATAAGAGTGTCTCGGGGCCTTACTTCACTGCATCACTTCAGGGAATCCACTGTGGTCACATGAGGGTCCCGCATCAACCTGGCCTTTAAAGACTGTAAAAGCCTCCCAAGAAATTGACAGAAAACTTGTAAGGATGACATTCTTTATTGAAAAGGATCTACATGTTGATGCACCGGTAAGTGAAGTGTCACAAAGTGAATACACTGGGTACCTCAGGTTCCAGGGGATCCAATCGCTCTTCTTGCCTCCATGGACACCAGCCATGCATGTGGCAGACATGTAAAACATTCACACATAACATAAAAATAATGAACTTTTAAAAAAAAGGCAGAAAAAGGAAAGTGCATCTGTGCCTAGGTGGAAACAAAAGCATTGTTCAAGGCCAACCTTAGCTACACAATAAGCATGAGGCCAGCCTGGTCTACGTGAGACCCTGTCATAAAGTCAATGAAAGCAAGAAAAAAGAGAGAGGGAGAACAAACTGGGCACGGTGGTGCAAATCTCTAATCCCAGCACTCAGGAGGCAGAGGCAGACAGCAGACAGATCTCTGTGAGTTGAGGTCAGCCTGATGCACTGAGTGAGTTCCAGGACAGCCAGAGCTACACAGTGAGACCCTGGTGTGTGTGTGTGTGTGTGTGTGTGAGAGAGAGAGAGAGAGAGAGAGAGAGAGAGAGAGAGAGAGAGAGAGAGAGATAGAGATAAAGAGACAGAGACAGAGAGAGGGGGGAAGGGAGAGGAGAGAGACAGAGACAGAGAGAGACAGAGAGACAGAGACAGAGAGGGGGAGGGAGAGGAGAGAGAGAGAGAGAGGAGAGAGAAGGGGGAGAGGAGGGGAGGCAGAAAGAGAGAGAGAGACAGAGAGGAAAGAGGGAAGAAGAGAGAAAGGAAATGAGAATAACAAAAAGAAGAAAAGTAAACACATATCCTTGGACATGAGAACTTGTAACCAGTTTGTTGTAACAGAATGAGGTGGCATTTGCCCAGCCCCACCACAGTACCAGCTTCGTCCCACAGCCTCTCACACTCCATAGGAGCCTAGGAAAGCAGGGCACAGATAGTTGTGTAATGGGAAAGCTCTGCATAGGATCCAGGTACAGCAGCTGGCTTCATCCTGGGCAGAGAGGGAGGTTTCAGTATGCCTAGCCTCTTTTTTGTTTGTTTGTTTTTCGAGACAGGGTTTCTCTGTATTGTTTTGGAGGCTGTCCTGGAACTCGCTCTGTAGACCAGGCTGGCCTCGAACTCACAGAGATCCGCCTGCCTCTGCCTCCTGAGTGCTGGGATTAAAAGCATGCGCCACCAACGCCCGGTCGGCCCTAGTCTCTTAACTATTGGAGGAAAGTAATATATGTTCATGGTCAGCATGCACAAGAATGGTCAGAGGACAACTTACTAGGGGTCTGTTCTCGCTTTCCCATGTAGATTGGAAGAACTAAACTTGGTGATAAGTGGCTTTACCCACTGAGCCATCTTGCCCTTATTTAATTTTTTCCTAATGTTTATTAATATTATGTGTATTATTTTGCCTGCTTGTGCATATGTGCACTGTGTGTGTGCCTGCTTCCCATGGAGGCCAGAAGAGGGTGTCAGGTCCCCTGGAATTGGAGTTGTGCCATATGAGTTGTGGGGTCCTCTGCAAGAACAGCAAATGCTCCTAATGCTGGGTCTCCAGCCTCCCACCTCTCGGTTAAAATTGTACCTGTTTATAGCAAAACAAGGTTTATTAAACGATTAGAAAAAAACTGAAGTCTTAGCTTTGCTAGAGGGAAAATGGTTCTGACTGGGTTGGGGGCAGCCTTAAGGTTCAGCTGGGCTTGTGGGGATGAGAGCCTATGATGGGGTTCCAAGCCTTTTGGTCCCTGACTACCTAGGTCCTCCCCTCAGGTATCGTGTGCATGGACCACCTGGAAGAGATGCTGAAGCTGGTAGACTGCAACCCTATGCTGATGAAGGATGGCAAGTGGATTGTGCAGAAGTACATTGAGCGGCCCCTGCTCATCTTCGGCACCAAGTTTGACCTGAGGCAGTGGTTCCTGGTGACTGACTGGAACCCACTCACTGTGTGGTTCTATCGAGACAGCTACATCCGCTTCTCCACACAGCCGTTCTCTCTGAAGAACCTGGACAAGTGAGCTCTCCCTCCACCTCCCTGGACTGCCCAGTCTAGTGAGGTCAGCAGACAAACACAACAGTGGGCTCTGCAGGCAGGGAGGCAGGCTTTCCACCACCACGCGTCCTCTGCCCTGCAGGAGCTTGCCAAGAGGCTGCCCTTGGGATACAGAAATGAGCAAAACAAAAACTCCTGCTAATCAAGGGCTTACATCCTCACAATGAGCTTGAGTAATCATGGCTAACATGCTAGGTGATACGTTATGAAGAAAATGTAGATCTGGGTAATGGCAGACTAAGAGAAACTTGAAAGGAGAAAGGCAACCTGTGGTTTGCTCTTGGGATGAGAGGGAACCTTGATGAGACCTGGGTTCAGATTCTAGCTCTGCAGCATCCAGGTTGTGCTCCCCTAGAGACATGGAGAGACTTAAGCCTCAGTTTCAGATGGGGCCCAGTGGTCCCATCTATAACACCAGCACTTGGGAGGCTGAGTCTGAAGGATTTTGAGGTTATCCTGGGCTATATGATGAGACCCCCCTCTCAAGACAAAACAAGCCAGGTGTGATAGCTCCTAACTGTAATCCTAGAATTTGGGAGGCTAAGGCAGGAATAAAAATCAAGCCAGGTAATGTTGGATGCCTGTGATGCCAGTGCTTAGAAGGTAGAGGCAGGACAATCAGCTCACTGTCATTCTCAGCTACATGGCAAGTTTTGTTTTTATTTTTGGTTTTTATGAGACAGGGTTTCTCTGTATTGTTTTGGAGGCTATCGGTCCAGCCCGGCCTCGAACTCACAGAGATCCGCCTGCCTCAGCCTCCCGAGTGCTGGGATTAAAGGCGTGTGCCACCACCACCCGGCAGGCAAGTTTAATCTAGCCTGGGCAACATGAGATCATTTCAAAGAAAAAGACCAGCCTCAGTTTCCACATCTGAAGACTGGAGTAGCAATGCACTGTTTGTCATCAAGCACTTCACATGTGATAAGTGCTCCTGCTTGGTTGTCCCACAGCCACTTCTCAAACACAGTGAAGTGAGTTATTACCATTTTAAACAGATACGAGAGGGGTGAGCAGGTTAAATGACTTGCCTGAGATCTCACAGCTGGTCACTGGGGAAGCTGGGATTTGACCATCCAGGGTCATCGTCCCCGTCTTATTCCCTGTCACACACAGGAATGGTGAACTGAAACTAGGCCCAAAGCACTTGCTACACTTACTGTGGCCTGACAGTAGCTCCAGAGTGTTCTGAGAAATGACTAGCCCTGGCCTTGAGTGAACAGGGAGAAGGCGGGGTGGGGTGGAGGCAGCTTCTGTGCTTCTGTCCTGTTGATCTTCCAGCAGAGGTCCTTCTCAGTTGAGCTCACCAGGACGGCCGACCAGAGGGTTCTGCCTGCATCCCTGAGGCTGGGCTCCAGGGCTGAGCCTGTATCTCTCTCTGATCCACTCTAGCTCTGTGCACCTATGTAACAATTCCATCCAGAAACACCTGGAGGCCTCCTGTCACCGGCACCCGATGCTGCCCCCAGACAACATGTGGTCCAGCCAGAGGTTTCAGGCCCACCTGCAGGAGATGGGCGCCCCAAATGCCTGGTCTAATGTCATTGTACCTGGCATGAAGGCTGCTGTGATCCATGCCCTGCAGACCTCCCAAGACACTGTGCAGTGCCGGAAGGCCAGCTTTGAGCTCTATGGGGCCGACTTTGTGTTTGGGGAAGACTTCCGGCCCTGGTTGATTGAGATCAATGCCAGTCCCACCATGGCACCTTCCACAGCTGTCACCGCCCGCCTGTGTGCTGGTGTGCAAGCAGATACCCTGCGTGTGGTCATTGACCGGCGACTGGATCGTACCTGTGACACGGGAGCCTTTGAGCTCATCTATAAGCAGGTGAGATGTCCCAGCACCTCCCACAGGCAACTGCACAGCAAAGCCCTGGCTGGGGTCTGCTGTGAGAGAGTTCAAGACCTGATTCCTGACCCTACACACAGGGTGTCCTAACCCAGACACGTCCCATTGGCCTGTCTCCTCATCTGTGAGAGAGTTCAAGACCTGGTTCCTGACCCTACACACAGGGTGTCTTAACCCAGACACGTCCCATTGGCCTGTCTCCTCATCTGTGAGAGAGTTCAAGACCTGGTTCCTGACCCTACACACAGGGTGTCTTAACCCAGACACATCCCACTGGCCTGTCTCCTCATCTGTGGAGGGCACTGTTCTCTGAGAGCCATTAATACCATTAATTCATAGTCACAGGTAATATTTTCAGAGGCTTGGGACCTGAGTTTCCATCGTAATTCCAAGCCTCTAGATAGTAGCCTCATTCTCTTGTCTATAAAGTAAGACTGTACCTGGCTCCTCCTTGTGCTGTGAGAATGGGTGGTTTGATCTTCGCACAGGGGTTTGCTAGAGTGCCAAGCTGGAGGACACAGAGGACAGCTCTAGCTACTATCCTTGCCCAGTAAAGCTGATGAGGCTCCATGCACCATAAGGCTTGCCTATCGAGTCAATTAGTAGTGTTATAATATTATTCATCTTCTTCCAAAAACAGATTTGATCCTGCTTATTTATATTAAGTATAGAATTGTGTGGGGTTTTTTGTTTGTTTGATTTTGGTTTTTTGAGACAGGATTTCCCTTTGTAGCTTTGGATCCTGTCCTGGAATTTGCTCTGTAGACCAGGATGGCCTTGAACTCACAGAGATCCGCCTGCCTCTGCCTCCTGAGTGCTGGGACTAAAGGAATGTACCACCACTGCCCAAACTAGAATTGTTTTTTATTCAAAAACATTACCTTGTTTCATTGATTTTTGTTTTTGTTTTTTGAAATGGGGACTTGCTCTGAATAGCCTAGACTGGCCTAGAACTTAGGCTGTTGCCCAGGCTAACCTAAAACTCGTGGCATTCCTCCTGCTTCAAGCGTCCCAAGTGCTAAGATTATAGGTACGAGTCATCACACCAAGCATGGAAATAAAATATCTGATCAATCCTCGCTTTCCCCAGTGCTCAATTTCCTAGCAGTTTATCAGGGTTCTGAATCCACCAATGGATGAAGTCATCCATTGGGCAAAGCCCGCAGAGTCTAATTCTCTCTAGAAACACTCCTAGGGGCACACCAGGGGCATGCCTTATAAAAATCCTAGGTTTTCTCAGTCCAGTCTAGTTGACAACTGAGATTAGCCACCACAGCTGGACATGGGGCTCCACCTTCCAGTATTCAGAAGGCTGTGACAGGGAATCACTGTTAGTTCAAGGGAAGCTTGTTACACAGGGAGTTCCAGGCTAGCCTTGGCTTCAGAGAGCCTACTTAAAAACAACTATCATACAAACAAACCTTTAAAAGGATGTTTTAAAGGGTTTCTGAATTCTGAGAACAACGTTTAAGGTCTTTCAGCTAGGATTCACCGAGGTCTAGGTTTGCTACAGGAAGGGAAAACACTGACTAAATGACCTGAGTGGCCTTTTTTCCTACGGTTCCTGATCATCTTAGAATAATGTGCTGGCAAAAGGGTTCCATCTTTGTTAGGGATGTCATCACTAGTTGTCCAAGATGGAATCCAGGCCTGCAGGTTCAGTATGTGCAGTTCTACTGAGCTACACCTGTAATCCCAGCACTGGGCAACACAGGTTCACTGCCCGCCTGGTTTACAGAGCAAATGTCAGTTCAGCCAGGAATTTATAAGGTCCTGTCACAAACAATGTAGTCTTGGAAGAAAGGAGAGGAAATGGGGAAGAGGAAGTAATTTGCAGTTTAAAACAGCAAATTCTGTAGGGACATGGCAACACATGCCTGTAATCCCAGGATTTAGGAGGCTGAGGTTGGAGGATCAGGAGTTCAAAGTTATCCTTGGCTGTATGTGAGCTTGAGGCCAACCTGGGCCTGCAGTACTGTCCCACATTGTGTTTTTATCTGTTTTATCTGTTCAGCTCGGTCTGTTCTCTGAATGTTTGTCTCAGAACAAACAAGTTGAATAGGGCTGGGCACACACATTTTTCAAATGTCCGTTGTCCCCTAGATTTCTTTCATTGCTGATCTGGTTTTGAGTCTGAGGGCCAGTATAACCAAGGTGGCCACACTGGTGGCTTTGTCTCTCTCTGGTCTCCTTTATCTAGGACAGCACCGCTGCTTTCTTCCTGGCACCCTGACCCTTTGAAGGCCAGGCAGCACTGTCCCACATTGTTTTATCTGTTGCCTCCTTGTGTTGTTCAGCAACGTCTGTTCTCTGAATGCCCTGTAAACTAGAAGATAGGGTAACAAGCTGATGGGCGGGGTTCAGGGCAGAGAGTTTTTTTGGCAAAAAAACACTTAAGTGGTGCTAGGCACCTCATGTGACTGTCACAAGGCACAACCAGGAATCTAATTCCCGGAGCCAAATTTGGCCTTGGACCAAGGTGGCTGCCATCAGAGCCACATTCTTCCCTTTGCAGCTTCCTTCACTTTTCTTTGTATTATTTATTGTGTTTGGGTTGTGTGTGTGTGGTTACGCATGCCACAGCACACATGTGGGAGTCAGAGCACAACTTCTGGGAGTTGGTTCTCTCCTTCCACCCCATGGGTCCTGGAGCTTGAACTCAGCAAGTACCTTTACTCACTAAGCTATCTCAATACTGCTTGCCCCCAAATGCATTACTTTGTGTTTCTGTCCATTTTCTGTTGCTAATAACAGAATACCATAGACAGTGTAAATTACAAAGAAAATAGGCTCAATTCTATCCATCTTTGACTGCCCATGGCATGAAAACACTTGCATTCCCCCTCAGGCCAGAGGTCGCTTTAGTGTGCAGAGGACTGAGTGCTTTGTGTATGTGTGGTTACATGCGTGGTTGTCTCCATAGCTAAGATTCTCTGCTTCTCCAGTTTCCTGATACCTAGGGCTCTGTGACTCCAGATCCTCCGGACCCCTTGATAACAGAGGGAGCTTCCTGTTTCTCAGAAGTGCCTCTTGACCAGACACCCCAGAAACTGATTCCATCCACCTCTGCTGTGTGTCACTAGTCACTAGATGGTGTCACTGCCATTTCTCACTAGTGTCTGAGATGGCCTTGTTTTCTCTCCTCCCCACAGCCTGCTGTGGAGGTACCCCAGTACGTGGGGATTCGGCTCGTGGTGGAGGGCTCTACCATCAAGAAGCCCATGGCAGTGGGTCATCGGCGGACAGGAGTCCGATCATCACTCCCTCATCTGCTGGCCCAGCAAGGCTCTGGGGAAGGCAAGGACTCAGGATCTCCTATCCACAGGTCAGCTTCTAGGAAAGATGCTGGGTCCAGAAGCCTGGGACACACTGAGAAGCCAGACTCTACTGCCACTACCACAACCACAGTCCCCGGAAAGGGGAAGAAAGGCAAGGCAAAAAGTGCCACATCCCTGGTCTGCCTCACCCTCCAGAACTGGGAGCCCCCCAACACCAGGGTGGGTCATGTTTTCAACAGGTCACCCTGTCTAAAACGGCCAGAGGCCTGGGGTAATACAGTGTTCCCCAAATACCCCAGTGCTCCCAAGGCCATTTCTGCCCACTCTCCAAGCCCTTCCCAAGCATCTGGGGTTGCCCTCCTGCCAAAAGGTCACCAGTGATAGCAAGTATGAACACTACTCACCAAATATCTTTAAATATATAACCAAATGAGTATTCCAAAGTAGTCACCCTGCCAGGCAGTTAGACCAGAAGATGCCATGGCTTAGTCCTACGGCGCATCCTCAGAGTCCAGACCTCTGCTGTTGCTCTAGCCAGCCTTTGCCCTCACCATTGTCTGGAGAAAGGTGCTGCACCATGCCCTTCCCGATCCCTAACCAGACCCCTTAGCCCTCACAACACCCTGGTGAGGTAGGTGCTATTGTCCCCATTTTCAGCCGAGGTAGCAGGAAGTTTAAGGACGTTGCCCGAGGTTGCACAGCTCAGAAGGGGCAGAGCTGGGATGCAGACCCAGGTCTGTTGGTCCCCAACCCTGTGTTCTTCCCACTGCCTCTGGAGGAGGAGCCGGGAGGGGCTCCATCTACCCTCATCTCCTACCCCCACCTCTGCACATACCCTGTGGAACAATTGGTCAGCCTGGGGCCTTACAGATCCTCACAGCCTCCCTTCTCCCACAGCCCCTTCCTACTTCCCTAGTCTCCATCCCAAGGCCTGGCTGCCTTCTTCCCGTGTGCTCCGACCCCAGGGCCAGGTCCTCAGACTGCAGCATGGCCAACTGGTGGGCTCTAAGGCTCTGTCAACCACAGGCAAGGCCTTGATGACTCTACCTACTGCCAAGGTTCTGATGTCCTTCCCAGCTCACCCTGATCTCAAGCTGGCACCCAGCATGCTGAAGTCAGGAAAGGTGGGCCTCGAGCTGTGCCTCACACCCTGGCGGGTAGTGCTGAGCAGTGGGATCGGGGCCGAAGGGCACAGACAGAGGGCAGCGCCAAGACCATGCAGCGCCCCAGGGAAGGGCTTGTCTTCTCCAGAAACCTGTTCCAAGACAGAGGCCTGATCATCTCTCTCTCCCTCCCTCCTTACACCGAGGCTGCTATTCCCTTGCATCTTCGAGGCCCCCACTTTGGAAGTGCCTTGTGTCCTCTGCCCTTTGAAGTTGGACCTCTTCCTAGCACCCACAGGAAAGTCACGGCCAAAGGCAACTTCAAGGCCAGACTCTGCGACAAACCCAGGGCTGAGGCATACCCCGAGAAGAGGCTGAGCCTCCCCAATCCCTTGACCTTTATTTTGGCATCCCGGACACTGAGAACCTTGGGGGCTAGGAGGCTAGAAAAAAACCCTGTACTGATCTCCACTGCCCCATCCTGGTTCCATCATCAAATTAAAAAAAGCAAGTAAAGTTCTCTGGGCTTGGCTTGAATAATGTGGGCAAGGCTCATAAAAGAGTTGACCAACGTCGGGTGGTATGGCGCACGCCTTTAATCCCAGCACTCGGGAGGCAGAGGCAGGCGGGTCTCTGTGAGTTCGAGACCAGCTTGGTCTACAAGAGCTAGTTCCAGGACAGCCTCCAAAACCACAGAGAAATGCTGCCTTGAAAAACCTAAATAAATAAACAAACAAACAAACAAAAAAGAGTTGACCAGCAGGGCCTCCATCAGCAAGGCCCACAGTCCCCACCCAGTGACAGACATTGGCTTTCTCTGCAAGAAGATGGGTGGGTGGGGCAAGAGCCTTCACTCTACAGAGGAGGACACTGAGTCTGAACACGCAGACATGGCTGGCCTGAGACCATAGCAGAGCAAAGTCAGTCATCAGGAGTGCCCCTTCCCAACGACAAGCTGGGCTGGCAGATTAGCTTCTGATGGGCACAGAACACTCTGACAAGAGATGGGTTTTCCCTAAACCTCAGCCCTTCTCCGGAGAGTATGTCTATTCCTTCCCTCAGTGAGGGGTTGGTCAAGACATCTAAAACTGCAAAACCCAAGAAACCAGTAAAGTGTGGCATTCCTACCTGTAGAGCCTTAGCTGTTGGTCCTCCAAAAGTGTATCTGTCTGTAGCCTGTGAATGTGTCCTGGGTGGGGCAGGGTGGAGTGGAGTGGGTGTAGAAATTCAATGACCCGTGGCCTCCAAAGTCAGCAGAGCTCATGCCTGCACGGTGCTGTGTGCCTGTCCTCCCAGCACTTGGGAGCCAGAGGCCGGTGCTTCTCTGGGCTCCAGTCCAGCCAGGGACACAGAGGCCCAGTCTCAAAAGCAAGCAGACCTCCTGACCAGGAGTACAGCAGATGCCACCTCCAGACCTGGACATGAACACCTGCTTTCTCAGCAGGTCCTCAAAAGCAGACTGGTGAGGTAGGACTTTTATTAGTTTAAGTAGAGAGAGCGGTCACCTGCCCAATGCCACACAGCAAGTGAGTGGCCTAACTGGGCTTTATCTTAGGTTTGTAGGACTAAGACGAGGACCTTGACTGCTCAGCGCCAAGCCCACTGTCCTTGAGCTGGGCCACAGCCCTTCTTTGTTTTCCTATCGGGGGTCAAGTACTGTCTATTGGTGGGAGAACCGCAGGCACTGCAGGGTCCGAGAGAAGTAGGAGGGTAGGGGTGCCAGGAGTTCACTGGGGGGGTCCCTGGACCTGGTGCCTGGGAGGAGGAGGCGGTGCAGGTGCAGGTGCAGGGGCATCTGGGCCACTTGGGAAGGACTCAGGTGGAGGCGTCTGAGGAGAGCGTCACCCAGCACCTGGGGTGGGAAAGATAGCAGCCATCTGAGTTCAGCCAGAGGCGCCCCCAGCGCTGATGGACCTCTCTGGTCTGCAACTGTAGTCATTTTCTCTACAGGCAGGCAGGGTTTTCTCTCCACACAGCTAAATCACACTCCAGCTTCTGTGTCTAGTGAAGCCATGTGGTTAAGCCTCTGGCTAATGGGACGTCAGGAGAAGTACACAAACCTGGCCCTCAAAGCCCTGGTTCAAAAAACTTCCAGTCTCCCCTTCTGGCCAGAAAGCAATAGCCCTTGTGAGCCAAGCCCACTCCTACGGTATGTCCATTCGCCGGACCTAACCCAAGAAGAACCGATGGACTCCAGGGCCTGTTAGAGATCAGCTACCCGCTCCTTGAGCTAACGGACAGAAGGAAGCCTGAGGAAGTGTGACATTTGCCTGTGCCCCACAGGACCACAGGTGGCCCCAGAGGCCAAGCCAATCCTCCAACCCCCCAAATATAGAACAGGCATGTGGGCCTGAGGACCTACCTGCCTCTGGGGCTTGGTGGTCTTGGCTGGCCACAGAAAGCGCTGGCCCAGAACGGTGCCCACTCGAGGAGCATAGGTGTGGTCCCCAAGCATTGGGCAGAGCTGTAGAGCCATGTGCACCTGCAGCTGACTGGGGAATACTGAAAGATGGGGGGAGGCGGTTGCTCTTCTTCATCAAGTACTGTCCCCATTCCCAGAGCCTGTGGATCTGTGAGGTGACCTCTGCCTCCATACAGAGGGTCATGAGCAGATCAGGACAATGACAACTGGCAACCTACCCAGTCTGGGGGGATTCAACCCTACAGAACTGAAGGCCTGGGAGAAGGATGTGGGCTGGGTGCTAGACTGTGGGTGTGCACCTAAACTCTGCCTCCCGCTGAGCCTACTCTCACACTCTTGGAGTCCATCAGATGCTCTTTAGATGCTGCCAAGCAACATCTTCCTCCCAGGCTTCACCTCCCCTGCAGAGTACTGTACAGACCTACCTGTCAGGGGTTGCAGCTGGACCAGAGCACAGCCACAGCCTGTGGCCATCACATGGAAATGGCTGAGGGTCTTCTTGACACCTTCTAGGAAGTCCTTTCGAGATGGGGATGTCACTGGGATTGCCTAGGGTACCAGTCAAGAATGACTTAGCACACACCTAGAAGCCCCATTGAGCCACCCCTGCTGCCAGCTGACTTAGGACAGGGCCTGAGAACAGGCAGCAGCCACTTGCCTGTTAAGGGACAGGGGAACTAGTCACCCCATGTACACAGTACAGACTCCTCTGCAATGCAAAAACCTGAAAGGACTCTGGTGGCTTCTGACTCACAAGATCTATGCCATCCATGCGTTCCAGCTTCAGGGCTACGTGGATCTTCCCCTCAGAAGGCTCAGGAATGCCATCAGTAATGGCACTGAGAAAAGAAAGGAAGTCTCAGAGCAGCCAGCTGGAACTTTCCTTGGCCCTGGGAGTGACCCTGCACCTCTTACCAGTAGGTGGCTGTAGGCCTCTGTGCTCTCCTTGAGTGAACGAAGAACTTCTGCAGGCGGCTTGCTGTCTGGGGGCAGCTGGAGAGGAGCACAAGCCCAGAGGCCTCCCTGGAAGAAGGGGACAAGTCACATAAAGCCTCTTGGTCAGGGAAAAAAGAGAGACAGATGGCTGCTCTTGCAGAGGACCAGCACTTAGCTCCCACATAGTGGGTCATAACTGTAATTCCAGTTCCCGGAGATCTGATGCCCTCTTCCTGGCCTCTGGGACACTGGGCATGCACTGCGGTACACAGACACACCTGCAGGCTGGCCTCTGGGGGCACCAGGCATGTGTGGTGCACAGACATACATGCAGGCTAAACACATTAAATAAAAACAAATCTTTGGTATTTTTAAAGGGCTAGAGAGATGATCAGTGGTTAAGAGCACTAGCTGCTCTTTCAGAGGACCTTGGTTCAATTCCAAGTACCTACATGGCAGCTCACAACTGTCTGAACTCAAGTTCCAGGGGACCTGAAACCCTCACAGACATACATGCTGATAAAAAACCAATGCACATAAAGTATATGTAAAAAAAGGAGACCCCTCCCACCTCTCCAAAGGAACACCAGGACTACAGTCCAGACCTCCTAAAAAAACAAATCCTAAAACCTTTTTTCTGGCCCCCAGAGAACTCAGAGTCAAATGCCCTAAGTTACTACACATGCCAGTCACCTGACTGGGACCCTTATATATTTTATACAGTGGGTATAAAATAAATGCCCACCACACTCCTCACTTACTTTCCAGGTGCTCGCACAACCTGGAGTTCCCGGTGTTCAAGCCCCAGGGCCTGGCTCAGCTGTGGCAGCACCGAAAGCAAGGTCAGCTCCCCAGGTCTCCCTGAGAAGTCAGAGGGAGAGGACAAGTTCCCAGAGCACCATCCAACCAACTCTCCCCACCAGCCTCTCCCTCCTTGCCCCTGCCCATACCTGTCACAGGCAGGCCCTGTGGCTTGTTCAGTGTCACCAGAGGTCCTGAAACATTCAGTAGACGTCAGCAAAAGCAGCTGTGTGCATGCAGCCCCGGGTTATAAGATTCCCAAGCCCACTCCAAACTGAACTTCCTGCTCCCTGCACCCCAGGGCCTCTGCACTTATCTCCCTATAATGTGTGCCAGAGACGGCTCAAACAGGCCGGCCTCAAACTCACTATAGCTAAGTCTGGTCTTGAACTCCTGATCCTCCTTGGGATCCACTGTCTCCCAAATTCTGGGATTACAGGTGTGGTCACCACTCCCAGAAACAGCAGAGATTCTTTATGTCTCACATCAGAACGCTTGATCTCTCAAGACAGGAGCCTTATTTAAAATCTCAGTACTCTGTAGCCTCATTGCTACACGAACAGCAAAGTTGTTATTCCTAAAGGCAAACGGCATGCTGCTTACAGACCCAAGGAAGCTAACTTCTGCTCCTGAGGGTCTCAGAATGCGGGGCGCCGTGAAGGTCTCCTATGCCTGTCTCCATGATGCTGAGGCTAGCAGAGGCAATGTGACTGCTGGCCCGGCTCCTGCAGCTACAGGGGTCCGACTCCAGGGGGTCTGAGGTTCGGGAGCCATAGCCTCCCCTACCTTTCTGATCCACCACAGCTGCCCGCAGCACGTCAGCCAACTCCTCTGGGCCGAGGTTCTCTGTCCGCAGAAGCCCGGGGAAGGGTTGGTCCTCCACTGGGTCCTTGCGGTTGCTGGAACCTTGAGGTTGAGGCCGACGCCTGAGAAAAAGGACACAAGCTGGTAACTCCTCCGCCCACCCTACCCAGTGCAGCCTTTTCGTACAAAACCCTCAGAACCCCCGGCTCGGCTGACAGATGAGGCTCACATGCCCCCAAGACTACAGAAGGGGCATCAGACGCTCAGAGCGCCAACCATCTCGTGTCGGGTCACAGTTGGGATTAGAACCCAAGTCCTCATGTGAATGCCGGACCTGCCCTTGTCCTAGCCTCCCTCCTACACCTAAGTGTTGAGTTATAATCACCCAGCCTCGGTGCCGAAGCCTGCATCTCTCGGCCGTGTCCCAGCCCCCAGCCAGGGTTGCCAGGTGCCAGACACACAACGCCAAACACGGAAGACGCCCATCGCCGGAACAAGCACAGACGCATGCGTGTCCACGGACCACGTGCATCCTCCGTGCGCTGGTTGGTCAGGTGGGCTGTCAATCAGAGCATCGAGAAGGCGGGTTCCGCGGAGGGAAGATTCAAACTTTCCTTTGGCCCAGGAAGGATAAGTACCTTTTGGGGCTCTGCTTTGGGGCAAACAGAGGCAGGAAGCGCGGTTATTTACTCCCGGTAGAGGCCGTGTCTTAGAATAGAAAGAGGCGAGCCTACAGATAGATTGTTTCAATTCTCAGGACCCTTAATCTGAAACGCATCCTTGTAAAGCCTTCGGGCTAGGGCACCTGCATGGAAACGGTCTGTGACATAAAACATCCCAAGACTGTGGCTCGGGTGGTAGAGAGATTTTTCTAGGATGCACGAGTTTCTGGGTTCGATCCCCAGCACCACATGAAGACCAAAAACACAGATACAGACTGAGTTGGAGACTAGTCTGGGATATGTGTAAGCGTTGGGGCCGATCGGATGGGACAGGTATTCTGGCACTTGGGAGTCACAGAATACTGAGCGTTACAGCTGGGATGGTATCCTGGAGCTCTGGAGCCAAGGAATACCACAGGTCACAGTAAGCGTAGCAGCTTACAGCCGTGCTTCAGGGAAGGATTCCCTACAACGTGTAAGGTCCTATCAAAAGAAAAACAAACTAGGCCGGGTGTGGTGGTGCTTGCCTTCAACAGAGGCCAGCCTGAGTTTCAGGACAGGCAGGACTACACAGAAAAACCCTGTCCCAAAAAAAGAAAAGAGAAACAAGCTTGGTGTGGTTCACATATTAAGTTCCACACTGGCCAGTATGTTGTTAATTCCAAAGATGGGATGAGTGTAAGGAAAAAGGTCCAGCCAAAGAAACACCCTGAGCAGAGCCAAGGAAACACACTTTGGCCCTCCAACCAGAACCAAAGAAATGCACCCTGACCCTGAAACCAGTGCCAAAGAAACACACTTTGTCCCTGGAATCAGAGCCAGTGAAAGAAATAAACCCTGCCCTAAAATCAGAGCCAAAAGGCTAAAAAGCACCAGTGAAAGAAACACACTTTGGCGCTGAAACCAGAGCCAAATCTAGTCAGGTGTTGGTGGCACACGCCTTTAATCCCAGCACTCGGTAGGCAGAGGCAGGCAGATCTCTGTGAGTTTGAGGCCAGTCTGGTCTATAGAGCGAATTCCAGGATAGCCTCTAAAGCAATACAGAGAAAACTTTTCTCAAAAAAACAAAAACAGCCAAATCCGACCCTCTGTGCAGAAAACTAACCAATCCCTGAGCAGGAGATCTAGCCATTCTGTGCTCAGGGATTGAAATCTAACCAATCCCCACCCTGGAAATCTCCCTGGAAAAACTCCACCCCCTAAGAATCCCTATATAAACCCTGTGCCTGTTCAGCTTTAGGCTGTTTGGATTGTCCAGCTGTCCTCCGTCACCCTGGCAGAGGGAAGTGACTCTCCTGGATTCTGCACTCCCAATAAGTCTTTTGAATGAGGTTTGGGTGAGACCTTTCACAGGAGCAGAGACAACCCTGGGCAGATTGGAGAGGAGCAGGGCTGTAACACGTTTTGCTGGGGAAACCTTCCCTGACAAAGCAAAGTTGTTACACTTGGCTCTCTGGGGGGACTGGAGTTGAACCCTCTCTTGCCCTAGCAGAGCTGATACACTGGGAAAGCCTTTCCTTGAACCAGGGCTGTGAGCTGCTATGCTTACTGTGACTTGTGGTATTCATTGGCTCCCAAATACTAGAATACCTTTCTATCCAAGCTGTACCACTCAGTATTCTTTGGCTCCTGAGTGCCATAATCCATCCCTGTCCATCCCATCCCATCCATCAAAATGCTTACTATGAGAAAGACCACCACCCAAATCATCGTGACCAAATTAATTAAAGCAAGCTTTTTTATTCATGTACATTGATGCCTCCCCCTAAGGCTTGGTTTGAGAGGTCCGAATTGGATGTGAGGAAGACAAAAGTTTTTTTTTTATTGTTTTGGTTTTTCGAGACAGGGTTTCTCTGTGTTGCTTTGGAGCCTGTCCTGGAACTTGCTCTGTAGACTAGGCTTGCCTAGAACTCAGAGATCCTGAGTGCTGGGATTAAATCGTGCACCACCATTTCAGGCAAAACAAAGTTTTTATAGCTCAAGGTAGGGGTCCCCAGATGGAGGATTTGGCAGGTAAAATGGGTAGGGGTACAGGAGCAGAACATAAGCATGCCAAGTTAGTCATGATGGCCTCCTGAAACACAGACATGCAGGCAAGGTGGTCGTAACAACAGGTAGTCTTAAGAATTCAAGTCATAACAACCATTTTGAAACAAAGGTTTGGTTGCAAGATGATAATTAACTTTTTAAAACAAAGACATGAGGCCGGGCATTGGTGGTGCACGCCTTTAATCCCAGCACTCGGGAGGCAGAGGCAGGCGGATCTCTGTGAGTTCGAGACCAGCCTGGACTACCAAGCGAGTCCCAGGACAGCCTCCAAAGCCACAGAGAAACCCTGTCTCGAAAAAACCAAAAAAATAAAAATAAAAAAAAATAAAACAAAGACATGATTGGGGTTTCCTGGACTACACAGTAAAGAACTATTTGCAGTTAAGGTTACAAGTGAGACATAGCCCAATCCTTGAGAAACAGAGGTTTAATTATAAACAGAAATGAACCCAGTTTGTCTTTCCTATAAGATGGCTTTTAAGTCTAAAATGGAGACAGGCTGGTTCTTTATGTCTGAAAAACATTATACATAGGCATAACATAAAACAAACTGGAGAGATGGGTCAGTGGTTAAATCAATAGCTGTTTCCAGCACCCACATTCTCGTACTCACAACCTCTTGTAACACTTGTCCAGTAACCCTGTTCAAAGAGATCCAATTCCCACACAAAGAGTCACATATATACATAATTAACAATAAAACGCAGACCTGGCCTTTCATCCCGGCACTGGTCTACATGGTAAGTTGCAGGAGCTACATGACCCTGTCTCAAAAAAAAGTCCCCCTTGTTGGGGAAGTCTTATGTCAATAAAGCACTGTTGAGCCAATAGGAATCTAGATAGGTGGGACTAGGAGTCCAGGAGGACTCTGGGAAGGAGAAACACAAGAGAGTTCGAGATGTAACGCCATGGGGTAGGAGGCCCGGAAATTTCTCCGGTAAGAGACATACTTAGATTAACAATTATGGGGTAATTACTTAAGTCAGAGCTAGCCAGTAAGAAACAAGCAAGGCCAACAGCTTCATAATTAATATAGCCTTCTGTGTGTTTATTTGGGACTGATGGGGCTCTAGAACCAGGCTGGCGGGAAGGCTTCTCTCAAGGAAAAAGCTTCTCTCTCTCTCTCTTTTTTTTTTTTTGGTTTTTCGAGACAGGGTTTCTCTGTATTGTTTTGGAGGCTGTCCTGGAGCTCGCTCTGTAGACCAGGCTGGCCTCGAACTCACAGAGATCCACCTGCCTCTGCCTCTGCCTCCCGAGTGCTGGGATTAAAGGCGTGCGCCACCACCACCCGGCTGAAAAAGCTTCTCTTTACACCCCCTAAATAAATAAAATACAAAACAGTAACAATATGAACATAATAAAATAATGAAATATTATGCCTTTGATCCCATAACTTATTAAGCTACATCCCAGGCCTGAAAGACCTTGCTAAAAGGGCTCTAGCACTGGACTGTTGCTTCTGGCAGAGAAATCAGAGGGCTAGCCGGGCGGTGGTGGTGCTCGCCTTTAATCCCAGCACTCGGGAGGCAGAGGCAGGTGAATCTCTGTGAGTTCCAGACCAGCCTGGTCTACAGAGCAAGTTCCAGGACAGCCTCCAAAGCCACAGAGAAACCCTGTCTTGAAAATAAAAAAAGAAAAAAGACATCAGAGGCCTGCAATGATCCCTCTCTCCTCTTCCATTTAGAGCAGTGGCTCTCAAACTTCTGGCCATGACCCCTTTGAGGGTAGAACAGCCCTTTCACAGGGGTCACCTAAGACCATCAGAAAATATAGATGTTCACATAAAAATTCATAACAGTATCAAAATTACAGTTATGAGTTAGTGACAAAAATAATTCTGTGGTTGGGGATCACCACAACATGAGGAACTGTATTAAAAGGTCGAAGCATTGGGAAGGTTGAGAGACATTAATTTAGAGGCCTATGCTGCCTCCTCCACGGCACTCAGCCACAGTTGTGTCGTGTCCTTTGCTGAGGTTTTATCCAGTCCTCCCAAGTTCAGCTGTGGGAAAGTAAATCTCCAACTTCGTATTAATGGTACGTGGAGGCTGAAGTAATTAGTACCAGATAAAATTATGAAGAGAGTGATTCCATGATGGCCTTAACAGCTTTCTAAGGGGAGGAGAGAAAAGAGAACCTTTTCCTCATTGCGGGGTGGCTTCCTCGGTGTTGGGGTGCACCAGAAAGGCCCCTGCCCGTGCTAAGTAGATACTGGCTATGCCATGCTCTTGGACTCTGCAGCCTCTAGAACCAGGACCTAGATAAACTATGTCTGTGTGATTCGTTTTATTTTTATTAGGTGTGCATGCCTGTGTGTCAGTGTAAGTATATACCACATGTGTTGCAGGTGCACGGAGAAGCCTAAAAAGGGACATCAGACCCTCTAACGCTAGAGTTTTAGGCAGTGGGTGCTGGAAACTGAACTCAGGTCCTCTGCAAGATCAGCCAATGCTCTCAACCACTGCGTCATCTCTCCATCCAGGACTCCACACGTGCCAGGCAAGCATGCTGTCACTGAGCTGCACCCTCAGACTGGTCTCAGGTGTTTTGCTATAGCAACAGAAATTAGACGAATGTGGAAGAAACGATGGTGTATCTTGATTGAGAGGAGGAATAGCTTGGCTACTAGCATAGCATGTGTCTGGGCAGGTTTATAAGGAGGCTTCCAGGGACAATTGGAACCTAAGAACTCTGGTGAACCATTCAGAATTTGGATGGGTTCTTGGTGGGTAATGGAACTGTGGGAGGTGGGGCCTGCTTGGAGGAAGTAGGGAGTTCATTGTGGGTGGCTGTCATTAGAGGCTGTGTCTTACATTGGCTACTTTCTGCTTTGGTTCTTTCAACTTCCTGTCTACAATGTTGTGTGCTACTCTGGCTCAACCTCATCGCCCAGTAGATTGCAGCCTCTATTAATTAAGACAGGGTCTTACTGTGTAGCCCTGGCTGGCCTGGAACTCACAGACATCTGCTTCTTCTGCCTCTTGAGTGCTGGAATAAAAGTCGTGTGCTGCCATCACCACCTGACCTAGAGGACAACTTTTAAGAGTGAGATTTTCCTATAACATGGACTCTAGGGAACCAAGCTCAGGCCATCAGACTTGGCACCAAGCACCCTTACCTGATAAGCTCTTGGGCCAGATCCTGTATGATTAATCTTTTTATTTTTAACTCTCTGTTCACAAATTTTGTCTTCATGTATCCAGACATATGATGTGCGAGCATGAGTCCTGAGGCTGGAAGAAGGCATCAGATCCCCTGGAACTGGAGTCACAGGTGGTTGAGAGCCGATGTGTAGATGCTGGGAGGGGAACCCAGTTCTCTGAAAGAACCAGTGCTCTTAATTGCAGAGCCATCTCTCCAGCCCCCTGGATAATTAATCATAGAAGTTTCAATCCTTTTTGTTTTTGTTTTTTTGAGACAGAGTCACACTACGTAGCTCCAAATGATCTGGAACATGCTATGCAGACAAGGCTGGCTTCAATTGTGTGTCAATCCTCCTGGCTATGCTTCCTGAGTGCTGGGATTTCAGGAATGTCCCTAAATCTGCTATTTTTAAACACTTATTTTTGAGGGGAGGAGTTAGTGGTGGTGCTGTTGTATGTATGTATGTAGAGATCAAAGTGAAAGATCCCCAGAGTGGGGAGACCCTCACTCAAGTCTCATAAGCTGATGCCCCAATAATTCAAGAGAGACCGTTCTTGCTGTAAGCACATGAGGTTTATTCAGGGAACCAATGCACTGGGGCCGAGCTCATGACCCTCGCAGGGGCAGAGAAGTTCCACCCCTAGTAGCTGCAGTGGGTGGGGGGGTTAAAGGGAAAAACCGAATGGGGGAGTTAGGCAAACGTCATAAAGGATGAGGAAGTTAAATGATAGCTTATGTCTTAACAGGAAGGTTATCCCAAGCAAGCATTCTTTGGGCATTGTACAGTTAAACATTGAGCAGGAATGTGGTGAGCTAGTTCCTGGATCAGGGAGGGTTATCTTTTAAGTTTATCTTGAGGTCTCCAGTTCCTCAGGAGAGGGCAGAAGAGCAAGTCACACTGTGATGGGTCTAAAAATGTTGAGTTGGGATCTCTCAAAAGGTCAGCTTGTGCTTGTGGGAGTCTGTTCTCTAGGGACTGAATTCAGGTTCTCAGGCTTGACAGCAAACACTTTTATCTATTACATCTTATTGGTAATAAGTCTACGGTTTTTTTTGAAAGGATTGTTTATTGTTGGGCCTGGGAATATAGCTCAGTGGTAGCAGAGTGCTTGCCTAACATGTGTGAGATTCTCAACTTGAAAATCATTGATTTTTTTCTTAAAACCAACTTTTTTTAAAAACCAACTCTTTTTTTTGTTTGTTTTTGGTTTTTCTGTGGCTTTGGAGGCTGTCTTGGAACTAGCTCTTGTAGACCAAGCTGGTCTCAAATTCACAGAGTTCCGCCTGCCTCTGCCTCCTGAGTGCTGGGATTAAAGGCGTGTGCCACCAACGCCCAGCTCTAAAACCAACTTTTAAAGAATAAATCTGGGCATGATGGTCATAGCATTAATCCTAGCACTTGAGAGATAGAGGCAGGCAGATCTCTTATGAATTTGAGGCCATCCTGTTCTACAAGTTCCAAGACAGCCAGGACTGCGTGATATGCACAACACAGAAAGGATTGGTGACAAATCTGGCACAAAAAAAAAAAAAAGCAAGTGGTTTCACCTTGTCTGGCTTCGCCTGGAGTGGTGACTGTTCTGTCAGACTGTGGGTACTCCCAAAACCTCCTGTGCATCTCAGAAATGGTTTACGCAAGGACTTGGGACAGACTGGGCAAGGTGTCCAGCTATAATCCCAGAACTGCAGAGGTGGAGGCTGATGGGTCAGGAGTTCACAGTCATCCTTAACTACACAAAGTCTGGGGCCAGCCTGAGCTGTCTAACACATACATGAGTCAGTGAGATGGCTCAGCCAGCAAGGATGATTGATGCCAACTCTGACCACCTGAGTCTGATTCCCAGAATCCACAGGGTGGGAGGAGAGAGCCAGCTCCCAGGAGCTGTCCTTTAACCTCTAGACTTATTTTATGCTATGGCACATGCATGCCAATATATACCCCCAAAACACAAAATGTATATGTTTGGGTTTTTTGATGGTTTTTATTTTTATCTATTTAGAAGTGAGACAGAGACAGAGAACTAGCCAATCTGGTGTTCATGGCTCACTCAGCTAAGCATACATCTCCTCCACCAATAGTTTCTAGCCCCAGGAACGGCCATTTCTCCACTTGGACCAGGGCCTGGTCCTCTGGAGGGTGTAGTCCCTTTACTCTTTGGAGGTCTCCCTTCCTGTCCCATAGCAGGCTGCCCTTTCTTGTTCCCTTCTCACAGATAGCTACCTTCATTCCAGTGGGCTCTGAATTCCTGGAAGAAAAGGAGGAGCCAGAGTTTGCCTGGGCTGAGGGCTCAGTGCCAGATGGCAGCCACAGTCAGCTGCTGAATTTGCGAAACCAGACCCCAGGAGAAGAGGCCTGGGACAAACATCAGCTTGCATCAGCCCCCTCTAGCTCAGTTATAGCTTTGTAGCAGGTGTGGACAGGCTGGAGCTTCAGCAACGGGGAACAGGACTCCAGAAGACCAAGCCCTGGAGCCAGCCTGCCCTGAACCAGCCTCCAGCCACATCTACAACTGTGAGGACCCAGAATAGAAACTGCACTCGACCTGTCTGTCCTTCGCTGCTTTTCTCTTCTCACACTTGGCTCCAGGCTCGGGGCAGCTGCCAGCGGTGGCTTTCCAGACAAGCTTAAGTAACTTGGCCCTTGGTCCTAGTGTTTTCTAAATCCAAATGGGCTTTACAGGGAGGATTGTGAAATTGTTAGCTTTGGATCTGAGAGCCAGACTGAAGTCTGGTTTCCTACAGGCCTAGTCTTTCCTGCTTAGGTCAGTTACCTGTTGCTAACGAATGGGGGCTCCTTTTCCCAGGAGCCACCAAAATGGCTGAAGTGGAGCAGAGGAAGTGGGCCTTCCGCAAACTCAAGCACTGCAGCATGGACCTGGACCAGCTGCTGGACTCGTCCTGTGCCCTCTGACATAGCTGTACAGCCCCCAGAGGTGGCGTCTGACCATGGCCTATGGCAGAAGCAGTACTCACTACTCAAACGCCTGAGAAAGGCCAGGAAGGAGGCGCCAACCATGGAGAAACCCGAAGTGGTGAAGCCCCACCTGGGACGTGATCTTCCGGCCTGAGATGGTGGGAGTGTACAACGACAAACCCCTCAACCAGGTGGAAATCAAACCAGAACTGATCAACTACGCCCCAGGCGAGCTCTCCATCACCTCCAAGCCGGTGAAGCATGGCCAGCCGGATATTGGTGCCACCCACACCTCCAGCTGCATCCCCCTCAAGTAGCTGTGGCCAATAAAGACTCATGTTTAAAAAGAAAAATGGGGGGCTCACTCCTCCTCCTCCTTCACCCCTTTCCCCTTGTCCTCCTCCTTCTCTTCCTTCTCCTCTTCCTCCTCCTCCTTCTCTTCCTCCTCCCCTCCCTGTCCTCCTCCTCTCCCTCCTCCTCCTCAGAGCTCTCTGGTTTGGTTTTGCAATGCTGGGGTCCCTGTGCCAGGCTAGATCACTTTGCAATCCCGAGGGTGGAAGCACCGAGCACGGACAGGGAGCTGTGTGTAAGCTGGCAAAGGCATTGATAAATTGCCCTGTAGATGGACCAGGACCTTTCAACCCAAACATGAAAAGTTATTATAAAATACAACAGTTGGGAATCAAAAGAGTGGTTTAAGTCAGGCATTGGCAGTGCATGCCTTTAATTCCAGCACTCAGGAGAGAGAGGCAGATGGATCTCTGTGAGTTCAAGGCCAGCCTGGTCTACAGAGTGAGTGCTAGGCAGGCTCCAAAGCAATACAGAGAATCCCTGTCTCAAAAAACAAAAACAAAAACAAAAAGAGTGGTTTGCCTTACAGGCAAATTTCATTCAGAAACTGACACATGTATGGATCACGTGATTTGCCTAAATGTCAAAGACCATAGGCCTCAAAAATCAACTGCAGATTTTTAAGCCAACGTTTATTTGTTTATTAATTTATTTATTCTGTCTCACAATGTCAAACCTTATATATTTAAAGGGAGCAGGACTGGGGATATGGCTCAGTTGGTAGAGCATTTGCCTAGTATGCTGGAAGCCCTGGGTTCTGAGTTCAGTCCCCAGAGCCACATGAGTTGGATGTGGTGTTTCACACCTGTAACGCTAGCACTTAGAAAGTGGAAGCAAATGGATCAGAAGTTCAAGGTCATCCTCCACTACATAATGAGTTTGGAGCCAGCCTAGGTTACATGAGACTCTGTATGTAGAAGAACAAACACGGCACCACTGATATAGCTCATTGCATAAAAGCAATTGCTGTGCAAGTCTGACAATCCGAGTTCAATCCTTAGAACCCAGAGTGGAACGAAAGTTGTCCTCTGACCTCCACACCTGCTCCATAGTACTGGCATACCAACACACACACACACACACACACACACACACACACACACACACACACACCAATAATGATAAATGCTATCTCCTGTACTTCTTGGCAAATAGTTTCACACAAAGAACATAGGCAAAGATGAGGTATTGGCATAAATAATTTACTTCAGGCTCTAATACCATACATTAGTGGGGAATAAGAACAGGAAGAGGAATTGTGTGACTTCCCCTGGGGAACACAAACTCTAGGCATTCAGCCCAGCAAGGGCACCAATGACAGGCAAAGAAGCCATGATTCCTTCCAAGTCCAGCTTGGTGAACCAGTGAGTTTACTAAGTTACTTAAAGGAGCGGCCTGCGTAACTCGAAATAATTTGTGTTACTCAAAAGTCAGTCGCTAGCACAGGTAAGGCTCCCCCCAAATCTGCATGAGTGTCATCCTGGCTTTAGTTAACCTTCTACCTCTTAACTACTCAAGCACCACCCCCAAGATCATGTGCAGCTGGGGGGGGGCAGGAGGAAGTAATGGCTGGGGTTTCAGGTGAGAGGACCCCCTGATGCTCCCCCTCCCTTTCTTCTAATACAAAGTGTTAGCTATTTCCATACCATAGCCCTAGGCCTCACTGCCACTATGGCATTTGGTTCATTTTGTCTTGATTCAGGTCAAAGTATTCTGGAGGCCACCATAGCAATGTCTGTTGCGTGATGAGCGTGGTCAAGGCAGGAGGGGACACCAGAGAGGGAGTGGCACATTGGGACGGCATGAAGGCAGAGTGGCAGACTTTGTGCCAAAGCCTTCCGGGGACAAGTGTCAGTCCCCTATACTACCTGCAACATGAAGGAAGGAACTGGGCTAGGAAGTTCTCCCATGACCAGCCCACCCCAGGGCTCCAGCCTTTGTGCAGTTTCCTTGGTGCTGTGCTGTGGGAGAGGTGCAGGTCGGTGAGAAGCTCTCCAGCTTCCAGGCTTCTAGCAGAGTGCAGGGTCTCCAGTCACATCCTTGACTGGGGACGGCTTCTGAGGACTTAGGTCTTCATTGCAGCATCTTCAGACAGGCGGGGAGGAGGGAGGGGGTCTTGGCCTTGGACGGCTGTTCCTCCTCAGTGGCATCCAGGAACTGCTGCATGTAACTGGAGGAGCCAAGCAGCATGTGGCCTGTGGCCTGCATGCTGAAGAGTGCCCAGCGGAGCATTTCCCTGAGAGACAGACAGCAAGGCACTCAGGTTAAACGCAGGGAACACTCCCCTCCCTATCTCCCCACATAGCTTCTCCATTTGTCTATGCTGGCCTGAAGCAGTTGGCTTCAAGTTAGATTTCTTTGTTTCTTTCTCTTTCCTTTTTTTTTTTTTTTTTTTTTTTTTTTTGGTTTTAGAGATAGAGTCTTACACCGTAGCTCAGGTTAGCTAGAAACTCATTATGTAACTCAGGCTGGCTTTGAACTCACAGTAATCTTCTGCCTCAGTCTCCTGATGCTGTTGCTGCTACGTGCCACCACACCTAACTTTTTTGGTTTGGTTTGGTTTTGATTTGGCTCTTTTGGAGACAAAATCTGGAGATACAGCCCATTTAGCCCTGAAGTCAGTGATCCTCCTGCCTCGTCCTCCCAAGTGCTAGGTATACAGACATGCCCTACCATTCTGGGCTCAAGTTAGCTTTCCTCCTTAGGAAGATGTCATTAAAGTGAAATGACAAAAGTACTTCCAAGTCCAGACAGGACCTGGGGACCAGGCTCACAGCCAGCCACCCCTTACACACAGTCCCACCTCTACTTTTGTGACAACTTTTCAGGAACCCCATGCTCCCCCCCCCCTTGAGTTCTCAAAGCGAAGTTGTTTATTTTCTTGTGATGATACTTTGTTTCTTTCTTTTCTCTTCTGTGGTCCTAGGGATGGATCCCAGGGCTTTATTTGTGCATAAGCAGCTGACCTGCCACAGAGCTATGTCCCCAGCCCCATATTTTTTAAACTAGTCTGGACCAGCCAGCTTAATTTACATAACATATATCTACCCTTTGTAACACTGTTTCCTAGACTTTATAGTTTTTCTAGGTCAATTCTCAGAATGTTGGCCACAAGCCTCCCATGCCTGATATTATTATATACTAAGCATAAAACTTGGGCCAGACAGGGCTGAGCACTGATTCAGAGTAGTTTGTGTGTGTTTGTTTTCAAAAATATTATATTATAAGGATGGGGATGCAGCTAATTTAGTGCTTGCCTTTCATGAACAAAGCCCTGGGTTTGATCCCTAGCACCGCAATAACCCAGTGTGGCAATACAGGACTGTAAACCTAGGACCCGGCACTGTGGAGACAGAAGTGGATCAAGTTCAAAGTCATCCTTGGCTATATAGCAAGTGTGAGACCAGACTGAGACACATGAGACCCTATCTAAAAAAATTAAAATTAAAAACAGTTTTAAGCCGGGCGTTGGTGGCGCACGCCTTTAATCCCAGTACTCGGGAGGCAGAGGCAGGTGGATCTCTGTGAGTTCGAGGCCAACCTGGTCTACAAAGTGAGTTCCAGGACAGCCTCCAAAGCCACAAAGAAACCCTGTCTCGAAAAAAAAAAAAAGTTTTAAATGTTCTGAGCTTCTGAGCCCCAGCTTTGTGATTTGTAAAATGGGTAATGAGTTTGAAACTAATGTGAAGCACTTAGCATGTGGTCTGATGGACCGAAAATGGGACATGCAGCCAAGAACAGCTGGCTGAATGCAACTTCTCCCACAGCTATTTACAAGGGCTCAACAGTGGTCACTAGGACCGCTGGTCTTAAGAACAATAAGGAAGAGAAAACACAAGAAAGAGAAATACTGCTAGGTGGGTGGCGCATGCCTTTAATCCCAGCACTTGGGAGGAAGAGGCAAGCGGATCTCTGTGAGTTCGAGGCCAGCCTGGTCTACAGAGTGAGTGCCAGGACAACCAAGGCTGTTACACAGAGAAACCCTGTCTCAAAAAACAAAAGAAAAAATGAAAAGAAACACTCCTGCCTGGTGTTTACCTTGTCTTCATGGCCATCAAGATGGCTCAGTAGAGGTACTTGTGGCTGCCAACTCCAGTAATCCAAGGTCTATCTCAGGGACCCACACGATGGATGAAAAGAACTGCCTCTAAAAATTTGTCCTCTGATGGCCACACTCGGGACACACGGAAGCTCTGGGCAGGTGAGCTCAGATACGCACACAAACAAATACAATAAATGTAATCTTGTACAGAGGGGTAGCCTGCCTTTGCATGCCACAGCAGGCATGTACTCATATACCTACATAATTAAATACATAAATGTTCTTTTTAAAATGACTTCTATTAACCTTCATTCAATATGTGAATTTATGTTTTAGGTGGGTGCAAGGGGAGTAGCCATGCACTTAGAGCATAAGCAGCTCACATAAACACACTTCAGGGCTGGAGACGAGGCCTGGTAGTTACAAGCATGTGTTACTAATGTAGAGGACTCAGTAGGCTCCTAGCATTGGCGACAGGAGGCTCACAATCACCTGCAACACCAGCTCCAGGGGATCAGTTGCCTGTGGCCTCAGCAGGTACCTGTGTTCACATGTACAAATCCCCCACACACACACAAATTAAAAATAAAATATTTAAAAGCTGAACTAAAAACGTTTAGTCCCAGAACTTGGGAGGCAGAGGCAGAGAGATCTCTGTGAGTTCAAGGCCAGCCTAGACTACAAAGCAAGTTCCAGGAGAGCTATAGTTACATAGTGATACCGTCTCAAAAAAACATGTGTGTGTGTGTGTACATGTATATACATATGTGTGTATGTATATATACATGTATGTATGTGTGTGTATATGTGTTTTTTTAATTTAGTGGCCTGAGGCATGGCTAGTGGGTAAAGTGCTTGCCATACTGCCATGAAAACCCATGTAAAGCTGGGGATGGTTGCCTGTATCAGTAACCCCAGTACTCCTCTTGTGGTGACAGAGACTTCCCTGAAGCTTTCAGGCCAGCAAGCCTGACATATACAGCAGAAAAACAACAAAGAGACCCCGCTTCAAACACGGTGGAAGATGACCAGCACCTTAGGCTGCCCTCTGACTTCTAAATGCATGCTGTGGTAGATGGGTGCCCACATTCACACATATAATATACACACATATATAGAGATAAAGACCGGCTGGGCAGTGGTGGCGCATGCCTTTAATCCTAGCACCCTGGAAGCAGAGGCAGTTGGATCTCTGAGTTCAAGGCTAGCCTGGTCTACAGAATGAGTTTCAAGACAGCCAGAGCAACCCAGACAAATAAGAAAAGAGAAAAAAAGATATAAAGACTGAAAATACAATATATTAAGGCTAGAAGTATAACTTAATGGCACGGTGCTTATCTAGCATGTATGAATGCCCTGGTTTAATCCCTCACATTGAAGCTTGTGTGTGTTTGTGTGTTTCTTTTTGTGGTACAGGGGAATTGGACACAAGGCCTTAAGCAAGTGCTCTGCCACTGAAATACAGCCTTAGTTTTCTTCTCTTTTTTAAAAAAAAGTTTATTTTATGTATATGAGTATTCTATCTGCATGTATGACTTTATGCTGGAAGAGGGCATGGGATCCCACTAAAGATGGTCGTGAGCCACCGTGTGCTTGCTGGGAATTGAACTCAGGACATCAGGAACAGCTGAGCCATCTCTCCAGCCCTTTCAGCTTTCTTTTTACTTTTTTATTTTTCGACAACATCTCACTAAGTTGCCCAGTTTAGCCTTGAACTTACTCTGTAGCCTAGGCAAGCTTCTAATTTGCCATCCTCCTGTCTCAACTTCCTGAGCACCTGGGATTACAATGCCCGGCTGCCATTTGTAGCTTTACATATGTGTTTCATACAATGCCTTCAAAGTTATTTTTCAAACTAGAGAACTGAGGTTTGACTCTAGCCAGGCAGTCTTAAAAAGGAATGACAATAAAAAAAAGGAATGACAATAAGGCCTATTCTACAAAAGAGTGAACCTTGAAAACAAGTTTCTAGTGGGGAAAGCCAGTCATGAATGGACAAACACCGTTTGATTCCATTTCTATGAGGTCTCTAGGATTGATCAACGGAGGAACAGAAAGTAGAGTAAAGGTTAGCAGGGTCTCGGGAGAGGACTAAGAGCTATTATTTACTGAGTACAGCTTCGTTTGCCTGGTGCAAAGGTTCTGGAAACCAAGGCGATGCTTACACAACATGGTTAGTTACTTCATACTGTCCGGCAGGACACTTAAAGTGGCCACAATTGAAAAATGTTGGATGTGCAGATTTTAGCACAGTTTTTTTAAAGGTCTCATTGTGTAGCTCTAGCTAGAATTTGGAAGTTGAAATGTAGACCAGGCTAGCCTAAAATTCTCAGAGATCTACCTTCCTCTGGCTCCTGAATGTTAGCTGGGATTAAGTGAGTGTGCTATCACACCTGACTCTTAGTGCATTTCTTTAAAAATCATAGTAACACAACTAAGTCACTCAGCTAACCACAGTTTGACATCAGTTTTTATTTTCTGTGTTTTTCTTTTTGTTGCTGTTGTTTTGTTTTTCTTTCTTTCTTTTTTGTTTTTGCTTTTTGAGACAGGGTTTCTCTGTATTGTTTTGGAGGCTGTCCTGGAACTTGCTTTGTAGACCAGGCTGGCCTCAAACTCACAGAGATCCACCTGCCTCTGCCTCCCGAGTGCTGGGATTTTGTTTTTCAAGATGGTGTTTCTCTGTGTAACAGTTCTAGCCACCCTGAAACTTGCTCTGTAAACCAGGCTGGCCTTGAACTCACAGAGACTCACCTGCCTCAGCCTCCTGAGTGCTGGGACCAAAGACATGACTCCTGGCCTTTTTATTTTATTTTTTCCATGTATAGGTATGTGTGGGAGGTGGGGGTTATGCACCTGAGTGTAGTGCCCACAGAGATCAGAAGAGGGCGACATATTTCCTAGAGTTGCAGTTACATGTGGTTGTGAGCTGGTTGAGGTTGGTGCTGGGAACTGAACCTAGATCCTCTGGCTGAGTGGTTCCCTTTTTCTGTTTTTGTTTTTAAGACAAGGTCTGATCTGGCCCAGGTTGTCCTTGAACTCCTGATCCTCCACCTCCAAAGTACTGTAATTACAGTTATATTTTCACTTACAAAAATATTAGCTGTGGAAATAGCTCAGGACATGAGTGTGTGTTTAGCATGTGTGCCACCCTGGGTTCTATCTCCAGCACACAAAAGAAAGTTCACTGAGCAGTGACTATGTGAAATTTACTTTTGGGGGTGAAAAACATGGTCATCGCTAAAAAACCTCTGGTTATTGAGCTCGGGACATCACCGGGGTATTCAGCCTGAAGCCCGCTTACTTCAGGTCTTTCAATCGCTATACTAAGTAGTAAACAATTTCTGCACACCCTAATGTAAGTCCCTTAGATAAGTCCCTTCACAGACGTGGCTCATTCTTTGTTAGCCCCAGCGCCAACCCAGGCCCTGAGAGAGCTCAGCTTTGGCAGATAGGCCCTCTGGTTAGCTAGTCTCACACCCTGTCCCCAGCTGTCCCAATCCACTCACTTCACGATGCGCTTGGCCCGGTAGCAGTGCAAGTCGTAGGAAAGCGAGTATGTGTCGTAGAGGGTCGCCTTCACATTCAGGCAGCCGATGAAGTCCTGAGGGCTCAGCTTGTATAGGTCAAAGGTTACCCGGGCCACATCAATCTTCTTTGTTGGCTTCTGGGAAATGGATAGCTGTGGTCTCTTCTTGCACTGAAAGACAAGCCCATGTTAGCTCATCTCCAGGACTCCTCCCATGCCCTCGACACTCACCCCTGCCAGGGGAGGCTGCTGTCACCTGTTCTGATGGGGGCTTCCACTTCTGCCCCTTCTGAAGGACCATGAACACGGTATCTCTTGCTAGGGCTTGGAAGTATTCTTCTGTCTCAACAATTGTGCCGTCTTCCTCCAGCACGAGGGAGAAGGGCTTGTCTTTAAGCTTCAAGATATCCTGGGCCTGGAAAAGAAGGTTGGTGACATCGCTGCCATCCCTATGGAGCCACAGAGCTGAGAGGCAAGGCCCGCGGTAAGCAGCTCAGCTGCCAGAGAGCAAGCGAGTGAGCCACCACCATCTGTGCGGTGGACTGACTGTTACTGTAGGGGCCCACTCAAGGGCTGTGTCTCAGTACTGCCAAGAAACAGTGTAGTCTAATAGAATTGGAGTCATATGTGAGGTCTTTTTTATCGAGATATAAATTACATACCATGGGTTTCTCTTTTTGTGCGGGGTCGGGAGCAATATTAACAGTCACATCTAAGGCCTCAGGCATGCTGAGCAAACTGCAACATTGGACTATATCTCCAGACTTCTTTGTACCTTTTGTTTGGAGACAGAGTCTTTTTTTGTTGTTGTTGTTGTTGTTTTTTTTTTGTTTTCGAGACAGGGTTTCTCTGTGGCTTTGGAGGCTGTCCTGGAACTCACTTGGTAGTCCAGGCTGGTCTCGAATTTACAGAGATCCGCCTGCCTCTGCCTCTCGAGTACTGGGATTAAAGGTGTGCGTCACCAACGCCCGGCGAGACAGAGTCTTAATAAGCTCTTTAGGTTGGCCTGGAACTCACTGTAGTATGGGCAGGTCTTAGCCCTCTGCTTAGATTTTCTAGCCTCAGCTTCCCAAGTAGCCTGGATTACAGGCCTATACCACCAGGCCCAGTTAAACTTTACTTTTTTGGTGATGGTTTTTTGTTTCTTTTGCTTTAAGACAGGGTCTCACTATGTAGCCATGGCTGGCCTAGAACTCACAGAGATCCACCTGCCTCTGTTTCCCATGTGCTGGGATTAAAGGCGTGTTGTTATGGAATAATCTTTTTGTACACTGCGAAGATGTGTCTTTGCCAAGGTACCTTCTGATTGGTTTAATAAAAGAACTGACTGGCCAGTAGCTACACAGGAGGAATAGCTGGGAGGGCAAGACACAGAGAACTCTGGGAAGAAGGGCAGAGTCTCGGGAGTCAGGAGCAGATGCAGAGAGAAGCAAGATGAGCATGCTGGGTTGAAAGAAGGTACCGCCATGTGGCAGAGGGTAGATGCTAAAAGGGTTAATTTAAGTCGTATGAGCTAGCTAAAAACAACTCTAAGCTATCGGCCAAGCATTTATAATTAATAATGAGTCTGTGTGTGGTTCTTTGGGAACTGGCTGTTGGGACAGAAAAGTCTGCCTAGAGCCTGGGTCATTTACATGAACAATGCATGCTGTTAACATCTGAGTGGTGACTAAACTATTTAAAAGAACACAGTTCCGGTTAAGGCCGGGGTTCAATTCCCAGAACCCTCATGGCAGCTCACAACCATCTATAACTCCAGTCTCAAGGGATCTGACACCTTCACACCAATACACACAAAATAAATTTAAATGAGTTATATCTAAAAAAGAATACAATTCAGTCAAGTATGATGGATAGTATACACCAGTAATCCTAATATTCAGAAGGTAGGGACAGGGATTTCAGCAAGTTCAAGGCTAGCCTGTTCTGTATATAAAGATGGCAGCCAGCCAGGACTCCATACCAATACCAAGGGGGAGGGATAAAGAAAAGAATATCCAATGCTGAATTGAAGATTGTTCCCTTGACTGAGTCTGGTGTAATTTAATTGTAACCAGTAAACAATCTGTTAATATCATTATAACCCATTAAAATACGAATGTCTGGTGTTCCAGGGTGGTGACACACACTGTTAGTCCCAGTACTTGGGAAACTGACTTCAAGGCCAGTCTGATCTACATAGCGAGTTCCAGGAGGACAACCAGGGATACATAGAGAAAGCCTGTCTTGAACAAACCATGCCCCCTGGAAATATGAATGTCTGGATGCCTTTTGGTATCAATAAATTGGTAAATCTAAAGAGTGAGGCAGAATTGCATGTTTCCTTGGTATAGAATACGTCATAGAAAACAGTTAATACAAGGAAAATAAAAAATTAAAGTTAAAAAATAGTTGGCATACTAAGAAAAATAAAAACATTACACAGAGAAGCCCAACGGTGCAACCTTATTCAGATGATCAAGTTAAATGAAATGCAAGAAATAAAAAATGATATATATATATAGGCCAGGCGTTGGTAACACACACCTTTAATTCCAGAATTCTGGGATTCAGAGGCAGGAGGATCTCAGTGAGTTCGAGGCCAGCCTGGTCTACAGAGCGAGTTCCAGGACAGGCAAAAAGGTATATATGTTTACAAGCATAACCCTACCTGTCTTCTTTCTTTCAGTGTCTATTTGTGGTAGGAGGGATTGAGCTGGGGTTCTTGCTACGAAAAGGATTCTTCCTACTAAGCTACATCCCAGGTGTCAATTTAAAAAATATTTTTAAGCATTCATTTTATATGTGTCAGTGTTTTGCCTGCATGTATGTCTGCACACCACACGCACTCAGCGCCCTTGAGGGTTTCAGATTCCCTGAAACTTGGCCATGTGAGAGCTGGAAACCAAACCTCTGTCCTCTGAAAGTGCTTTTATCCACTGAACCATCTCTCCAGCCCCAACAACTTATTTGTAATCTTGTTCTTGCCAAAGCTACATAGCATGAACTGAAGAAACAGGTCATTCAGAACTGAGGGATAGGAAATAAAATAACTGGCTTGCCATCTTTAAAAGCCAGCTACATGGCTCAGCAGGCAAGGGCATGTGCAGTGCAAACTTTAACACCTGAGTTCAACACCTGGAGCCCACAGTAGAAGGAGACAACTGACTCCCAAATGTTGCCCTGTGAGTGGTCCGGCATGCCAGCTCTCTCTCTCTCTCTCTCTCTCTCTCTCTCTCTCTCTCTCTCTCTCTCTCTCTCTCTCTCTCTCTCTCTCTCCCTCCCTCCCTCCCTCCCTCCCTCCCTCCCTCCCTCCCTCCCTCTCTCTCTCTCTCTCTCTCTCTCTCTCTCACACACACACACACACACACCATACTCTTACAGTAATAATTTTAAAATATAAAATAAAACTGTCCAGATTTGCAGGACAATCAGCAGTGCTCCAACGGAGTCTCAAGAGGCGCTTGCTTGGGTCTTGCTATGTAGCCCTAGTTGGACAGGAACTCCCTATGTAGAGACCAGGCTGACCTCAAACTTGTGGTCCTCCTGCTTCTTCATGCACCACCATACTCAGCCTTAGTTTTAATTTCTTTTGAGGCATACTCAGAGTATCCTGGAACTCAATTATGTAGATCAGAGCAGCCTCAAACCTGAGATCTTCCCACCCTAGTCTCCCAAGTTCTGGGCTCCCAGGTACGAGCCGCCATGCCTGGCGCGTTTCTCCAAGAGTAAGAGATAGTGGGGAAAGGGGATGAAGGCCCCTCTCAGCAAGGAAATAACCACCCACCCACTGCTAGTGTGTAATATGGCAGTGCACTGTCCTCCCTGTGTCACTTGACCATGTCACTTACCACACACACAGCCCTCCAGGCAGGAACGCCAACCCTCCAGTGCCAACACCATAAAGAACCTTTCACCGCTAAGACCAAGCCACTCATGCGCAGACTTCAGGCCCCTATGGAGACTGAAGGCGCTGGCAGGGTCAACTCTCAGCCAGGGCCCGGAGTGAGCCGATGCAGGCAGGGTACAGGCAGCTCTCTCACCTTGCCCAGGAGGTCCTCCAGACTGTGAGCCATGATGCCCTTGCGAACCTTCCGATCGGCCGTGCTAACTCGACACGGCCTCGCCCTGGGGACTTCCCGGCTGGGCTTAGACACCAGCTGTTGGGTCACCACTGCAGTGCTCACTGCTACATGCCTGGAGACAACAATTTGAACATCAGATGACCTGCCTGTGGCTGCCAGGTGTGCCCACGCCTGCCTGCTGAGTTCAGGTGTGACCTTTCCTTCCAGTCAATCATGGCTGCTCCAGGAGGCTTTCACAAAGTCCATGGGGATACAGCTCCAGTTTGGATGGGCAGGGAAATCAGCGGGAATCTTGCTTAAATCAGACTCACTTCAGTGCCTCTGAGTGGAGCCCAAGGGACTGCTAACAAGTCCCCAAGCTGTGTCAGTGTGGCTGGCTCTTGGACCAGTCACATTCCCTTGTAGATAGCTCTGCTTTTGTGGCCTTGTTCACCTTGCATGAGAAGCAGGGTGAAATGGAGCTGGTGTGTGTATATATATGTGTTGTGGTGTGTGTGTGTGTGTGTGTAAAACAGCCTGTAGAATATGTGGGGACTCTGAGGTACACAGAGTAGAAAGAAAGGAGTGGAGAGAAATCTGCGTCTTGGCTCAAATTCCAAGTTTGTCTCTGCTACGGATTTGCTAGGGGAAAGCATACCCAGTCTGTGACTCAGTTTCCTCATCTGTTGACTTGGCATAGTAGCCCCCACTTCCCAGAGAGGAGTGGGGCTCCTGGGAGATCAGGAACGAAGGCACCCGGAGCCGAGCCTGGCCCTTTTTCCTCTAGATTTGATGGGAACTGTGGCAGTGGCAGAGAGAGCGTAAGATGGGGACTTGTCCAGACTGCAAGATCGTGGGTGCTATTTTAGGCCTCCTGAATCAGATCTGTGGGGGGTTATTGTTGGATTGTTTTGTTTTAATGGGGGTCTTGCTTATTTGTTTGTTTTTGAGATATCATCTCCATATGTAGCCCTGGAACTAAAACTAACTTCCCTCTCTCTCTCTCTCTCTGGACCTGGAACTTTCTATGCAGACCAGACTGTCTGTCCTCAAACTCACCAAGGTCCTCATGCCTGTGCTCCCCAAGTGTCGGGATTCAAAGCATGTGCCACCACGCCTGGCCATATCTGTGTTTCAGCTAGACACCCACATGACTTCTTTTTTCTCTTAAGGTAGGATGACCTATGTATCCCTGACCGACCTGGGGCTTTCTGTGACCACAGGCTGGCCTTGACCTCACGATGGTCTGCCTGCGCCTGCCTGCCAAGTGCTGGGATTAAAAGTGTGCACCATCAACCCTGTCACGAAAAACCAAAAAAAAAAAAAAAAAAAAGTGTGCACCATCACATCCAGCCTCTACATGTTTTTATACCTATTAAAGTTTTCAAAATTATAACAGGTGGCTTCTCAGGTTCCCCCTTCCTTCCTACCCCCGGCTCTCCTTACCTGGACAGTGACTTGGGGTACAGAAGGCTGAGAGACTTCATGGCATAGTCCATCCTTGTCAGCTGGATTGTGTCAGACCTGGATAGGAGGCAGCAACCTGTCTGGTTAGAGTGGGAAGGGAGGGAGGGATCCCTTTCTTTCTTTCTTTGACCCAGTGTATCCCAACCCCCACACAGCAACCCTCTGCCCCAGTCTCTCCTCCTACCCCCCATTTCCCTGTCCATACCAACTGTACTGAGTCGGCGTCTACACCCCCACCTATTCCACAGCTGCCCCACACAACTCACTCCATGTTTCTCTGCCCCAAGCTCTGGTAACACTGAGCTGAGGAGCCCAAGTCAAGGCTGAAGAGGCCCAGACTGATTTGTCCCTGTCCCTGGGGGCAGAGTCCACATTGAGCTGGCAGGAGGTGAGTCATACCACCTCATGCTGTGAGAGACTTGGAAGTCACCTATTGTCCAGAGACTCCACAGGCATCCAGACCTTGGAGAGCCTGCTCTATCCATGGGCCCTTGAGCAATAAAGTTCTCCTGAGGCTTAGAACTGGCTAACAGAACTTTCTGTGATGTTAAAGACTGTCTAGGTTTGTGCTCTCCAATACCATAGATGTTACCCACTCTGAGCCCTTGGCACCAAGACTAATGTGATGAAGGCGCTGACACCGCACTTCTGTTGAGCCTTAACTAATTTAGTTAGGTAACTAGTGGTTTGTGACGCCAGGTACCCAGGCTGGGCATCACAGCTGTAGCGGGGTAATCCCGGGCTCCTGTGGCCCTGCCTTTTGTCCTATCGCTGCTCTCTGGTTCTTGCCTGCTGAGCTGCAAGTCCCTGCACATTCGGTCTCTTCTGCCTGCAGTGCTTGTCTCAAACCTGGAGCTCAGCATAAGCCCCCTAGAAGCCCTGGCTCCCTGCTGCCAACGCAGGAAAGCCTTTTCTGGTGGCCAACAGATTGACCCCTGTGCCCTGCCCTTCCCTGTCCATTTCTGCTGCAGCTATCGGGTCCCCACTGTCCCCATTTTCAGCCCGTAGCACAGGGAACGAGTGTGAACACCGGGAGTGGGCAGGCATGGAGAACTGCCTCCTCGGTCAGGGTAAACCATTCCCTGACAACTGGGGTTCTCCCCAGGTCAACCTTACAGAGTTAGAGGCACTTAACCCCCCTTACTGCTACCCAAGCACTCCTGTTTCGCCCGGGTTTCTTATACCCACCACTCACACAGATCCACCAAACCCACCACACCTGCTTTGTGGTAGCCAAATACCCCAGCTCTTCTCCTCCCCCTCACCTCCTAGCCTCCTGGCAATACTGCGCGGCCAAGCCCAGCCCAGGCCTCCCTCCATTTTATTTCCTTCTCCTGTGAAGCCACTCCCCTGGCCCCCAGCCCCATCTGGGGAAAAGAGCACAGGGATTGAGTTTGAAACTCTCCCCTAGGGATTTCAAGCCAGACTGACTTCCAGAAAGCCCCGAAAGGGGGAAGAAGGCATGTTTCGAAAGCTCTAGAAGGAAGAGGTACTGCCCAGGACATGGTACCAGGCTAGAGGGCACAGAAAGCAACAGACGTGGGCTGTGGTCTGAGACCCACCCCTCACATCAGCTGTTTGCGCTCACATGAGAGGCCCTCTGTCAGCCCTGGATTCTTTCCTGTGCATAAGGAATAGCGCTCCTGCCGAAGCCAGGAATGGCGGCTCAGAGCTGGGATTCCAGCACTTGGTAGACCCAGGCATAAAGAGGGCCATGGGTTTGAAGCCAGCCTGGGCTATAGAGTTAGGTCCTGTCTCAAAAGCAAAAAATATAGACAGGAGTGGTGGCACACACCTTTGATCCCAGCACTTGAGAGGCAGAGGCAAGTGTATCTCTGTAAGTTCCAGGCCAGCCTGGTCTACAAAGTGAGTTCCAAGACAGGCTCCAACGCTACAGAGAAATCTTGTCTCAAAAAAACAAAATAAACAAACAAAAATATATACATAATGAAAACTTTTGGCACTTAGGTGCTCAATAGAGAGAAGTGTTTATCATAGATAAAATATTATATGTAATAAACATAAGCAGAGTTTAGGACAAGATAAAATACTTAATATTAAAACGAAATATCTTGCCAGGAGTGGTAGCTCATGCCTATAATGTTACAATCCCATCCAGCACTTGGGAAGCCAGGGCAGAAAGACTGTTGTGTATGAGACCAGCCTGGACTACAGAGTTTATAGACCAACCTGGGCTACAGAGTGACAACTTAAAAGAGAAGGGAGTGGAAATCACAAAACCTTGGGTACAGTGAAGTAAGTACAGGACTCAAGGGACAGAGGCAGGAGGATCATCTCCAATTCAAGACAAGCCTGAGCTATCAGGCCTCAAAAAATAAATAAAAGTATAAGATCTATGATTTATTGCTATAAACACTACAATTAAAAAAAAAGAAAATAAGTTCGGCAAGATGACTCAGTGAGTGAGGACACTTGTCAAACCTGAATGCTAAAAAAACAAAAAAAACCTGAATGCTTGAATTTGATTCCCAGTACCCACATAGTACAAAGAGAGAACTGACTCCCATAGGTTGTCCTTCCACGAACCCCCCCCAATAAATGAAAATGTCTACATCAAAGCCTCTACAAAAAGCATTCACATTACACCTAGCGTTGGAGAGATGTCTCAGTGGTCAAGAGCACTCTCTTCTCTTCCAGAGGATCCAGGTTCTATTACCAGTACCCATATGGCAATTCACAATCATTCATAACTCCAGTTCCAAGGGATCCTACGCCCTCTTCAGGCCTCTGTGGGCACTGCATACCTGTGTTGCAAAGATTTACACAAAGGCAAAACACTGTACACATAAAATAAAAATAAATCTTCAAGAAGTTTAACAGTCAGAGACAGAAAAGGGAATTTATTCAGTGTGGCCATGCCAGAAAAGGTGAGAAGACCAGTCTCTTCAGTCCTGTTTTTGGGTGCGGATGGTAGCTCTAGGATTTCACAGAAGAACAAAAAATTGGACAAGACGGTAGGGCACGCCTTTAACCCCAGTGCTTGAGAGGCAAGGGAATCTCTGTGGGTTCAAGGACAGCCTGAATGACCTGGTGGATTCCAGGCTAACCAAAGTTACAAATAAGACACTACCTCAAAAGTTAAAACAAAAATGGGGGCAATAAATATGCATAGCTAAGCAGTCTATTCTATTCTGCCCAAACCATTCTAAACGAAGGCTACCTCCAGTCTGGAGTAAGGGTCCTGTGGTTGCTAGGGATAGGACTGCCTCCCAGGCTGCCTGTCCCTGGCTCTTGCAACAAGCTGAAAAGGAAAAGTGGTTCAGAAGGAGATCAGAGCAGAGGGGCCAAATTAGAACAAGGATTGTGTTTTCCTTTAGGTTTAGAACAAACAGTGTCTCTTCTAGGCCCTGCTGTGGTGGTTTAGAACAGGATGTGGCAAAAACTTATTACTGGCAATCTGTAATGTCCCTATAAATCCTTTTTATATCTATTTTATTTTTTAAAAGAATTATTTTATGTGTATAAATATTTGCATATATGTATGCACACCACATGCATGCAGTGCCTGTGGAGGCCAGAAGAGGGCAACAGATTCCATGAAACCAGAGTTACAGAGTGAGTTGCCATATGGGGCTGAGAACTGAGTTTCCTTCCTGTACAAGAGCAGCACATGCTGTTAACCACTGAGCCATCCCTCCAGCCCTTCCCCACCCCTTTTATGTGTGTGTATGTGGGCATGTGAGCATGTGTGGAAGTCAGAGGACGGTTTGCAGGAGTTGGGAGTTGGTTCTCTCCTTCTAGTCTGTGGGTCCTAGGGATAAAACCCAGGCTGGTAGCATGTCCCTGTACCTGCAAAGCCATCTCCTGGGCTTTGTCCCAATACATTTCTTACTTACCCTTGGTATCTTCATTCTTAAAGGGGAAGGACCGAGTTTCAGGTACAATGAGTAAAATAGACGTTTAGTTACCAGTCTTTAAGATGAGTACTTAAATATTTTTCAGAATCCTTTTGTTTTTGAAAGGCAGGGTTTCTTCGTGTAGCCTTGGTTGTTCTGAAACTCTCTCTGCAGACCAGGCTGGCCTAGAACTCAAAGACCCACCTGCCTCTGCCTCCCAGGGTGCTGGGACTAAAGACACCAGGCTAAGATGAGTACTTTTAAATGCCCATCACGTCTACAGGCACAAGTGATGGGGAAGCTGATTCAAACCTTCAGAAAGCAAAGGGATAGAGGTGTTGAAGCAACACGAGGACAGAGATGCCCAGATTTTCTCCGTCCTTTATCACCTGGCAGCCTCTGCAGGTCCAGTGAGGACTCGCTAGCTCTCTTGTTATAGCATTGTTTAGAGCTGAGCTAACCCCTGGAAGAGGCAATGTCCACACATTGAACACTTGCAGTGTGTTGCCCTGATAATACAGCTGTAGGCCACACCTGGAGGGGCTGGACCAGAGACCAAGTGGGAGCAGGAGTGCTGATGTAGACTTCACATCCTGGAGGCTGTCAGCCTAGACACAGTGAGAGACCCCGCCTCAAAAATATTTTTACTGCCCATTCGTGGTGCTACATGCACTTTAGTTCTAGCATGCAGGAGGCAGGGCCAGCCTGGTCTACAGAGCAAGTCCCAGGACAGCCAATGCTACACAGAGAGACCCTGTCTAGAAAATAAAAGGGTCTCACAATAACAAAACAACAAATAGAAACTTTTTTTTTTTTTTTGGTTTTTCGAGACAGGGTTTCTCTGTGGCTTTGGAAGCTCAAACAGAAACTTTTTTGTTGTTTAATGTTTCATCTTGTTTGTTTTCTAATAATGTACTGGGCAGAAAAATAAAATAAAGCAATGCAGTTGGGTGTGGTGGCTTAGACCTGGGATCCCAGCACTTAAGAGGTAGAGGCAAGCTGATTGCTTTGAGTTTAAGGTCGTTCTGCCCTGCACACTGAGTTGCAGGTCAGTGTGGACTTGAGAGTAAGACCTTGACTTTCAAAAGGCTCAAGGGCCATCAAAGTGGCCCAGGGGGCACTTACAAACTTGATGAGCTGAGTTCAATCCTTGAGACCTACATAATAGAAAGAACTGACTCCCCTGACCTTCACACATACCGTGTGTGTGTGTGTGTGTGTGTGTGTGTGTGTGTGTGTGTGTGTGTGTGTGTGTACAGGCGTGTGATACTAAATTAGTATAAAGGATTTTTAAAAATTCCACAAACATGAACCAGACCAATGTGGTATGGTAACCAATGTCTGCAGAACTAACCGGTCTGTGGACCCAGAGAGGTAGAGAAGATAATCTAATGCCCTTAGGGGAATTAGGGGGAAACCATCAGAGCATAAAGAAAGCTACATAGGCCTGTTATTTCCTCAGCTGGGGAAGAGTGGGGGCAGCAGTTCAAGGTTATCTCATCTATAGAGTAAGTGAGTTCAGGACTACCTGGGTTACAAGAGACCCTGTCTCAAAAAAAAAAAAAAAAAAAGGAAGCATGGTTCAACAGATTTAAGATTGAAACACAAAAATAGCTCAACTCTTGGGCAGACAGCAGAGCCAGGGGAAAGTCCAAGGAAGTTCTAGGGAAAGGGTCAGGCCCCTCCCTTCTCCATTCACGCCCCAAACATCTATTAAACATTCCATGTGTACTTAATGTTTCTGGCCCGAGGATGACTCACAGAGGCTGACACACTAAGTTTATCACAGGAAGTACAGAAAAAAAAAACACAGAAAAAACATGCCTAATGCAATCGAATCCTGCCTGAGGGAGTTCTTCACAGTGCTTTGGAGGCGACCCTTTGTGTCTCGTTGAAATTCATCTCTCAAGAAGCACTCCTCGTATGTTTACACACTGTCAGGCACTTTGAGCTGCAGGGACACAGAGGACTCAGTTCTGGTCCCTGCCTTTGGAATTCACAATTGCTGCTCTTTCAAAGAAATGGAGTTCAGTTCTCAACACTCACTTAAGGAGGCCCATGACCATTTGTAACTCCAGCTCAACTTCTTCTGGCTTCCACAAGTACACACATGCCCAACCCACCCAGCCACCCACACACGCATTCATGCATGAAGCTATATTCTTCATGCTAATCTTGTGACACTATGAGCAAAATCAAAGACACAAGAAGTCAGGCACAGTGGCATATGCCTTAGTCCCATTTGAGAGGCTAAAGAGAATCAAACAGGAATTGAGGCCACTTGGACAGCATCAAGAGAGATTGTCTTTGAACATATGAAATGATACTATCACAGAAATAGAATTGCAATTTAAACCAGGCCAGTGGCCCCCTCTCTTCCCCCCATAAAATAGAAGGCTGGAGAAATGACTCAGTGGTAAAGAGCACCTGCTGTTCTTGCAAAGGATCTAGATTGTTTTGTTTTGTTGAGACAGGGTCACACTATTCAGCTCTGTCTGTCCTGGGATTCACTATGTAGACCAGGCTAGCTGGTATTTATGTCTGTTCATCAGATGCATGCCCGGTGTTTGATGCTGCCAGAAGTGCCCCTCAGATACCCTGGAGCTGGAGTTGCAGGTGGTTGTGAGCTGCCATGTGGGTGATGGGAACTGCACTTGGGTCCTCTGCAAGAGCAACCAGTGCCCTAAACTGCTGGGCCATCTCTCTAACCCCTGATGCCTGCTTTTAAGGAATTTGCAATTTTGTTTTGAATTACAGGTTGGAAAAGTTTTCCACATCAGCAAGAAACACCATCCTTACTATTTCTTCCTGAAGCTTCTCAGCAATATTTTAACTCAAAAAATCTTTCTTAGCCAGCTCTCAAGTCACTGGGTTGTTTCTTGCTTCTGCTACAGACATAGACTTCATCTTGATCCCCTCCATACAGCAACTAGATGTGTGTATATAAAGGACAGATAGATAATAGATGGGTAGATAGATAGACAGACAGGCAGATAGTAGATAATGATAGATATCTCACTTGTTGCCTAGGCTGACCTCAAACTCATGCTTCAGCTTCCTAAGTGATGTGATTATGGGCACACGCTATTATACCCAGCACAACCATTTGTCTTCCTTTAAAATTTTTTAATTAATTTTTTTTTTGTTTATGTATTGGGTGTTTGGCCTGCACATAGGTCTGTGCACTATATGTGTGTAGTACTCACCTGGACCAGAAGAGGGTGCCAGAGACTCTGGAATTGGCGTTTCAGTGACATGTGGGTCTTAATCGCCAGACCCCAGAGGGCTGAAGGGGGATCAGTGGCTAAGGATGCTTGTTCTTGGAGAGGACCCAGTTTTGATTCCCAGAGCCCACATGGTAGCTGAGAACAAGAACTCCGGTTTCAGAGGATCTGACACCCTCTCCTGGCCTCATCTGGTACCAGCCACGCATCTGGTGCACAGACACATACACGCCCTGCGTGGTGACAAGCACTCTCTGGGTTCAAGGCTGGTCTACAAGGGGAATTCCAGGATATAGTGAGACCCTGTCTCAACCAAACACCTGGGTCCTTTGCAAGAACAGCAGGTGCTTTTAAACACTTAGCCAGCTCTACAGCTTTTTTTTTTTTAAAGACACCGTCCCACTGCCAGGCGTTGGTGGCGCACGCCTTTAATCCCAGCACGCGGGAGGCAGAGGCTGGTGGATCTCTGTGAGTTCGAAACCAGCCTGGTCTACAGAGCGAGTTCCAGGACAGCCAGGGGTACACAGAGAAACCCTGTCTCAGAAAACAAAACCAAACAAACAAACAAAAAGACACTGTCCCACATAGCCTAGTCTGGCCTCTTAACTCCCTGCATAACTGATGATGAACTCCTCTACCTTTCGCCACCATCTTTGTCCCAGTTGGCCCTCAAGGCCTCAGGGTCCCGTTTCCGATCCTGCCTCCATGCAGAGACAGCATTGCAGTGGGGAAGGGCTGCCTCTACTGCCTCAGCCTTCCAGTGTCGCCTCTTGCTTGGCACTGCGCCTTCGGGAGTATGATATCTTCGCTCTAGATTCTTACCCCAAGGTTGTCTGGGGCCATAAGAAGCGGAAATGTGCCTGGCATTGGTGGCCCACGCCTTTAATCCCAGCACTCGGGAGGCAGAGGCAGGCGGATCTCTGTGAGTTCAAGGCCAGTCTGGTCTACAGAGCGAGTTCCAGGACAGCCTCCAAAGCCACAGAGAAACCCTGTCTCAAAAAACAAAACAAAACAAAAGATGTGTAAGTGCGCCACCAGCCACTGGGCAATTAGTCAAAGATGCCAAGTCTAGATAGGCATGCAGTTAAGAACTTAGGGTCTAGAGAGATGGTTCGGTGGTTAAGAGCCCAGGAGGATTTGCATCCCAGCACTCACAGGGATGTAACAATAGTCTATCTGACATCGTCTTCCAGCCTCTGGTGGCACAAGAAACACGTGGTGCACATATTTACAAACAGACACAACACCCATACACAAAGAAATAACTAACTTTTAAAATGTCTTAGAATCAAGTAAAAATGTTAATTCTAGGGACTAAATTAATTCCTCAGTCGCCCTACGGCAGGAGAGGGAAGGCTGTCCAGAAAGACCAAGAACGCATGCGCAGAGGAGAAACCACAGAGTCGGTCCTCCCGGGATAGAGAGGCCGGAAGTTCTCGCGGAGCTGCTCGCCGGGTGGTGGAAGCGTGAGACAGCTCGGAAGGGGTCCGCTCGGGGCTTGGCCTGGTGGGTGAGCCCGAGGCTCGGCGTGAGCGGCCTGGGGTTTGGTTCTGCACGATGGCGTCTCGGGCAGGCCCGCGAGCGGCCGGCACGGACGGCAGCGACTTTCAGCACCGGGAGCGCGTCGCCATGCACTACCAGATGAGGTATGAGGTGAGCAGGGAGCCCCGAGGCCTTCCCCGGGAGGAGCCTGCGGGTCCCAGGAAAGCGACGCCAGCGATCCTCACGGTGTCGCTCCCCTAGCCAGCTGTCGCGTGCTTCCGGGTCCCCGGCTGCGGCGACCGCCTCGGGTCTGCTTACAGGCCGGGAAGCCCAGTGGCCTGCCTTGGCCTGCCCTGTGCTTTGAGGGGATCTAGCCTGCAGAGGCTCATGGATCGATGCCTGGCCCCTCCGAATGACCTTGGAAACATTTTTCTTTTTCAAACCGAGGTCCGCAGGGTCTTCCCTCCTCAGCCTACCGAGTATGCACCTGGTCTGAAAACTACTTAACATTTTTAGAGAAGACTGTGTGCATGCGCGTGCTTGTGTGTGTGAATATGTGTAAGTTTGTGCACACGAGGGCAGGTGCTGGCAGAATCCACTACCAGTAAAGAGCGTTGGATCTCTTGGAGCTGGGGTTACAGAGATCCAGCACCTGAGGTTAGTACTGAGGACCAAACCCAGGAGGATAACAAGCTATCTTCCTACTGGCTGTCTTGAACTTGCTCTGTAGACCAGAGTAGAATCAGAGATCCACCTGCCTCTGCGTGCCAAGTGCAGGAATACTTTACAAAGAGTTTTGACATAGTCGTGTCTTAAGCTTTATTGTCACACAAGATTAAATTAAATTAATTGTCACTAGGAAAATTTGCATCAAATTGTTCCGTGCTTACATATGCCTGAAGTAAAATACTTAGGGTCAGGCTCCTGAAGTTTGAGCCAACACCAGGTACTGAGTTGTGCTGAACCGAGCTGCCTTGCCTCCTGCAGATTGTTAACTCTGCTGGCTGTGGTGTTTGAAGAGACCCCCACACTGGCTCAGCTGTTAGGAGCACTTGCTGTTTTTGGAGAGGGTCTGAATTCAGTTCCCAGCACCCACATCAGGAGACTCACAACCAACCACCTGTAACTCCAGTTCCAGGGGTTCCGATGCCCTCTGGCTTCCCGACAGCACAGGCGTGTTTGTGGTGCACACACTTAAGGTACATTCTTAAAAAGAAAGAAAAGCCAGACTGGATCCTGCCTTCAAGGAGCTTGAATGCCAGATTCTTCTTTTCCTTTCTCCTTACCTCCCACATTTCCTGTAACGAGTTAATTTTTTCCTTAGGTCCACTAAATTCTTTGCCTTTTTTGGTACAGAAGGATGACAGGCTCTTTGGACCCTTCCTTCTCAACTTCAGGCCCCTGCCTAATGGCTGCCTAAAACCCAGATTTTTTTTTTCATGCGTTCCTAGAGCAGAAACCTTGCTCATGACGTTATGAAAAGGATACAGTTGAGACCCCCAAGAGGATTGGGACTAAGAGCTGTGCTTCCTTCACTCGGAAACTATAGCTGGAGAAATATGGGAGCCTGAGCTGTGTTCCCTGAGGCTGTGCCTTCCCCTGATGGCCTTGGTGTCTGTGCTACGAAGCCATGTTTCTAGCCACAGCTCAGAGTTCCTGTCATGGCTTGCTGAGACAGTGTCTTAGTGTGTTGTCCAGGCAGCCTCCAATTGGAGGTCCTCTGCCTCAGCCTCCCAGGTGCCGTTACTCTTCTTCAGTCTTGAGGTCTACGCATTCATGGTCTTTGTAGCTGTTACTACGTCTCCCATGTGCACTTGATTTCCTGAAACAAATACTTAAGCGCTTGTGCCTTTGTGCCTGCATAGAAATAGAAGCCACCTCCACTCGCCTCAGACCCTCTGCTGAAACAGCTCTCTCCTCTAGATAACCCTCTCTGGCTTTCCACCCTATGCTAATTGGTTCCTCCCCGGGATATTGGATATCTTGGGTTTCTATGTATTTACTTGAGCTTATACTTCATTTTCCCCAGCCTCTGTCAGAGGCGGTGTCATTCAGATAGCATCTATGTGTTCAGTACCGGCGCCTGGTGGTCGGAGCAATTTAAATGAAATTGCTTCTCCCTCTGCTCTGCCTTACAGTGTGACGCTCAAGTGTGAAATCAAGAAGCTAATCTACGTGCATCTGGTCATATGGCTGCTGTTGGTTGCCAAGATGAGTGTGGGACACCTGAGGCTCTTGTCCCATGATCAGGTGGCTATGCCCTATCAGTGGGAATATCCGTATTTATTGAGCATTGTGCCCTCTCTCTTGGGCCTTCTCTCCTTCCCTCGAAACAACATCAGCTACCTGGTGCTCTCCATGATCAGTATGGGGCTCTTCTCCATCGCTCCCCTCATTTATGGCAGCATGGAGATGTTCCCTGCCGCACAACAACTCTACCGCCATGGCAAGGCCTACCGCTTCCTGTTTGGTTTCTCTGCTGTCTCCGTCATGTACCTGGTGTTGATACTGGCAGTCCAAGTTCATGCCTGGCAACTGTACTACAGCAAGAAACTCTTAGACTCCTGGTTCACTAGCACACAGGAGAAGAAACGTAAATGAAGCCTGCCTGATGGACACGTGAAGGGAGCTGTTCAGAATATCCATAGACTGTGGCATCTGTGATGTTGGCACCTAGGGCACACTAGGCTCAAATTTTGGCCTTGAGTTCTTTGTTACCATCTGCTGAGGTGATGAAGCTGTAGTGTTTAATTTATTCTTGACTGGCTACAAATTGGGTGACCAATGGCTGTGGGACACTTCAACTGGCTGAAGTTGAAGACCTCCAGACTGAGCCTTATCCTTGCCTTCTCTTGGTCAAATTCCCTACTTCCATTTATCACCTCTTCACCACCAATACTAAAGAGATCTGGAATAAATCAGGACAGAAATTCTTCTTCGATCTGTAGGTCATGGGGCAGGCAACTTTTGGGAAGTTGCTCCCCCTACAGGCTGCTCTGTTTACTGCAAGCCATTTTAATTAAAAATGAACTTCAATAAAGTTAAGACTGTCCTGTGCTTTGTGTTTGAGATTTGATTGAATTTCAAAGTTGTATTGCTTTAGAGGACTTAGACATTATGAGAAGGATAGATGTTTCCTGAGGAACATGGCCCTGGCACTGGAGGAGACGGTGTGAGGAGCCTAAGTCAGCTGCAGCCGTCTGGCTCTTGGGTGAGAACAACCCTGGGATGGGGGTTGCGGAAGGAATGGCTCAGGGGTTAAGAGCACTGACAGAGGACACAGGTTCAGTTCTCAGCACCCACATGGTGGCTTAAAACCATTAGTAACTACGTCCCAGGGGATTTGATGCCCTCTTGCCTCCGGATGCACTAGGCAGACGTGAGGTACAAAAACAGCATGCAAACAGAACACTCAGGAAGTAAGGTTTGTTTTTTTTTTTGTTTGTTTGTTTGTTTGTTTGTTTTTAAACATGGTCTCTCAATGTAGCTCCGGATGTACTAGAACTCCCTTTGTAGACCAGTCTGGGCTCAAACTCACAGAGATCCTCCTGCCTTTGCCTACCAAGTACAGGGATTGTGCCACCCCACCCAGCAATAAATATTTGGCCAGACATTTAATCTCCAACCATAAAGCAGCTTATTTGGCTTGGGGTTTTGAGCTCCTTTTTTTTTTTTTTTTTTTTTTTTGCTTGTTTGAGACAGGGTTTCTCTGTAACTCTGGCTGTCCTGGAACTTGCTTTGTAGACTAGACTGGCATCAGACTCAAATCCACCTGTCTCTACCTCACAAGTTCTGGCATTAAAGATGTGTACCACCACTGCTCAGCTGGGTTATGAGCTTTCTGTTTGGTTATTTATGTTTATTAGACTTTTATGTGTCTGAAACTGCATATAATACCCCAAAAGAATCTTCTTTTTGGTGCTATAGTTTTCCAGTAACTGACAAATAAATCTGAGTCAAAATAAGAAGAAAGGGGTTTGAGTTCTTTTCCCCTTTTAGTTTCTGTCCATGGTTATTCCTTGGCCTGCTTGTTTGGGGAATGTGCAAAAGAAGCTGCTGACCCTATGGAAGCCAGAAAAAGAAAGAGGTGAGATTCCACCGTCGCCACTAGGGGCAGACAACCAGTGACCTAACTTCCTTCCACTCAGCCGCTCCTAAAGCTTCCTCCACCCCCCAAGATGCCAACGACTGGCAACTAGTACATGGGCCTTTGGGAAAAGATAGCAGGGAGCTTCCAGTCTTGGGGGAATGTGCAGTGAACATACCATCTAATTGTGGGAGAGATCCACAGCTGAGATACAGGTAACAGTCACACCCAGAAGTCTTAACAGTAAATAGGGCCGGAAAAGTGTGTGTCCTTTGCACTGGACTTTCTTATGCCTAGATGATGATGCTCAGATCTATAACTGCAGAGATCTGACCGCTACAGTTATATTTTTTTTTGTTCTGGAAATGTGTTGCTTGTACAGTCTGCAGAGCTGATTCCTCCTGATAATCCTACTCTGTGTAGCCCTGGCTGTCCTGGAACTCAGAGATCTGCCTGCTGTGTGCTAAGACTAAAGGCAAGTGCTACCATGCCTAGCTCCTACTGATCATTTCAAAGATAACCTCTTGTGCCTCAGGCCTGTTGCTGTTCCTACTTCCTGTGTTGACATGAGCACAGCTCTGAATCATCCACGCCTCAAGTTTAAGTCCATCCCGCATGTACACACTGCCTATTCAGTGAATCTCCTATGGAAGCCCTGATAAGGGTGTGTGCTACCACTGCCCGGCTCATTCTTTTACTGATCTTTAAGATGCCACTCACATGAAAATTCTGGAGTCTTCCAATTCCTCAATTTGAAAAACAACTTTAATTCGTCTGGTTGTTTTCACTTTATTCCTTTATTATTATTTTCTAATGAGACATAGCCCAGAATGACCTTAAGCTATATGGCTGAGGATGACTTTGAACTCCTAATACTTTGTCTCCACTTCCTAAATGTAGACCAAGCCTTGACCTTATTTTTTTTTACCTTATTTTTAAAAGCTGCATATTTATTTTGTTTTCTGACTCTGTGTTTGTGCCTTTTCTCCTCCTCAATAAAGCTTGCTTGATCCTGTCACGGACACACCTGGCATGCACGGAGCCACCACAGGCCCTGCTGATGTGCTGCTTTGTCTAGATAGTCTCATAAGGACTTTGGGTCTCACAGCACGAATCCCTCCAAGTCTGCCTGGGCACACACTGCATGCATATTTAGGTGCTTTCCAAGCCTTCTTGGTATAAAGTTAAGCAATCCTGTTGCCAGAGACAGCCTAGTTTTGTTAGAGGCTGTATTGTAGGAAAGCCTACGACGGTATGTCAAACCCTGGACCATTCGGAGAGCCTCTAAGCACTGTCCTCGGAAGAGGAAAAGCTGTGCTGCTTGTTTCCATTGACAGAATTGCTAGTTGGTATGAGTGTTCACTCTGAACTTATTGAATGAATTAAGCTGCCCTTTTATGGACAAAGGTCTATGTTTCACAGAGAACTGGACTGAAGATGAAGAAGCCCATGGATAAGGGAGTTTGTCATGAGCGTAGCTGAGGCACACATTGCTAACTTCAAACAACTGTGATGCAAACACATACAAAAACTGCAATGCAGACTCTCTCTCCTCCCTTTCTCCCAATAAACTTTCCACAAGTACTGCCTCCACCCTAAAAAACCTGATTGCACATTATTAGTCAATTGGTCATTAGAATAGCATTTTACATTTTACATACAGTCTTTGAATACCTTGAAGACTCATCATGAAACTAGTCAACACTGTTAAAACACTGTCATGCCCTTTAATCCCAGCACTTGGGAGGCAGAGGCAGGCAGATCTCTGTGAGTTCGAGGCCAGCCTGGTCTACAAAGTGAGTTCCAGGACAGCCTCCAAAGCCACAGAGAAACCCTGTCTCAAAACAAAACAAAACACTGTCATGCCAACATCAGTTTTTGTTAATTTTGTGCTTGGAATCTGCTTTTCTAGCCTTTTCCTGTAACTTCTTTCTGCCTCATGGTTGTGGTGTTCTCAAATAAGTCCTCTTGATTTAGTGGGAAGAAAGCTGTTTGGGTTAGAAAGTTCAGCTGGGTATGGGGTAAATGTCTAATCCCAACCTTTGGGAGCTTGAGGCAGGGGGAATACTCTGAGTTTGAGGCCAGCCTGACATATATATAATGAAACGCTATCTCAAAAAACAAGGTTGGAGTTAAAGTATCAATCACAGAGCTAAAACTAACCCTGTCTGTTCACAGGTTGCTTTAAACTCCAATAGCCAAAGTATTATGAAGGTATTCTAAAATTTAAAATTTTGTTTTCGACGAGCATTGGTGGTGTATGCCTTTAATCCCAGCATGTGGGAGGCAGAGGCAGGCGGATCTCTGTGAGCTCGAGGCCAGTCTGGTCTACAGAGCTACTTCCAGGACAGCTTCCAAAACAATATAGAGAAACCCTGTCTCAAAAAACCAAAAAAACAAAAAACAAATCTAGACGAGCAGCCAACGAGTGTCCTTAACCTCTGCAGCATCCCTCTGGCTCTTGCGAAGGCATTTTATGGAGTCTGTAACCACATGGGCATCAAAAGTCATGGTGGTCACCTGATCTTTGCAGCAAGACAGGAGCATGAAGATGCTGGAGAGACTTAAGGGATGGTCTAGACCCCAAGAAAGGCTTGTGTACTGTGAGCAATGACTGATTATTAGGCTGAGATTCTAGCCAGAGAGTTTACTATCTCTTGTTTGATTTATTACATTTTATTGTCATCCTAGGAATTAAATAGGGTCTTACACTTACTAGGCAAGTGTTCTCTCAACTGAGCCACATCCTTATACCTCCCACTACCACCTTTCTGACACTGTAGCTCAGCTTGTCCTTGAACTCAGCATTCCTGCCTCCATAGTGCTGGGATTATGGATGTTTCCACTCCCAGATGAGCCTGTTCTTTATGTGTTGCATGGGCATTGCAGGTCTCTCCCATTACTGTGAGGCTGAAATAAATGTGGATGAACTCTGTAGTACATAGAGGTTTACATATCAAGATGCCTTTCCTTGGTAAAGTGTTGTGTTTGCCTCTCAAATTGGGAGTGTCTACCTGTTCTAAGAATAATTCTCTTTCCTCTTTTCCTCCTCTCTTCTCCTTTTCCCTCCTTCTGACAGGGTCTCTTTATAGAATCTTCCTGCCTCTCTCTGTCTTCCAAATGCTGTGTAGGTGTACATCACCATGCCTGCCTAGCTAAGAATGACTTCTCAGAATGCTGGAGGTTAATTTCACATTCTTAGCCCACATTGTCCTGACTGGTATGTTCAAGGTGCCCTGACAGTAGGTATAGGCCCAGCAGACCTCAGGGATTGACCATCACAAGAAGATTCTGTAGCTGCTACTCTTAGCCTGTTCCCAGTCCATGCATAGGGAAGAATGGCACCCCCATAGCATGCTAAGCATGCATGCTTCAGAGCTTGCCAAAACCTCCTGAGCTCCTGGCTTGGTTCCCGAATAAAGGTCATTAGAGAATGAAGTCTTGGTCATCTGATTTAGACACCTTTGGAGAGAGCAAGGCTTTTGTGTTGATGCCTCTGTTGCCTTCACCCTGCTGCCTGCTATTCCAGCCGTCTAATTTCTTCCTCTCCCTGTTGACAGTTGCCAATCTCCTTTCTCACTCACTGTGATAAAACCCTTTTCCTTTTCTTTGTTCTTTCCTGGTTTGCCTGCTTGCTTCCCCCCCCTCCCCTGCCTCTCCCTTCCCATGGTCTCATGAAAACTGCTCTCAGACTCACTATGTAGCCAAGGATGGCTTGAGCTCCCAAAACTCCTGCCCTAACTCCCTAATACTGGGATTACAAGTTTCTGCCGCCACATCCCACTTTCTAATTTCTTTCCTTACATCTTAATTCCACCAGCTTTATCACACTGCTAAATCTAAAACTTTCTGTGCAAAATGGGATCCAGAAGCCCTCAGACTCCCCATAATAGGTTCTGACGGGAGAAAGAGCTGACATGGTATGGTCTTCCCATTCTTTGCCATGTGTGTTTTTGGACAAGTCTCTGCC